TGATTAATATACTTTCATAAATGAAAAACTTAAAAAATTTTGATCAGAAATATCATAGACTTATGGGGCTTATCATGGAATTTCTTCTAAGCTTCATTGCAACCATAGTAAAGTGTTTGAGAGAAAATATGATTAAGGTTACTGGTTTCAATAAATAAAAGCTAAATATCAAACTTTCATTTATACTTTTATCAAACTTTGATGCACTTATTGAGTATTTCTTCACGTTTTCTTGTTATTTATTTCGATACAGTTGTTGGTGATTCAGAAATTTTGATTTTTTAAATTCCTTTCGCAGAATTGCGGTGATAACGATACAGTGATAAAAACGTGATTACCAATTAGTTGTTTGCATGAATACTTAAACTGCCCAATTACTTAGTTTGTTCCTGAAAATTTAAATTTTTTAAAGATATAGACATAGGAGCTATAAATAAGTTATCTTCTAGCTGTGTTGCAAATGGTCGACGCTTCTAATCTTATCGACTTCGACTTCGCTTGGCACTTGCTGCTAAAATAATTTGGATCATAAATTCTTCAGCCATCTAAAAATTTAAAATTTTTTTTGATTATTTATCTATTTTAATTTAAATTTAACGTCATTTAAGAACGGAAGTCATTTAAACAAACATTAAAAATTAAGGCGTATATGATTACTGCTGTGATCAGACGGCTGTTGCCGTCAAAAGGAGAGAAAATAAGCTCTATTATTCAGAAGCTTAAGGCCAAGAAAACTCTTGAAGACAGTCATCGAACCGAGTTTTCAAATGTTGCATATCGCCTTTCATAACACATCTTCAGCAAATCTACTATCTGGTATGGAAGATAGAAATATTAAATGACGGGATCAAATCTGCTCTTAATTCCCAAGAAGGGTGATGAGACATCTGGTAGGCTGATTCGTCGATAATTGTCATGGCCTACCTCTGGGAAAATTGGTAATTAAGTTGCTGAATAGATTTATGGTGGTATGAAACAGTAGGATGCACCGATGCACCAATGCTCGATTTAAATCATGCACTGGTATGCTGTTAAATATTCAAGCTGAGAAGTATATCGCTTTATATATCGACTTTCACTTGTTTCATCGATTTTGCAGCTGCCTTCAAATTAGTTCAGTTGATAGAAAGGCACTTTGGAGGATAATGGCGTTCCAGAAAAGATTATTGTAAGGATATTTTTAGCGTACATCTATATGAATATGGGGAAATAACAGATTCTTTCGAATTTCTGTTCGTCAACGCTGCGTCCTTTCCCCTACAATATTCAACCATGCGATAGATTTGATAATGGACATCACTTATCGGCATTCAGCAGGTGTGCAAATCGGTCCGGAACATAATATCGTAGACGTTGAATGTGCTGATAACGTAGTCCTTTTTGCTGAAATTTCATGACGAAATGCAAATAATGCTATATGTCGACAACTATAGCGAAAGCCAGACTCATGGGCAACTTCAACCTTTTCGTCTTATATACCAGTAACTGATAAAATGCCTATTTTTCATCTTCGATTGAGAAAGTGCCAGGCTATAAATATTTACTCATTCTAATCTCAAATGACCGAGCGAAAGACGATATTACAACCCGGATCACCTCAGCTGAAAATGCATTCTTCCGGTTGACGAAACCTTTAAGAAACCGTCGTGAAATCACCATAAGAACGAAAGTGTATGTAACGGCGATTCGTTCGATCTTGCTATATGGCTGCGAAAAATGGACGATGGAGGATATTAAGAAGTTATCTATTTTAGACCACTCATGTCTAAGATTCGCCGAGTGGATAAAATCTCACATGATCGCATTTTACGGATTCGCCGAGTGGATAAAATCTCACATGATCGCATCCAACTTTGTTCAAGTACCACTTCCAATAACAATACCACTGCGCTCTTCATTATTATGCTTTATGGAATGGAACTCACAGAAAAAATTGCTTTGGTGTGTTGCTTAATATTCCTGAAACCCCGAAATTGAACTGTTTAAAAATACAAAATAATAAATAAATTGTAATAAAAAAATAAGGAAAACAAGAAATAAACAACAAATAGTTAATGAATTATCGATTTTTTAGCCTCGCATCTGTAATTTTATCGACTGAATAAAAAACTGTTATGACGTCATTTTTTATTTTTGTACAAAAAGCGATCAGTTATTTTCTCGAATGACGTCATTTCTCTGAATCTCTAAGGCCAAAGAACATGCATTATCTCTATAACCGTAAAATTTCTCTAATTCCTGTCAAAGACACACTATTAAATTTTTCTAACATCCTCGCCTCGCAATTATTCATAATATTTTCGTGAAATTGTTTAGAAAAAATCGTCAGAAATACCGTATTTCGTTAGATCTTCTGAGCGATTGAAGGTCGGTTTTTTCGAAGATTTTTAAAATTTTTTTCGAAATTTTTAGGTTTTTTTAAATTTTCTGAAGTTTTTTTAAAATTTTTCGAAAATTTTGAGAATTTGTATGAATGATTCAAAATTTTTTAAAATATTTGAATTAATTTTAAAATTTAAGTTAAAAATTCAAAAATTTAAGTTTTTCGTAGTTTTTCCGAAATTTTTTTAAAAGCTTTCGAATAGCGAAATTTTTTCAGATTTCTTTCCTTTTTTTCTCTAATTTTTATGTAAATAAAGTGGTTTTAATATTAATTTATCATATTTATAAGCTAAATTAATTTTAGGTTTTTTTCCAGATTTTTAATTTTCTTGAGATTTTCTCGTTTATATAAAACGAATTATTGATTGACGGCGGTTTCTTTGATGTTGATCTTTGATACTTGTTTGGTTGGTACGTCTTACGGTGCTGGATGGACTGCATAACCTGCTTTGAGTGTCGTCCCCATGCTTGGCTTGATTTGGCTATTTACAGTTGATATTAATTTTGTAAGAAGTGTGCGCAGAGAAGCTTCTATTTCTATTTCTGCGGCGCATTTAGCTTTTTTTCGAACTGTTTTTGTGGCTGCTTTGCTTTCGGCTTTACCTGTTTACCTGTTTTAGTTGATACTCTTACTATATTGTTAATAGATCGTATTTTAATACTTCCCTTTGCCGAACTGAGAGTAATAATTTAACTTATTATCTTCTTCGGTCCTTTGGTCACCCTGAAGTAAATTTTTGTATATTTTGAGTTTGGCTGCTTTTGGCATTGTTAGTCAGAAAAGATTATATTTGACTAATAAGAAAGATGTTTTTTGGTTCTTTATGATTCTTTATGATTTATGCTACTTTAAGGATTACTTTAACTGTCTGTTTAACTGGTAACTGGTAGATTTAGGTGCTCGCGCTCATTTTTCTGCAGCCACTATAGTTATTGCTGTTGGGGTTCCTATTGGGGTTTTTGGTTGATTGGCTATTCTCTATGATGGGCGGATGATTATTGTGTTAACGAAAAAAGATACTCGTGCAAAAGCAATTTTTTGCTTAATTGTCCCATTTTAAATTTAACTCGTTTTATTCCAAATTCTCTATTGGAATTTATGCAAAACTCATATAACTCACTTTTTTCTTACTTGATTACTTTTATTTTATTTTTTTAAAACTTTTTACGCATTATTTTTCCTTTGAAAAATTAAATCGAATAGGCCTTATTCTGCGATTTAAAAGCGCAGCCTCCGTCAATTTTAAAAATGTTAATCCAAATATATTTTAGATTTGCGCATCATTATTTCAAATATGTTTGCTATAAATAAATATTTCATATTTTAGTTATTATCTAATAAAATTTTTAAACAAATTTTTCTCTTACCTATACATTCATTTTTGGAACAAATTGCGGAATGATTTTCTATGTGCTCATTCAGATTTACATTTAAAGAAAGGCTATAGGTTTTTCCTACTATTTAGTAGTATTAACATTATTTAGTAATATTTAGATTGACTAATCAGCAATATGATTTCGTTTCACTTTTCATATTTTTTATATTCTTAATTAGCTACTGTTGCGATTATTATTTCTTCTTTTTTTGTCGGTATACACAGTTTTTGTGTTTTTTTAGTTTTTTGTTCTAACTTTAGCATTTAGCCTTATTTCCACTTGGTTATGCAAGTAAAAAATTAAGTAGAAGGTAAATTTTCAGCTAATTTATTATTTTATTCTATTTATGAAGAGCTGTTTTGAAACATTTCACAATAGTTAGTTAATTTCTTATAATTTTTAATTAACTTTATTTTTTTCAGAATTTCCTTAAAAAAATTTGGATTAACAAGACCTTGGGCGAGATTTATGTTGATTTTGGACAACAGTATGGCTGCGAAAATTGTAACATTAAAATACTTATGACTGTATTCCTCTATAATTTCAAAAAGTTTCTTGAAGAAAAGTCTTATTGCAGATTTTCTAAAAAAGGTGAAGGAAAATGGTAGGTGGATTTAGACACTACTTTTTAATACTAATTTTATACCAAATATTATTCCACAAATTTCGTATAGCCTTATGCACCATACTAATCGGCCAATTAATTTCTATCTTATGAGTCAATAAAGGAAGAATTTTTTTATGTTATTCGAGCCACTGTTTGAATGATAAAATTAAAATATTGACAAATTAGTGAACAGCGATGGAAAAAAATTCTAAATATGAAGAAAAATTCGAACTATTATTGAATATTTTTTTATTAATATCATTCGTCTGAACAAAGCTGAATAAGCAAGGCAAAAATTGAAATATCTCGTCCAAAAGATTGGCAGTATTGTAATTAGTATTGTAGAAAAAATCAGCAGTGCTGGTATTAAACAAAAAAATGGCTAAAAGATAAAATTATTATATAGTTTAACTAATTTGCGCATACAGCAAAACTAACTAAAAATGGAGAATTCGTTTTTGGCATTTTAGTTTATTTTATATAGAAGACTGTTATTTACGACAATAACTTGCCTACCATCTAAAGAAAGATATATTTTACAACTTATTTATTTTGACAGCTAAATAAATGAGAAACAAATATGATTTTACAAATTTGCGACTGATTAGTCGTTCAGCTACATTAAAGGATAAATTTAATTAAAGAAATCACTGTCAGAATCGGATTCATGATCAGTAATATTTTTCAGTATGTCTGAATTGCTGGATGATAGTTGTTGAATTTTTTTAGGTATTGTTTCGCCCAATACTTTTGTCAAGAAATTCTCTCCATTTTCTTTGAGCTTGTCTTCGTTCTTCCTAGTTGCCACATTTGATGGTCGTACATTATTTCCGTCATCAATTCTTTAAGCATATTATTGTTTTAGAATTAAATTACAAATTGCAATTTTTATATAATGAATTATTTCCGAATTGGAAAAGAGTAATTAAAAAGTAAGAGTAATTAAAGAGTAAAAAAAACAAGTAATTAATGGCAATAACGAACTTTAATGTATTCGATTTTTGCTTAGCAACTTTGGCATCATCGCTGCCTTCACTATCATCTTCAGATGCACTACTGTTCGCATCTTTAAAAATATCAATCATTTTCTTATAATTTGAGGTTTTTCTTCCATCTGAAAATTTGTTTGAAGATTTTTTTTTATTAAGGCTAATTAAGAGTTTTAGCAGCTCTTCATGATTGTGATTTGCTAGTAGAAAATTAAATTTATTTCGCCTAACTGATCTGATAAAAATACCATGGAAGACAAATGCAAAAAAGCATAAAATAAGTGATTTTAACTACCAAAAAAAATCTTGCCTGATAGATTAGTGGTATTATCCAAAGGTTGATTATTCTTTTCTTCTGACAGGAAATTTGTTAACAAGTTTTTATCCTTTGCATCTCTATCCAATATTTTATTCCTTTGTTTCATGGTAGATCCGCCGATGATCTCTTGGGGAATTCTAACTGAAGATGGTGGTAGTTCATTGGGCTGAATGCATTCATCCAAAGTTGCATCAAGATTTTTTCTTTCAGACAGGTTATTACTATTATGAATAAAGCTTTCCTGTTTTTCTTCTTTCCATTTTTGTTCATTTATATAATTTTCCATTAGTTGCTCTGCTCGGAAATTATCCAGATCAGCAGGAGTCGCTTCCTGTTCGCTATATAACTGCGGATCTCAAAATTAAAATAAAAATGATTTATATTTTTGTTCGTGAAGTTCATTTGTTCGTCGAATATTTATGCTCTATTGTAGTCAATTTTTATCGAATTTATTATCGAATTTATTTCAATAAAAAATAATTCTTTTTAAATATTATCACAGATATCTATAAAAGTTTCATCCACTTTTATTTTTGATTTCACTAAGCTTTTATCCATTTGAAGAAAAATTGGGATAAAACTTACCGATTGAATTAATTTTCTTTTTAATTTCAAGAAATTTATCAAATTTATCAGTTTTTATGGAATTAATAATAATAGGTGATTGAATTTGATAGAATTCTTGAGTTGACAATGATAATCTATGATTACGAAACCGATATAAATCATTTGAAATTTCTTGCAAACGTTTTTTCATGTGTATCAGATCAATGTCCATAAGAGTACCACTATAAATATCGCTAATTAATTTTTATCTATCTGTAATAAAAATTTTCTATTATTTTATTAACTGGCTTATTTATGTAGATGTCATAGGAATTTTGCAAAATAAAACGAGCTATAATTAAAAAAAAAGCGATTACTTCTTTGGAATAGGATCATTAGGTTCAAGACATGGTGATTGCTTTGCTTGATATAATTTTAATCGATTTAAATCCCAATGATATATATTTGTTGATAAATGATTAGTTAACCTTTTGCTAATTGACGATTCAGACGAGTTCTGCAAGATTTAAAGATTTTTCGCTAAAAGTTATTCGATAATATTTTAAATAAATTATGTGCTCGGAAAATATTTTGCAATAGGAGGAGGATTTATCTATGAAAAAACTTCTAACAACTGTAAATAGTGAAAAAAAACCAGTATAATCTATTCCAAGTTTCGTTTCTTAAAGAACAGACTATTGAAAAATTCGAAATAATCGTTGGTATAAAGAAGGTGAAACCATGCATTCAATGAAAATTCAGCAAAAATCCCGTTTAAAATGTTAAAACTGCGTATGAAGACAGCAAAAACCTTAAGCGGCAAAAAGTTATGCGGGTCCCATGAAGGATATTTCAATTTTAAGAAGTTCAAATAATCATCCTGAAATGAAATTTTTTTCTTTAATAAGAAAAGAACCAGAAAAAACTATTTTTTCTAATATTTCGAATGTTTCATCGAATGTTCGTCGATGGTCTTTCATTTTGACAAATGTTTTAGAAAAAATTAGAAAACTACTTTTATAATTTATATATACAAATTAGCATAAGTAATATATTATATACAAATAATACATAGTTTAACTAAGTTGGAACAACCCTTAAAAGTTAGTAATAAACCATTCATGCTGATTCGAAGAGAAATATATGTTTTTGCCTTATAGCTACTAATTATATGCCTAATATACTGCATTCGGAACTGCGATGCTGAAGTCCTGTTCCCCGCAGGAGTAAATCCAGGTGCCCAAAAATCCAGGTGATCCTGGTGACTCACTTGCACTTCTATCGCAAAGGAACTCCCTAGCATGTTTGTCCAGTGCGACAAGCCAGCTAGACTATTAGAAAAAATAATGCATTGTGAAGCAATATATTTTTGAATGGAATACAGTTTCATGCAAAAATTTTATCAAGAAAAAATAAACAAACCCTTCTTTTTCTCGCTAATTCAATTTGTTTATCAAAAAGAACCAATTTTCGTTCAAAACTATTTAATTCGTCTGAATTCGTTTTTTGCATCGAAGAAATCTGCAATAAATTAAAGCAGTTAAAACAATTTTATAAATAAGTTTTCATGAATGAAAATAACGAAAAAAAATACTTCAAAAAACAAAATAATAATAAAATAAACAATAACATAAAAAATAAACAATAAATTTTTATTCCTATAATTATATTTCGAATTAAAATTTAAAAATATGTATATAAAAAATGCGACTACAATAAGGATTCGAACCTCAGATGGAGCATCTGAAATTTGATACCTCAATTATCAATTTATTTATTCATTTAAATATCCACAGGTTCAACCACTGAAATTAAAATGATTCATTGAAAATAGAAAATTATGGAAGAGCAAAAGATCTATTGATTATTCGAATGTTTCCATGGAAATACATACACTAAGGCTAAGCAACATAATTGCCGATCATTTCAACTTGAAGATCGCCTAAAAAACTATTGAATATAATTGCATTATTTGGGGATTAGAATGGCCAGTGAGCTATTAATCTCAATCTCATTTCGAACGAGTATGGAGAATATGGCGACAGATTGGTTCAAACTGATGTCACTAATGGCGAAAGAGTTTGGTGCATGGCATTGGAGGTGTTGAGGGTACATTTGTAGGCGATTTGAGATTTTTTATGTAGCAGGCATCAATAAAGAAATTTTAGTATCTCGAAAGTTTTTTTTGACTGCTTTAAAAGTTTTTAAAAAGTATTATTGAGTTGTAACATAAGGGACAGCATGTCAGAATTTGCAGTCAATATAGCTTAAACGAAAGTCTTATCGGATTTTTACAAAAGTAAAAGAATAGGGTACGTGAAGAAGAATTAGGGGGATTTTATACAAATGAAGCACTTTATGATATTCTGAAAAAGTGGACACAGAATAATAATGGCTTACAAAAAGTTACGATAATACAAAGGTTTAGTCTAAGGTACCAATGGCTTATGATAGATTAAATTAAAACAATACTAAAGATTTCATAAAATTTCACTTCATACTCTTGCATGAAACTTTTTCGAGATGAACTCTTCACAGTGTTATCCATCGTCCTTCATAATGCACCTTCAACAAATTTACTCTGTCATATGGGAAAAAAAAATATTGCCAGATGATTGGAGCAATTCTGCTCCCAATTCTCAAAAAACGTTATAGGACGTACTGCGACAATTATCGAAGAATCAGCCTACTAGATATCTCAGCGAAAATTTTTTTTGCTTCTCTTTTACTCAACAGAATTATGGAAGTACGAGACAGCAGGATGTGCTCTAATCAAGCTGGATTCAGACCGGGGCGCGGTTATACTTACCAGATATTCACCTTAAAAAGAGTGTTGGAACATCGTTTCAGATATTTGCAACCCACTGTCATGTGTTTCATCGACTTTGCGGCTGCTTTTGATTCAATTGATAGAGCAGTGCTTTAGAGGATAATAGAATGCGACAGTGTCACTCGACTCATAAAGGCATTTTAAATACCTTGGATCCATTCTATTACCAAATGGACAGGCAAAAGATGTTATTACAACCCGGATCACGGCAGCTAGGAAGCGTTCTTCCGGTTTACAAAAGAATTATGGAGTCGTCGTGAAATCACCATAAAGACGAAAATCCGCGTCCATATAGCTGCAGTTCATTCGATCTTCCTATATGCGAAAAATGGCCAATGAGAGTGGAAGATATTAAGAAGCCTGTTAGCCTTTGACCATTCCTGTCTAAGGTGCATATTACGGAACCCGCGAATAGATAAGATATCACATGATCGCAACCACCTTCATTCAAATACTACTTGCATAAATAATGTTATCACAGAGGGTCGCCTTCACTGGTTAGGGCACGTTTCTCTGTCGCCCACCACAGGATATGACGTATATTTCGTTACTTCAAAAGCGTGGACTGATACGGTCAGAAAAGATTTTGGACGTATAGGTGGACCAGCAATATATGGACTTAAACGATGGAAAAATGAATAGCTTCTATTACTGTCGACGATGGCATCAGATCGCGCCGCTTGGAAGCGTGTTACCCTTGTAGCCGTTGGAGCCAACTTAACCAGTAATGTTGTTAGGCTCACTTCGCTCGGACGAGACAAATTTTGCCAGAGAGTTATTTGGCGATGAAAGCACAGGTGACAACATAGTCTGATACTTGAATTTTTAAATTGCATTTGTATATTTCCTATTTAATAAATTTAAATTTTCTCTAGCCATCAGAATTACTTTATAACCAGCATAGTCTGTAAAATTTTCTCCTATATGATATTTCTAACGATTAGAAAGGCCCAAAGAAAAGTGGAATTTGACAAATCTTCGAATATCTCGTAATATTTCTTCAAGGCTAATTATAGCCTATTTCCTTAATATGCCTTCGAAGTCATATGCATTGTTTCGCTACCGCCGAAAAAAAATTTTTCAAGGTTCTTGCCATATCTCTCCAATATAATTACTGTGGTAGCAGTCTTGGTTAATAAAATATAAATTTGAAGGGATTGAGAAGAATACAGTTGAGTAGAAGAGTTTTTATGAGGGAAATTAATTGGGGTTAAAATGGCCTTGCGCAATGATAATGGAGGCAAAATGCAGTTTAGAATTATAAAAGGGTTTAAATGATCGCGATTTCTTAGCCTTGGGGAAAGTGTTAATGGAATATGCTAGGATTTAAAAGATTTTAAGAGGGAATAACGGGAGAAGAATTAGTGGCTGTTGCAAACTTGTTAATGCAAATAACCTTATGCTATTCTTTGCAGCTTTGTAAATTATAACGAGTGGATCCAGGCAAAAGAAGAGGGCTGGGCGAGGCAGGAGATTTTAAGGAGATTTTTGAAAGGGTTTGAGAATACCTTTCTCATAACAGCTTTTGGAGGATTATTTAAGGATTTAAACATGGTAGACTAGTAGAGCCTTTAAGTACTAAGAAAACTTGAAAAATTGCATGCTTAAAATGATGTAATAAAAGTTTATGAGCATAGCCATGCAAAAATTTTTTATTTAAAGGCCAATGCCGAGAAATCATCGTGGCACAAAATTTTAGACTCTTCTTTTATGTGAAGCTCTTCACATAACTGAAATCAAAAAGTCATTCTAAAATTTAAGTTAGCCTCATTCTCAAACGAAATTAATGTATTCTTATTTCATTAAATATTTAAGACACCAACTTTTTCGCCATTTATTTATTTAAAATTATATTTATATGATATAAATTATAATTGCCTAATGTTTATTTAAAATTTATCCTATTTTAATTTATTTCTAGACGTGAATGTATTAGTTAGTTAGTGAGCGGTTAGTACTCGCCATTTCCATTTGGTCTTGCTTCATTGACTATTACAATAAGGTGAAGAATTATTTGGGGACAGAATAAGATGTGGGTCGCCAGCTCCAGCTGGATTTTTCAGCGATTCATTCCTACCATGAGTAGAGGCCTTACTATGATGCTCGAAAAAGAAATCGCGGCGCATCATAGGCTATAATTGGTAGTATTAGCAAACTCATTAATAACTGATAATTTTTTTAAATATCTTTGTTCAACAATTAAACAATATGATAAGAAAGACGAAGCAAATCGCAATCGAAAGTTGAAAAATAAAGTGGAATTAAGCCAACCTACTTCCGTAAGACCTTCCAGAGAAAATTGTCGTAATTATATTTTTGCAAAACGCTTTTCAAAAATCCACGAAGCGAATAGTAAAATGACTTGTATGAATTAGTAGAAGCAATTCTTTGCATACTGTACCATTAAAACTTCATTACAGAGCGAATTTTAATGGCAAATTTAAGAGAGCAAGATATTCGAATGGTATGTTGTTTCGATTACTGTCAAGCTCGTAGTTACAAAAACAAAGTTGTGGAAAATAAAATCCTAAGAACCCGCTCGTAGTCTTTATTCTCTGGCAACGAGGAATCACTCTTATGGCCAGCGGAACCAGGCAAAGTAGTGGTGGTGAATGTTAGAAGACAAAGGAGACGAGAAATGCTAAAAGGATCAACGAGGCTGTGTGAAATTAAGAAGGTGTAATCAAGATTAATATGGAGAGGGTATTAATGAAGCGCTAGTAGTATTGCTCGAACAATTAATTTAAAATACACCAGCAGACCATCTGATCCTATGGACAAGAAGTTAAAATTGATCACGTTATATCCCACTAGCAAATGAAACGATCAAATGGTGGCTCTATGAAGCATCCATGCTAATATTTATGAGCTTTTCAGCATAAATATGGCTTAAAAAGAGTAAATTTGCCTCAATTAGTAAAATATATATAATAGTTGTTTGTTTGCATTGCCTTCACTTGCCAATAATTTGCCAATAATGCTGAATTTCTTGGACAGTATGAAGAAATGAAAACGGACTGAGATTGTACCGAACGATCGATTGCTCATCATCGTATTTTAATACATCAGCTGTTCATCTAACTCTTTTGAAAATTTTCTTCAAAGATACCACCATTCGTTATTGCTAACATTTTCCTCTTCTCAGTCCCTTTCAACATTTATGATCATCATACATAAATTTTTCTCAAACTGATCATCAATTTTCGAAATTTCAGTACGATTTTTTTTATTTTCAGCAAAAGTCTATAATAATAAATTTTATATTTTTTTCTGAAACTTTATTTTGTAGCTAAGAAATTCATTTTATGTAATATTTTATAATTATTTTAATAAATATTTGAAATTTTCGTTAATATTAAATATTCAGTGATAATTTAGTGGTGAAAATATTGACCAAAAATGAGAAAATCTGCTTATATTCGTATTTGGCTAATGTTAACTTTAAAGCAATTAGTGAAATTTCAGAAAATTTTTGTTAAACTGATTATTATTTTTATCATTTTATATTTCTATATTTCCATTTTCAATATATCAAAGTAGTTTAATTTTGTTTTTATTAAAGTATTTTTGCCAGCGAATCCTATTTGAGGTGCCTTTGAGTCTCTAATGGAGTTCTATCATCGAATTTTCGAATACTCCGTTACATTCAAAGGCTATTTATTCGTTTCATTGTTCTTTATTCAGTTCATTCATCTCAAATTTCGATGAAACATTTTGCCCATCAATAAATTAGGATTTTCCCATTTTTTTTGTCGTTAATTTTATTTTTATGATTTCAATTATCAATTAAAAATATGGAAATGCCGAATTTTCATAAAATAAATAAAAAAGTTTCATATCACCTTATAACAGAAAATAAGATGCAAAGATGTTTTTTTTCCATTCATGGAATGATAAAGTGATAAAGTGATAAATTTTCATCGCCTTAAATTAGTTGGCTCATGATATTTGATAGAAATAATTTGAGATATGGTATCGCAATGCATGAATGAAAATAAAATAAATATAAGATGCAAACTTTGATCGTTTATTTGGCTTTTCTCGTTCATTATTCGTTCTCAGGTATGCCTTTTCCAATTTTCTAATGAGGCCAAGTCCCCAAGTCCCTTTTTCGAAAAAGTACTCCTTCCCTCCATCTGTTTGGCCACTCAATTCTATCCTGAATTCCTATTTCGATTTCCATAACGAAAAGTGATTGGTACCAATGTTTATCATCACTTGAGAAAAATTGTTCTATCTTCATTTCTCTACGTTATAAATAAATTTAAAATCTACGATTTTCGACTCATCCACTGCCTTAATTCAGTTAATTAAATTAATTTATAATAAATTTAATTATTAATCATGTAGCGTTTAGCGCTTCTTGGGCACCTATGAAATATGAAAAAATCTTACCATATTCACCAATAATTTTCATACCTTCTAACCATTTCTGTTTTGTTATCCTCTATCGATTATTAGAGTGAGATTCTTTTACTATAGGAACACCTATAAACTGAAATACGGATGAAACCGCAGCTTTCAATTTGTTAGATATTTTCCTGTTTTTTATTAATAAACTTAAACACAGAGGAAAAAGGAAAAAAAGTTCAATAAGTTCAATTTTTTATTTTTTAAAATATTGATAAAATGTGCGAGAAACATTTTTTTTTGAAAATGATATATGCATTAAAATATTGCATAAAATTAATAAAGCATTTTTAAAAATGGATTTTCTTATTTGCCATTTATACAGGAATTTTATGCGATTTTGAATCTTACTGTAATTGGTACTTCGAAAGTCCATCATTAAAATATTCAAGGGATCCAAATAATAACTTCAAAATTGTTGCTGGTTCCAGGAACTTAAAGCCAAGTTCGTATTATTTCATCAATTCAATAACTTCTCAATAATAATATCCTAATTGATCAGTGGGAAATCTCGTAATCATGCTGTGCTTTCTCTGGCAGCTTTTGGATAGCGTTATTGTTTTTATGATAATTATATTTTAACGGACTTTATCCGTAATATTTTCTAAAGATATATATATATATATATATAATGATGCTTCAAAAATTTATGGGGCATAAGATTTGCTTCAACAACAATGACCAATGAAATTAGATTCAAATCCTTGTATTGAGTTTTTTATCAGGATGCTAATAATACAAAAAATTTAGCGCATTTTGCCTATTACAATGCATCGAAGTCAAGAATTGAGCCAGCCATGATTATTAGTCCATATTATCAACATTTATCTCCTCAAGTTTGTATTTTACCGATATTTTACAAGGCATCTCAAGTTGATCACATTTTTCGCTGTTTTTTTACCGAAAGGACAAAGTATAAGCGTGAAATAACATTAAATCTATTCAAAACATTTAATTTAGTGCGTATTCAAATATATAGAATTATTGAAATTTTGATCGAAACGAAGAAAACTTCGTCAATTGTTGCTCAACTTCAACATCATATTATTATTTGATTTGTATCTACAAATTTAAAATATGAGAAAATTAATTTATATAAATTAATTTTATAAAATACTTTCTCTCGGCCTGCTACTATAATATTTGCCTTTTATAATGTATCGAAGGAAAATGAAGAGAAAAGAAAAAGGAAGCGAAAAAGATTCGTTCTTTGCAGTGTGAAATTCGTTTTTTGCATCGCATATATGGTGATAGTGGAGCATCATTAGTTATCACAAGTCAACATCGTTCAACGAATGAACCGCTTCAATACATCGATTCATACGATTATGACGATAGTGATTGGACTCGACCTACCTTACATTCAACATTCACCGTTCCACAGAATCACGTCGAACTGTTAGTTATTAACGATAATTGGTAAACACTTCGCATTAGTTTATCTATTCCGTATACTGTCAGATTATTATCAAATGATTTATTTCTCATTTGCACTTTTTTTAGAATTTTATGCTTGAAATAAATAGATTATAAGATATAATTAATTTGATTGTTCTAATGTCATCTAAAAACAACTATAAAAAATATTTCATTACAACATTATACAACAAATGTTCATTTATTATGACAACCAAAAATTTACACTCTCTATTGAAGGATTCATTTTTTTTTTAAATTAAAAAATTTGACTTTATTCTTTCTTATTTCTTTAATGAATTTTTAAACGAATGTTTGTTTGAAATAAAGATGGAAAGAATCTGTTGTTCATATTGGACAAGCAACACATCCAACGAGGATTCGCATCGAATGTCATTCACCACATATCATCGATCTTACTTTTAATCATATCAACACTGAATGTTTCATTGATAACATTGAAATGGTCGGATGCGAAGGTAAGTTTCGATATTGTTTTTTTATTGTTTTTTTAAACAAAAAATTGTGATATTTACTGATATTTTCAGCTAAGAAATGATTGCGCATAAATTTTCACGCCTTAGATATATCTTAAATTCAATAGAGCATTACAAGACACAAATGATTACTAAAGATAGCGAATGAAAATAGATTGGATATTCTCTAATCACTTTTAAAATTCAATCAAAATTTACTAAAAAATTAAGGTATTTTTATTCAGCTGGAGACGATGAGTCTAAAAAATTTCTTTGATTGATGTGATTAACAAATGAACATATGCCATATATTTAGGAAACTTTTTTCAGAAGAGCTGTGGTATGAAAACGTTTGTCAGTCCAATCGAAGTAGAAAATATCTTTGTCATCGCTATGGCCACCGAAAATGTATTGACTATGATCAACTTTGTGATATGAATATTGACTGCCCGGATGGTGAAGACGAACAGAATGAGCTGCACAACTGCAGTTAGCGCTACAAATAGTTATAAAATTTATAGAATAGCTTGCTGTCACATAGAAATTTTTTTTGCTCACCATTCCTAATTAGGCTCTCATTGTTGGACCAAGCAAATTTCTTCTCAGAGTTACTTGGAAGTATAGGTCGGTCACCAAAGCCACACGAATCTGCGCAGGAAAACCTCAACATTGGCGTTTCGAAGTGACACCAATAATCCGAGCTATTTGATCTCTTAGAAAATTTAGAATTTTTCATGAACTTCCGTATTTGCATGTAAAATTGCCACTGAATTGCTATTTTTAAAGATGAAAAAGTACAAGGAAATTTCCATTTTATCTCAAGCCAAAAATTGTGAGATCGTATTTTATTTTCGTTTATATTTTAGCTGAAGTACCATTGGGTGCTCGGTGTACATTTGATGACGATGACAGCAAATGGCTAACTGGTTGTCCTGGTTGGAAATTAGAAACATATTATGTGCATGGTGGAAAACCCATCGATGGTGATCACCTGTTAATGCGATTTAACTCTAGTGAAGCATTAGCACATGCTTCAATGAAACACATTCCTTCCAGTGATCATACATTTGAAAATTTTAACAACAGTGGTAATTATTTTGCGATTTTAAAAAGTTTTAATTAATATCACTGTCTTTTTTAATATAAAATCATGCACAATTATTTACGAAAATTATAGATAAATTCCAATTTCATTTTAACGCCATAATTTCAATTTTAGGACATTTTCTTTTTTTTACATCTGATCGAGAAGTCGAGTTGGACACATTCACTGACACTAAAACAACATATTTTATCTCTCCAAACTTTCCACCAACAAACCCTATTTTTCTTGATTCATCAATGCCAACATTTGGTACTTGCAAAGTACGTTTTTATTATTGTGCTTATGGTAATGCTATATCAACTTTACAATTAATTGTACAACCATTAAACGGACAACCTGCAAAAATTATATGGACTCCTCCATCCAATTCCTTCACTGATCAACGTTATTATTGCGAATGGATGAAAATTTCTGCTGACTTACCTGAACAGGTAAATTCAGTAATAATTTATAACAATTTATTAACCAATAACTTATTGATTTTGTGATTCAAGAAATGGTCTCAAATTTTTCGTTCTATAGCTCCTCAGTTTTTTTTTTGTAAGAACGCTCAACATTTTTGATTAACTTCGCTCGTTAAACCAGATAAATTTTGCCATAGAATTACTTGTCGATGGCGGTATAGATGGTTCGCTACTAGGATTTAGGATCTTTGAAAGAAAGATTTATTTCTAGCAGGAGCAAATTACAGCATCGGAAATGATAGCAACTCATTTTGATATATATATTATGGAGCTTGATCTACGATCCTCTAAGTTCTAGTTTGCATTTATTTGCAAAAATACAAAAATTAAATTTTTAGAGGAGTGAATATTATTTAAAGATGAGTGTCAGCAAAATTTTTGATTCAACGATCACTTTTGCTATTGACGACATTTCCATGAGTCCTAATTGTTTTAAAGCAGGTAATTTTTTCAAATATAATTTCCTTTATTTTCATTTAAAAAAATCTTTTGATCTTCTTAAATATTTAAAATGCTTCATAGCTAAGTTTTATTTCAAAATTTTTTTAATAATAAATTTTTTTATTATAAATTATTAAAATAATTTAAAAGTGCTCAAAAAAAGTGAAAAATCGATAATTAAATTATTTTACGATAAATTTTTAAATCATTTAATATATATTATTTAATATTTTTTTGGAAATTTAAGAGCAAATATGGCGAAAGCAATATATACCATTTTCATACAACATAAGTAGCTGTGGATTAACCGGTTCAACTCCTCCAACACCTGATTTGTGCAGTCATTTTTATAATAATACGTAAAATCAATTTTCGTTATTTTCTACTAGAATTTTTAGAATGTTTTGTGAGTTCATCAGAACAACTGAAGATACTTGGCATTAAATAATAGTTGATTATGCGATTATGCGATTAGGAAATTTTCAGCGTTACGCATACCATAATTCAAAGCAACGATACATCAGGTTATCATCGTTGGATTGCTCCTAAGTCGGCTGAATATAGGTTACATTTTTTATACCTTTTCCACTAATAATATTAACTTTAGCGTTCCATTTTCTTTAATATATTTGAAATTAGCGCTTATGATCGCAAAATTTGAAATATTTAAATTTCTATAGCTAATAAAATCATTGAAATAAATCTAGCCAGCCAAGAAAAAAAAAATTTGCAAAAGAAATATTTTGATAATTTTGCGATTTTATTAAACTATCAATTAAGAATCGAAGCATATGGTGGGTCTGGCGGACAGCTACCCTATCAAACGATAAACAACCATGGTGGTCGAGTGGTAACAGTCGTTAATTTAACTACAGCCATGGAACTTGAAATTCTAATTGGACAAATGGGCGAAAGTCCCTGCTATCATTCGTATGGAAAAATTAAAAAAGAAAAATTCGTCAGCATTTTATTTTCTCATCAATAAAAACATCTTGCGGTGACCTTAACCTTCAAAAAAAAATTCAACGAAAAATATAGTACAATCGTAAACCATTAAATGATCATTTTTGCAATTTATCATCTTTGTATTAATATTGGATAAGCTTTATTATAGAATGATCATCAATATTCGGCGTTGCAATTCATATGTTCAAATGATAATAGCGATTGGACAACCGAAACGGCAATAGCCAATGCTGTTATGTTTCCAGGTACATCAGGTGGTGGCGCAACTATAGTGAAAAATCTTGGTCAAATAATTCTTGTTGCTGGAGGCGGTGGTGGCATTTTTTCAGAACATCTTATCGCTATTGAGAAAGTCGGAATCAGGTTGTTTTGTTTAGATTGCCAATTTTTTAAGCTGTTTAAATTATTAATTCGTAACTTGTCAGATATATTTTTCTTTTTCTAAGCAACTGCTGTTAGATTCTATAAATTTAAAAAATTTTTTCGTAAATTGTATTAATAATATTATTCGCAGTTTATGAGATTTGTTTTATTAGATATATCATTTTACATGGCATTTTATTCATATTGAATATTACAGTGCGAAAGGAGGTCTACCAACTGACGAATATGTTCCTATAGATTTTAGTCAATACGGTATAAGAAATGGTATTTCGTGGATGTCAGGAAACGGAGCAGGGATTAATAATAAAAAGGTTAAATGAAATTTGAAATTATTTGAATAAATATTGTGATATGGCAGCAGTTGCTTAGAAAAATATATCTGACAAATTTTGTCGAAATGAGTCGCATGATTTCTAAACGAAATTCTCTAGAAGTAATGGTTATTTCAATGAGAATATAGATGAAGAAAAGTATCGAAAAGTAATAACCAAATAATTGGTAACAATCCTTAAAGAGAAATATAGATGAGCAATGCGGTTGATTGCCCCCCTCCAATTCCGTTACCTACAATAGTTATATGGAGATTATATAGTTGGAAGAATTCACGATAAAGTTGATCTATCAAAAATCGAAAAGAATAAGGCGATGCTGGATCTATATGTACCTAAGGTGGAACCAGATTCTATGTCCGCTGAAGAATTAAACGAATTTAAAGGTGAAAACTGAAGAATTATGTGAAAACTGCAACATAATGACGGGTCATTTAACAAATACATCATCTGCTGGAGGTGATTGTCCAGAAGTTTCGGTGTGGAAAATTCGTGGTGGATACGGTGGAGGCGGTGCATCATGCGGTCCTGGTGGCGGTGGAGGAGCTGGTTATTATGGTTAAAATATCTTTGTATCATGTTTTACTTTCGCAATATCAGCAATTGCTGTTGCGCTTCTTGAATTTATTTTAAGTTATGCATTGAAAAAACTATCTTTAGTACAAACTTTGTTTTTTTCTGATTTCCTGTAAGCATGCCACATTTATACTCGTAAAATTATCATGATGATACTGATTATAGGCGGAATAAGTGGTCAAAAATATCATGGATCAGGAGGATGGAGCTATGCTTTACACAGTGATGCAATTATAAGTCCAGGTATTTAAGTAAATATTGTCGCATTAAATTAGATTTTTATAGCTTTTTGTTGCTTTTTTAATTGAAATGACATTTCACCTTATACCTTCAGTTCTTTTAATATTGTTCCCAAATCTTTATCAGTAACAATTACGTAATATTCAGTCCTAAAAATTTTTTGGGTGTGAATCCTGGTGATGGTTATGTAGTGATTTATCCATGTCGTCTTAAATGTTCATCGAAAGCCACATGCCGTTTTCGTATGAATGATCCAGATAAAGTTGAATCTTTCTGTTCATGTCCTACTGGTCAAGAAGTTTTAGAAGAGGAAGAATGTACTTTATGTTAGTTTTAAATTTTATACTCAAACTATTCCCACTGCTACCTTCATTAATGAATGAGACGCGATAGTCAGTAGCTGTATTTTAACTGAAGTTTTTGCATATCAAAGTGAAACAAAATTATAAATAGAAGCCGAACTTGAACTTACCTTCTACCTTAAATATTTTCCTGGAATAGTCATTTGGCTAATCGAAAAGTAGTGAGCATGTTAGAATAAGAAGAATTGTGTGCCACAATAATTTTTGCTCCAGTGCAAACACATTTTGGAAAAATTTTCAGCTAATGAACCGCAAATGGTAAAATTTCCAGAAAATAGTGAAGTAGTTCTTATTATATCAGTATTGATATTTATTGCCATTATTTTCGCCTTATCAACTGTTTTTGGAATCTTCTGTAAGTTTTTAAAGAATTTCGAAATCATAGATTTTTGCAGATCTTTAGCATGTGCAATAGCCATATAAAAATTTTTTTTGGGTCTTTGGATCTTTTTGGATCTTCTGGAGTACAAATTAAAAAATCTGCATTTTACAAAGAGTTGAATCAGAAAGAAATAAGTTATGGAACTAGGATAATGAGTATAATTTCAAACAAAGGCGTATATAGGCAAAAAGAACTGGAATAAAAACTGCGTAAAAAGCTGGTCTACTATAACCGATCAGAACAAATCCTTTTCAGCTTAAAGCTTTTTGCAGACTCAGTCACAAACTATTAAAATTGTGAACTATGGTTTAATCATATCATCATGGTTTGTATGCATAAGCTGAATGTTAAGTTAAATGCGTCAAGTCATAGTTTTTTTGCGAATTATGCGTGTATTATTGCATTATTTGTTGTTTGTTTAACCTTGAATTACAATACAATAAAAGAACAACTTTTAAAAGATTAGAAATATAATATTTATTTAATCATTTTTCATCATAGGTATTTATTTTCGCCGACGACTTAAAAAAGCAAAACGTGAAAAAGCTGAACTGAGTCGAGAAATTGGAATGTGCACATTGACATCGATTGCTCCATTAAACATTACCGGCAATCCTATTTATGAACCATTTAGTTTATGCTCGCAATTGCAGCAAATTCCTCGACAAAATGTCACATTAATTAAGTAATTTCCAAGTCATTATTTTTTCTTTTTTCTGAAAGTGCTCACCATTTCTGGTTAAATTCACGTCAAGACAAATTCTGCCAGAGAGTTGATTTGTTGATAGAAATAGAAGTGGCTAATCAGCATCTTTGAGACTTTTGAAAGACATGTTTATTTAAGATATAAGATATTTCTGCAGGTAATAAAAGTCGAGTGTCGATGTTTTGAAGTAAAAGCTGCTACACAGAAATAAAAGTAGGTAAAAAGTGAAAGCAGTACTTTGTCCTGTATTTCTGCATTTTAAGGCATTATTTCTAAGGCAATCACATAAATAAAATTTATTTGATTTTTAGACCGTTAGGCCAAGGTGCGTTTGGTGAGGTTTATGAAGGATGTCTCATCTGTGGTGAACATATTGTTCGAGTCGCTATAAAAACTTTACCCAAAACTGCCACAAAACAAGCAATTAATGATTTTGAAATGGAAGCACTTATTATGACGTTAGATTTTTTTCATTTAATCTTTGTTTTAAAGTTTAGATTTAAAAAATTTTTCTTAAAAGATTTAAATTAATGCCGTCGTTTTTTGATAAACTTAATAAATTAAAAAATGAAAGCAATAATGAAAATTTTTAGTAAATTTCGTCATGAAAATATATGTGAATTAAAAGGAGTTTGTTTTGATGTTATGCCTCGATTGATTGTTCTCGAACTGCTCGCTGGTGGTGATTTGAAGTCATTTTTGCGTGAATGTCGGCCAAGAAATGTAATCAACTATCTGTTGACCTTATATCACTCATAATTACTTTTTGTATTAAAACATAGCAAATGAAAAAATTGATAAGTCTGGCTAAATTTATTTGGCAAAGATAATCAGTGGCCAATATCGATAAAATAGAAGCTGAATTTGCATGAAGTGCAACATAAAAAGTTTTTTTAATGAGGCTTACTTATTATATTCATCATATGATTTATTACTATTTTCTGATGGTTTAGGCTAGTGGATATAATTTATCTGTATGTGATTTGATAGAGATGGCACTTGATGTTGCAAAAGGATGTAAATTTCTTGCTGATAATAGGTTTATACATCGTGATATAGCTGCTAGAAACTGTCTGCTAACGAAAAAAGAAAAAGGACGTGTTGTTAAAATTGCCGATTTTGGAATGGCTCGTGATATTTATAGGTATTTTTCACTGTCATTATCATCTTCCACTGTCAGTAAACATTTTGCATTATTTAAACTTTTAACAATTTCTCCTCCTGTTTTTGGTTAAGGACTTGAGGAATCGTAATTATATTTATTAATGTAGGCAAGATTATTATCGCAAAGGAGGTAAAGCAATGTTACCCGTAAAATGGATGCCGCCAGAAGCTTTTCTAGATGGAATTTTCACTGTTAAAACGGATGTTTGGTCATTCGGTGTACTTATGTGGGAAATATTTTCGCTAGGATATATGCCTTATCCAGGAAGAAATAATCAAGAAGTATAAATTTAATATATTTTTCCTTTGTTTGATCTTTTTATTTTTATTTATTTCTATAAAATTGTTTCTTGCCCTATCATTTTATTTGTTTGAAATGCTTGTTTCTTATTCGCTTTAGAATTATTTTAAAATAATACTGAATAGGTGATGTCATTAATTGTAAATGGCGGAAGGCTGGAACCTCCAAATGGTGTTCCCGATCGTTTATACGACTTAATGTTATCATGTTGGAATACAGTTGATAACGATCGACCAAGATTTGACGAAATTATTGATAAACTTGAAGCGATGCTTGGAGTAGGTTTAGAAAATTTTTGGAAATAACAAAATGGTTTAAATGATATCATAAGTACTGTACAAAATTGTGACCACGAACTTGCTTGATTCTAGTATCTAATCGCAGAACTTATGATGAGAAAAATAGGAGCAAGTTCAACGAGTGCAACGAGCAAGAGAGAGATATAACATCTGGCATATTGCCGTCGCATATAAAACATTACCTATGGAGCTTACAATAGAACGGAAAAATGGAATAGAAAACAGTTTTTATGAAAACATCTATTCAAAGATAACTCTGGAAACAATTCCCAAAAATTATAAATTATTATTATACATCGAATAATTTGATAGAAAATTGATAAAATTGCAATCATTACGATTGATATGAGAAGGAATATTGTGATACATTGCCATTTGAAAATTTTAAAATTTCTATTACTATTTTTTTTAGGATCCATTATTTCAATCATTACCAGTGCCATCAAATTTAGCTCATTCCATAAATTCAACTAAACAGGAAAGTAGTCTATCAATTCCCGAATTATCTTGTAATCTTGAAAATCAATCGCAAACTACTATAAATACCATGCTTAATTCGTATACTGATAACAATAATATGATGAGTGATCCTATGCCGACAAAAGGTTGTTTTGCACTGCAATGAAATTAGAGCAATGAAATTTGTTAAATAAAAATTTAATATACCATTTTTATTTTTATATTATATTGATATAACATTTCTAAATTGCCGAACAGTGAAAGCAAGAGCCACTTTTAAGATTGCTTTCTTTATGTTGTTGAGTTCCTCCCACCAGTTTTATCCTTTTTTTGAGCCGTCAAAGGCTGTTATCTGTAGCTTCTTCATTGGTCCTTGTTTGAGCCGCCAATCTATCGTTATTGATCGTGTTGATATTGTTAGTTTACTATTGTCGGTTTTTATCTCCCCAAAACGATGTGATCCAATCAAGACCTAGACTAACACAATCAGGAAATATTTCGACCGTATAAGGGGACCAGCAATATATGGACTTAGACGATGGAAAAAGGAATGGTTTCTATTACTACTAGCGATTACTACTAGCACAGAGCAGCTTGGAGACGTCTTACTCTCGTAGCCAGCGGAGTCAGCCTAACCAGTAATGGTGAGAGCTGTTAAAAAAAGAAAGTAGCCTTTTGGCGACTATCGATATGTGAGAAGTTTAATAGCTTAATATTCATATTAAAACAAATTTATAAGATATTGATATAATAAATATTGATGTTAAATACAATTTGATAATAATTTCGATTAATTAAAGGTGATGGTGTTAATTTTAATGTATGCATTCCATATCAATCACAAGGGCCTGAAACATCACATCCAGTTAATTTAAACCGACTCGTGACAATGGATCGTGGCGATACATCACATAGTGACGATTCTGCGATAACATTAGCAAACAATTCACAAGAATATTTTAGCAAGTTTAATTACATCGCTTGATAATTGATAATCAGTAGTAAAAACTTATTTGAAAATTAGATGCCATAGCTTTCTCCCACTCAATTTTTAATTATTCACTTATTTATAATCTTCAGTGTTTGATTAGTCGCACTGATTTTGTGCTAAAAATTTTGATTACTAAAAATTAAGATTGCAAACTAAAATTTCCATATTTTTAAATACATTTTGACTATTTATATTGAAAAACAAAATTAATAAAATTAAAAATTATAGAGATTCAATGAATCAAAAAAGGGCGCTAATTTATCATTGTCAAATTTAATGGAAGCATTCGTAATCTGCATTACCAATGTTCAAGAAAGCCTCCATTAATGCCTGCATTTTATATCAGTCGGACTACTACTATCGTATAGAATGCGTAGGTAAAGATAAAACCCTAAAATAAATGGTTTGATAGGCGAGGATTTGAACGACACAAGTAATTTATCTCTGTTATAGCCAAATTTGCTCAACCATTGTTATTTGTTATTGTATTTTGACCAAAGTGTTTTGGTAGTCTAAGTAATCTATAACTCAAGGAAATTTTTTTTTTGATTTTTTTTTTTATTTTCATTAAAAATGTTTTTGAAGTTTAAATAACACTATCTGAAATGCAAGAAGTGATAATGAATGTCTTGATTATCGCAGAATTTTTTTTTCCTTGTTTCCCAAGGATTTCATTATTTTCTATATAGAATATCAGATAGAAAAATCCTATGGTTCAAATTTTGATTGATAATATCGTAGTGACATCGGTTAAATCAGTTATAAGTATTAGTCTCAATATATCATTATAAGTATTATTTATATTAGAAAACCATGTTTATTTGTTTTCAGATAAAAAATTTGATATTTAACTAAAATATTATTTAAAATAGTATTTAATTTTAATATTTCCAAGTTTTTTAAGATCTCGAATTTTTAGTTATTATTCTTTATATATACTCCACAAAAATAGTCATAAATATAATAATATAATAATATAAATATAATAATATCAATAGTTTAGCTAATAGTAAATTAACCTAACCTCTTTAGTGTAAATATATTAGGGAAATTGCTAAGGCTTTCATTTGTGTCATTTTGTTTTATTTATCTGTGAATAAAAAATTATTTGGTTGATTTAAAAAAAAAACTGATTCTGCCAAATTAACAAATTTTTAAATTCTAATTATGATATGATAATTACCAACGGTATAAAAAAAGTGAAAAATATATATATATTTTTTAAAATTGACCGCGATTTCGGCGAAATATTAATAGTTCCTTGGCCATGAGATCTCTGCTATAGCAAAATGATTTACTGCGAATGTAAAATTTCGCGGAAAGACAACAAACCAAAATTTTTCAATGGAGATGTAACAGTCAGCGTTTAACCAAAAATATCAACATTTTACATATGTACATTTCAAGCCTTGAAAGATCATAAAAGACTATACCCGGTACTTTAACATTTATTAAGCTTAAAAGAAGTTTTAATCCAATATTTTATTGCAACGGTATAATTACATACATAATTTGATGGTCCTTGAGCCGAATGCAACGGACTGCCATAAATATCTTCTAAGATCACTCACCATATGGTTTATCATTTGAGTTAGCCGATAAGCTTATTGACTAATGAGCTGAGTTCTTCGTTGTAGAGCAAATGGATTCCTAACATCACTTGGATTTCTGGATTCCAAGTAATAGATTTGCTCAAGGGCAGCTATTTAACCTGCTTGACATAGGTCAAAGTCACATAACGACCGCGTCAAGAAGTTGATGAATAGATTTCAGTGTGTCCGTAAGCGTAGACAAAAAATGTACGTTTCCACTAAGTGCTAACTCCATCGCAACTCCTTCAAATAACAAAGCAAATAGGTGACAAATCTCAATTCTCTTAGGATATGATTCAGTAATTTTTGATATTATTGCAATTTTTGGAATAATACCAAATACTTTTCAAAGACCAAACTTTCACTGACACGCAAAATGCGATCAATTAGTTTTATTAAGAACAGCGAAAGGATGACAATTTTATGGACATTCTCCGTGATCTGATTCACCACAGGAGTTGACGCATATTTCGTATATTTTGAACCCTGTGATAGTTGATGTCAAAAGTGAGGAGGGCCAGTCAAGACCTGGACTGATACAGTCAGGAAATATTTTGAACGTATAGGTGGACCAGCAATATATGGACTTAGACAATGGAAAAAGGGATGGTTTCTATTATTGCCAGCTATGGCATTGGATCGAACAACTTGGAGACGCCTTATTCTTGTAGTCAGCCTAATCAGTAATGGTGAGAGCTATTAGAATACAAAGAAAACATTGACCCAGAGTCCGATCCTCGCTGCAGTTGCTGACACGTTGTTTTATATTGTTTGTATTTCGTCATAACTGTCCAATAATTAAATAATTATTGTTCTATATGGCTAACCTGTGATGAGCCGTATTCCTTAATCCATCGTTAAGCTTAAGGCTTATTTTAAATGCAATTTGTAACAGCAAATTTTATTGGATAATTTTATTAGGCTGACGAACTTTGAGCAGCGAATAGATCTCAAACTCAAATCTAATGCTAAATAAATAATTGAATCAAATAGAGAGTTGTTGAATCAGTGGGTTGTTGCTATGAAAATCGAAAGAAATTAGGCCAAGAATTCGGTAGCCTTCAGCAATTTTAGCAGTTATACATATTTTCATGCATATTTTTCCTTCGAAATCATGTATATTCCATATTGTTCATTTAAATACATTCATTGCTTTGAGACTCTATAGATTCTGCACGAAATGTTTCGTGGATCTCATACGAGTGTGAAAGGAGACAATAAAAATTAAGAATCGCCTAAGACTTCGCTATTGGCAAAGTAGTCAGTAAAATTCAACAGTAATTGTAAACCAGATTATTTTAAACGAAATGAATCCTTTGGTCGAAAAAAAAGATTTCGATTTTTTTTTCTCGGACTACGAAGCTTCCTGGCTAGACTTGCTTATATAACCAGACAAATTTTGTCAGAAAGTCACTTAACAATTGAATTACCAGTAGCCAGTATCATTCGGGATTTATGAAAGGTGGGCGATTAACATATGCGAGGATGAGCAGGAATAGAACATCCAGCATTCCGAAATGATATTTGACACATGAAAGCTATAGCACCTAAATTTACAATAATTTGCAATAATAATATTACCCTTAAATTTAATGTTAAATACATATATAAATGATTAAGAGAGTTGTTGAATCAGTGGGTTTTTGTTCATTTCTGAGCGCCGATGCTAAGGTTCGATTCCCCGCAGGAGTAAACTTATCAAAAAATCCGGGTGATACTGCCGACTCACCTGTATTACTATCGCCAAGGAACTCCCTCGCATATTTGTCCAATGCGACAAGCCAGCAGAGCGAGTTTAACCAGCAATGGTGAGAACTCTAAAAAAAAAATTGAATCATAGAATCGATTTTGAAAATTTTCTTAAGGGGCGGGGCTTTATAGATGCGGTTACTTGCTGAATTTATGACTATACTCGTGCAACAAAATATGTAACGAAATTTAAATTTGATATATAACGGTAAATTGTTTATTGGGTTGAATTTTTTTGTTTGTTGGCCTAGTTATGCCATATTTCTGGCTTTTCTGGCTGTCTTAAATGAGCTCGTCCAGTATTAGAGTCGCTTATCATACTTGGCTTGACTTATCATACTCTCTAAACTGATTTATCGTGCCAAACAAATCGTAATCAATCGTTATCGTTATCATTATCAATAGAAAGAAGTGCATATCGATTGCCATCACCATCCGGATTTATTTTTTTAATAAACCCGTTTCAAGTTAGCTTCTTTTCCTAATAATCAAAATGCTTCAGTTAGCGCTGATATTCATATAATGATATCAAATCAGATCAGCCAGTTTCAAGTACCATTTAACATATTTTTTGCAGGTATCTTTTTTTTCCATAATTTTATAGTTTAATGAACTTATCGGAGAAATTGAGCTTAATCGTTTAGTCAGCACCTCGTCTATTTCGTTCACTGCAAGTACTTTTGCTCTTGCTTTACTCTTCTAGAGGTAAAGGTAAACTATGTTTTAAAAGATTATGTCTTTATTTTTTGAATTTATCAAAATTTTGCTTTATTTTAAATCACTTGTTGGAATAATCAGTTCATAATGAGTTTAGGTATATTTTCCCGATATTAGCGCTCGTAATTACTTTTATTAGTGGAATAATAGAAGCGTGAGTACTCATGGTCAGGAGCCGTGTTAAGCAATGAATTAATAAATCCTATTCGTATTCCTATTGGCACTATATTAAAGAGGATGTTCCAATGATGTTCCAAGCATGAAAAAAGTATTTACTTTTGAATTTGAAATCTATCGAAAATGATCAAGTTTTTAAATTCTTATTATCAATATCATTCATTCGTTTTTCAGTTAGTTATGAAATTATATGCAAGTTGTAGGCATAAAATTCAAGATGAAGAAAGGTATTTTGTTTTATGTTGGTGACATTTGGCTTTTTCTAGTTTATGCTCATATTAAATGGATGAGAATAGACTCGGTATGGGTTGACGCTGTATTATCATGGTGAGCCTAACGATTTGATATTCACTGAGCGACTTGGGTTACTCGCTAGTCAGCTCGCGCGTTATTTAACAGTCATTTATTACTTTATGTTTTCATATTTAGAGTGTATCTTTACAGACCACAAGCCTTTGCGATAGTAATGAGTTACAAATGGTCATATCATTGATATACATTCATACGTCTTTGATTAGACAGGTTTGCACGATATTCGTGCCAGCTTTAACATTACTGCAGGTACATTGTATTCCACAGTGTATTTTTTGCCGTTTCTTTGTATTTTAAAAACGTTGAAATACGATTACTTTTATTTAAACAATCAATGAGTATTTAAGAAAAATAGCGATGACTTTCTCAGAATGGAGTTGTATGCAACACTAGAATTAAATTTGTTTGAAGCGATTTGTGTTTACTGTCAACTTCTACTCAAAATTGAGTCAATTTAGCTTCTTTTCTCGGTTTAATTTAGCATAATTTTCCAATATGATTGAATTGTTTGATGAATTATAGACTTTCTTCAGGTAAAAGTAAGAGATTGGTAAAAGGTCGAAGGATTATTTAGTTGTGCTAACTGCAAGCATCATTTTTTGATATGGAAGTAGGATTATCAAGCACTTTCTAATGGAAATTCTGTTCTGTGGATCCCAGAATGACTGTCGCTGTTCTTTTCGAAATAATAGCACATGTGATTTATGTTTGTTTTACAATGTTCTTAAGTTTCATGCAATTAAGAACGAATTTATGGGTAGTCTCAAATTGAAAACATTCTTCATTAACGCTCTCCATATGATAACATATAGAAGATGGCCTGCGCCGACAAATTATTATTTTTTGAAATCTCAGCTTGAGATCTAGGAGGCTTGAACCTTGAATTTTTTCTACAGCAAGTCAAGGACAATAAAAGTAGGACAGGTTCTGTAATCTGCGGAGCCGAAATTCGATTCTTGGATAATTGGTTTATGGTCTATGATGGCTTTTTTCCATTCACAAACATAGGCTGATTAACTAACTTAACGTAGTTAAGTTTCCATTATAGATGTGTTATGACTTCTTACTATTTCTCATTTCTTTATTAATTTAGCACGGGTCTTCAGCACTTCAGGGCGCTAAAGGAATGATTCAGTTCGTGACCTGATATTATTATTCTGATGGTCGGAAACGTATTCGCATCACAACTGCATGTCTGGGTTGATATGTCTTCACAATCTGACTCTGCGTCTGGGATTCGATCATTGATATTTACTTGTTTTGGGTTGATACCTTACTTTTCATGGTACTACAGTTTTGTCATTTTTTTGATGTACTTTGATATTTTATTACTGAATTTTTAAAATGTTCACCGAGATCTCAGGAAGCAGCTGCTATAATAGTGGCTAGATTGGCATCTTGGGGAGCAGTGAACGAAAATGATATTTCAGATGTATTGCATTGGGTTGATCGTAGTTTGGTTCTATTTTGTTAAAAGTTTGGTGAATATCACAATGCACGTTTAATTTCACACATGTTTATTTCTTTTGTACTCTGCTATAGAGGCGAATTGAAATTTAAATTTGAGTTTCTAATACCAGTTTGATCTGAATATAATAAGATATTTTAAACCTTGATTAAATAAATTGACATGGTAGTATGATATCGATTCTTCTAATCTTACAGATCTCAGTTCTTTCAAGTTTTTAATAGTTCAACTAATGAAACTGTGTATTGCCTTTGTTCAATTTTATTTGTGCCTTTAGAGTGAGCATTTGAGATTTAAAGATTTCATGAATATTTTTGTAGAAATATTTTTTCTTTTTTGTAGAAATATTTTTTAATATTTTTTCCTTTAGTTTTTATAGTATTTTAGGTATATTTTATTTTCTGAGAATGTTTTGAAAAACACGGCAATGATCCAGCTAATTCTCTTTTAATATTCACAGTAATCCTCCGGAACCAGTTTTACTAGGCATTTCATCGATTTTGCCAGATAGGATTATGCTTATGGATCATTTTCCATTATCCACGTTCTAATACTCCATAGACAGGTTATCACTGATATTTTTACCTTATATCTGTTTCAGAAAAACATTGATCAACGGTACGCGGATACGCGGTTGAAACTATTTTTGCGTTGTTCCGTTTTCTCTGCGTGGCACTTGTAATTTGCTGTTCCTTTTTAAAACATTTTTTTTCGCATTAACTGATGAAATATATTCCATTCAGAATGTAGGCTATCCTCGCTTGGCGTAAATTGAATTATCAAGACGATCCTTGATGTGGGGCTTTCAAGGAACTTCTTGGTGCACCACTTACTAATGCTGCGAGTATTTTGTAAGAACGCTTTCTGATGCCTAGTTGTATTGCAGAACGCGAAGGATCCCAGGTATAAACTAGTTTCTATTATTAACTTACATTGATATTATCATTGATATTGACTTATAATCATTAATTAAATGTATTTTCAAGAAGAAATTCACTGAAAATTATTAATAGTATCATTAATATCGTAATTTACAAAATTTACAGGCATACTTTCTGTTGTCAAAAATCGATCCATCACTTACTCATAATAATCCCTATGTAAGTGTGGGTCCTTTTTCTATAATCAATTTTTTTAATGATTCATATTACTGAAATATATATATATATAACTATTTTAGAAAGTTAGTCTTCCAATGTTAACTGACGACGTTTTTCTGCATTATTCATGGAGAATTTGAAAAAATTGGCAGTACTATCATCATAAAATTGAGATTGCTTCTTACTTATTAAAAATTAAATCACTAAATTTTATTTAGTTTTTTTTAGTTTTTTAGTTTTTATATATGTTATTCTATTTCAGATAATTTCATTGCTCATTGTTGATCGGGAAAAAGCAGATATTTTTTCGATGTATTTTGTTTTTGTTAATTGTTTTTTTAATCTTTATTTTGTTGTTTTTTTTGCTTTAAATGGAGAAGGATGGGGAATGGTTCAAATTAGGAAATTAGTTTTAACTTATAATTGGAAGAATTTTCTGAAACATTTATGAGCTTATTTTTATTCTTATTCATTACATAAATATTTATTTATTTAATCCTTTTTCATAAATAATGGTAGTTAATTGAGTTTTTAATGAGAACAGAAGGTTCATTTTCTGTGGCTTTGTTAAAGAAATAAGGATTCATTTTGTGCCAGAATTGTCAAAACTAGAACAGTTTGGATTCTTCTTCTGTCCACAAAAAGGCATTTCTATTTTAATTTCTTTTTTAAATTGGAAGTATCCTTGCGCTAAAATTAATTGTTTTTTGTTTTTTAAACGTGCAAGTTTGAATGTAAAATTAGTGGTGTCTGCCATGAAATGATAAAATTTTTGAAAAAAATAGAGAATTTTGATGAATTTAGAGTAAAAATTTAGGAATATTAGGGAATACAACACATTCGGGAGCACTTCTTCATTGATTATCACTTCATTGATGATCGCTCGTCAGTAGAAATCGCTGGAAATGTATATTTAAAAATCGCTGTATCTGTAATTAAAACTAATTCATCGTTCGAATTATATCTTTTATTTTTATTTGATATTATAAATTTTGATTGAGTAATTTATAAAGAAAATGCGCTACAGAATCATGAAAAATTAATAACTCGTCACTAGAAAATTAACATGAAAATCATTTTGTTTACAAAAACTTTCGAAATGAAAAATGGTTAGAAGCCGAATTATGCTTTGATTATTATGAAAATATAGATTTGTCTTCTCGGATCCTCCGAAAACCTGGGAGAATTTTGAGATGACCTGTACCTGTATTTGGTTGAATTTTCTCAAAGTGGACGAGTTATTTGATTTGGTCGGTCTCATTGACTTTTAGCTATTCAGAATGGCGTCAGGCATTTCGAATAGAAACAATGGTCTAACATAGTTTTGAATGTCATGAAAAAAAAGTAAAAAGGTGGCGACCAATTGATTTGCCGAGTTAGTGATATCGCACCAATGGTTGGTTTTCGAAGTACAAGAATAGATTAATGAATTATTTTGGTTAATAATGAATTATTTTAAAGGATCTTTTAGAGATTGAATCAGAGTTGATAAATAGGTAACAAAATCTTCATGCTTATGCATCGGTTTAAAAAGTGCTCATATTGAGATTCATTCACCATATAATCTCACCATAAGGAATATTTAATGCTTTTTTGCTATAATACTTAAAAATGTAAAAGCAAGAAAGTTTTTTAGCATTATTTTTATAAAAACTTTTTTTTTCAAAATTCCTTGCGATGATATGCTTAAAGTTAAAACAATAGGTCGAGCTTTTCAACCATTCTAGCAGCCCTGTACTTCTATGGTCCTCTTGGTGCTCAGCGGTTATATAATCTGATTACTCCACTTACTCAATATCATAATGTATTCGAATTGCGTTTTCTATTTTTTCAAACATCTTTAGTTCAAATAAGATAATGAATCCAGATTGCATGACCATTAATAATTAAGTATTTGCTGAGTTGGCATGAATTAATATTTTAAAATTTTGCACTTCAAAAATTTTGTCGTAAAAAATTTCAATGAAGAACAAATAGTAAAGTATTTATCATATACATTTATCATATCATCATGAAAATTAATTGTTCGTTCAATAATGATTTTGTCGAAAATAATTCCAATATAAGAATTAGCAAACTCCGGAAAACAGAAAAGTGTAATGGAGGAAAATATTTTACTGGAAAATAAGTCATATGGGTCCAACGATTCACTTTTAGACCAATTATGTGTATTTAAAATATAGTCTCAGAAGGCAGAATTTTTGATTTTTGGTTCTTTGGTTATTCATAGAAGTATTCAAATTAGATATTTTAAATATATAAGTTTTTTTCAGAATCATTTTATCTTATCTTATGAACCATAAAATGAATAATTCATTTCATAAATTTTTATTTTATATGGTTCCACTGAATATTTGGATTAATAATGTAATGATAATAATGTTATCACAAAGTATCGCCAAAGTATCGTTGCTTAGAGCATGTTCTCCGTTGTCCACCTTAGGAGTTAACGCATATTTCGCTGCTTGCCAAACCCTGTGATGGCTGGCATCAAAAGTGAGGAAGGCCAATCAAGAAGATGACTAATACGGTCAGGAAAGATTTTGAACGTTTAGAGGGACCACCCTCTATGGACTTAGACGATGGAAAAAGGCTTCTATTATTACTAGCGATGGTGTCGGACAGAGCAACTTGGAGACATCTTACTCTTATTGCCAGCGGACTCATTCTAGCCAGTAAAAGTGAGAGTGAGTTTAGAAGATGAATATTTGGATGAAGCTTTTTCTCCTCTTTTATTCGATAAAATTTTATGCTAAATGACAAGTCAAATTTTATCAAACATAGGAATCGACAAATCTACCCATGTTGCCTGCGCTCAACCGAAACCGGCAACTCACCTTATATAACTCTGCAATTCCTCATCATATCGCTCAGACCTTCAGTAGATTGGAAAGTCGATATTTTTAATTTTTTTATAATTTATATTTATATTTTTTGTAATTTGTATTTATAATTTTATAAATTTTTACTTTAGAAAAATTATTTCCTAGAAAACATTATATTCTCAATCAATGTTATGGAAAAGATTTGCAAATGAAATGCTTCAAAACAGTTTTAATAAAGATTAATTAGCAATCAATAATTAACCTTCGAACCTTTTTTAAGGCGTGGTACCAATTATGATTGCGACAAATAGTGCTATAGAAGGCAAAATAGTTATATTTTACTTCGTCGAAGATCGAGCAGTGTAATTTCTATTCTTTTCGATTTAAGTGAATAAGTGAATAAGTTATAAGTGAGAGCTCATGAAAAGACTCACCCCTTGTATCGCGTTTCTTAAATATCACACCTCATTAATGGATGAAATCAGCTAAAGCAAAAAGCAAAAAGAATGTATTGTTTTCGAGCATAAAATGTCGACTCTTAGCGATTAAATGCGAAAAATTCAATGAGAAATATTTGAAAATGAATTATTATAAATGCTTTATAAATTTACTTTTAAAATGTTTCAAAAAAATATAAAAAATTATAACTTATAACCATTAAAAACCAATTAGGATAAAATCCCTTAGAAAGTTCAAAAAACAAAAAACAGTGACGTATAAATTTGAATAAATTGGAGAGGGTTGGCCAGCCTTTAACGTATCAGCTTAACAACGAGCTATGCTTCTCGTATTCGCTACGCGCATATGTCGGCCGACATTATCGCTAATATAATATATATATATATATATATATATATACAATAAATATATATGTATATATGGTCAAAATCTTTTATAATTTCATCTTTTTTATAATTTAAAATTTAAATTTTTCTGAAATATTCATTCAATTATTTTATTAAACATAAAATAGTAAATTTGCCCGAAAAGAAAGAGATTTTCATTTACGAGAGATTCAGGAATATTGTCGTTTGTTGCCCAACACGTATTGATTATCATTAAATTGACATGCGCCAAATGAGCTTTCTAAAGTAATGACATCAGTGCAAACCATTTACAACTTTAAAGAAATTGTTTGTTTTTAGGAAAAAAGTAGAGTAAAACAGGTAGTTATTTATGAAAAGCTAAAATTAAAGAAGGAATTTAGAGAGAATTAAATTAGGGAAAAAATTAAATTAGGGAAATTTATAGGATAAGCGACCTGAATGAATGATTTATTTTCCTAATTTCAAAAAAAAAAAGAAATAGAAGAGAAAATTATTATCAGCTGATAAGTTTTTTACTCGCTGAGGGATTTATCGCTAATGAATTCCACGAGAATTCTAGCGATGGCAATTTTAATTTTTTGACGCTGCAAAAAATAACTATATTCTCATTTTAGTTATAAAAAAGTCGATGTCGGTTTTAAGTGGGTAAAAGTCTATCGATAGGGTAAAAAGCCATTTTAAGAATCGCTTTTATTTCTTTTTTCTTTTTTATTTTATTTTCTAAAGCGATACAATTATTCTTGTAAATCATCGGATTTTCGTTTTAGGAATTTAATTTTTTCAGTGTTTAAAAATTACTAAAATTATTATTTTTATTACTATTATTTTTATTAAATTACTAAATTTTTGCGAATATTGAACAATCTTCTTGTTTATTATTCTATAATTCTTAATTATTTTAGCTAAATACTTTAATCATCATTTTACTTATATTTTATTATTATAATACTTAAATGTCTGATTTTGTTTAAACTATGAGGATTTCAAAGAGTGCGCAAATTTGAATAGGAAAAAATCCATCTCTTTATTTTCACTAATCCTATTTTCAGTAATTCAAAATTCGCATTTCCTTGAATTATCAAAATCAAAATTATCAAAATAGGTGAATCAAAGTTTTATCAGCGGTGACTTTGGATAACTATATTTTAGTACGACTAAATTTCGCTGCTATTTCCTCTATTTTTTAGTTTGTTCATTTAAAATTATTGTTATGAAAAGGGGTTCACTGGCTTTACCCGACCACTGCATAGAATTCTCGCGGCAAATTTTCTTTTAAATTCTTTCTTCATTGTCGAAAAATTGTGATGGCTACTAAATTTCTATTTATTAGAGCATCGAAATATTGAATTATTTTTCCCAACTGCATAAAACCTTTTCCACTTATTGCTCTTTTTTTTCCACACTATCGAATGCTTATTCGAATCTTTCTTCATTTTTATAATTTCCTCATTTTATATTGCAATTTTTTCTAATTTTTGCATATGATAAGTGATAAGGTTGAATAAAGCACTAAACAAATCAAATCAAATCGCATATTGAAAAAAAGTGCATTTTGAATTTATTCGATGCTAATTAATGCAGAAACTAAGCCTAAAAAGCTATTATGTAGTTAAAATAGATATTCGGTTGAGGAGAGTCTTATTATTTAGGATGGTTACGGTGACTTTCGAGGTGATTGAGGTGACGATGAAATCTGTTATATATCTGTTATATATATCTGTTATTATTTATTGATAGTCCAACTGAGCATATCGTATCCGCTAAATTCGAGAAAAATTCAATTAGCTTTTTTTATTTACCTTTATTTTTGTTTATCTTCGAGCCTTTAAGATAATTATTATGCATTTGAAAAGGGATGAGATGAACTTCGGTCATCGCTTTTATTCATTTTTATTCTGTTTTAGTGGAAAATATTTTAAAAATATTTTAATTTTTTTTCTGAAATCGTTTGCCATTTCTGCTTAAAACTCACTCCACTAAATTAGATCGGATTATTTTGCCAGAGATAATCATTTTTGTTAGAAATATGGATGAGTCAACGGCATTACCACGGATTTCTGAAAAACACGTCGACTCCTACTGGGCGCTTCGAAATATTAGCAACAACCCATTGAACCGTTCTACTTCTCATAATCTTTGTGCTTAATGCTTAAAATAAAGATTTCTTGTAATTTTCGTATAAAATATTTCTGAATTTCCATGAAAATTCTGTAATGAAATTATGTAAATGAGGAAAAAAAAGTTCGAATTAAATCAAATATTATAAAAAATAATTTTTAGAATAATGAAAACAAATGAATCGCTAAGAAATAATCTATCAATTTTATTTATTCTTAATATTATTGCTTTCTGCAATGCTGTTCAAGTTTATACAAATCATTTTTATGTGAACACTCGAACTGAAGGAAAGGAAAATGCACATAATATAGCTAAACGAAATGGTTTTATCAATCGTGGAGCGGTTAATAAATTTTTTCGTTTTTTTACGTATTTCTTTATTTAACAGAATTTAAATGCAACAAATTTTAACACAGATTAGAATTTTTAAAATAATTTTCTAAAAAGCACTATTTTTGGTATTTCGTTCCGAAGGGCTTATCAGATTAGAAAAATTTTGATAATAGAAATCAAAGCCTCCCGATTTTTGACAGACAAATTTTCTCTTATCAAAAATAGAACAATATCGGTACTTCGATATGTTGCCAACAATTCACTGAGATATAGTATTAACAAATTTTTTTTTTCAAATTTTGCTTTCCAATATTTTTCTTAAAATTTAGATTTAAAATTCAATTATCTTGAAAGGCATTTGATAAAAAAAAAGACATATAACCACAAATATTGCAAATAATAATGAAAATCTTCGCTGCATAACTATCATAAAAGTGATTATTAGTTAATAAAAATTTTTTTCATTTAGTGAATATTTTTAAAATAATATTCTGAAATAATTTTTTCTCGAATAATTCTTTACAAATAATTTCAATTGATCGGCTTTCTATATAAGTAAGAAAGCTTTTTATGAGAGAATAGAAAAACAAGGCTATGAGCAAAAATTTTTAGTGAAATTATTTGTTATATAAGCAACGTTTGCCTTAACCTTATATTAGTTTTGCTAAATTATCACATCTGAAGCATTATTTTCTATACATTATACATAAGTAGATGAGGTCATTAAAAGTCGATAAGTGAGACGCTAGTATCATTTCCAGAAGACTCTTCAAAATTATTGATAAAAATATTGATCAAGTTGATTTTTGAAATTAATTCAGAATGGATGCATTTCATTAAAATTCATTTTAATATTTTATATTATAAAAAATTAACATAATTAATAATTAAAAAATTAAAATAAAGGTGTTGAATTCCAATACGGAATGGCACTTCATACAACCCGCACTATCACATGCACGAACAAAACGATCTGTTGTTCATCATTTTAAACTAAAAAATGATAACGATGTTTGTTTTTTTTTCGAATATTTTACTCATTATTTATTTAATTACTTATTAAGAATATACTTAAAATTCTTTTTTAATAATTGTAGATTTGAACTGAATTGCCCTTATCAAATCGCTGATAATATTTCTGACAACCTAATATAATTTAAGATTATGTCGAAATTTTATTGATAAGTTTAACATAATAAATTAGTTGTTTGCAATGAGCTTTAAAAATTTTCAAAATAGATTTTTTCCTTTAATATTTATTTAGTTAATATAAATGCGGTGAAGCGAGGGAGAGGGATCGTAAATATGATAAAAAATAATGACAACGATTTTTTATTGAAAATCTTCAGGTGGTCCACGTTGAGCAATTAGTTGGTTTTAAACGTGTTAAGCGCGGTTACAGGTCATTTTTTAAAAATTTTATTTTCTTATAAATTTTTACGTTTCATTCGGTTATACATTAGCTAATTGCCACCATTGATAAAAATATGTTTCAGAGCTTTAGAAGAACGATTACAAGGCCAACTTGATTTCACATCCATTCATTCACCAACCGATCCATTATATCCTTACCAGTGGTACTTGGTTAGTAAATTTAAGCTAAATATATTTTTGAATGTTTTGATTAGTGCAAAAAGTCTTCGTAATTCGTTTAAAAGCTCTATCTTGTTTGATAATATTTATAAATATACTGTATTTAAATTAAAATATTGAAAATATCTCTTGTATTTCAAATTTTAAATTATAGAAAAATGTTGGGCAAGCAAATGGTAAGCCAAGACTTGATTTAAATGTTGAAAAAGCTTGGGAACTCGGATTCACTGGTAAAAATGTAACAACAGCTATAATGGACGATGGAGTGGATTATATGCATCGCGATTTACGCAATAATTTTGTAATTTTACAAATAAATTCATGAAAAATTTTAATTATTTTCTTTAATCTGCTAAATTCAATATTATAAATTATAAATTAGAAGTACTTGACATCTATGATAAAAGATTTTTGAAATTTTTCAGAATGCTGAAGCAAGTTATGACTTTAGTTCGAACGATCCTTTTCCATATCCGCGATACACTGATGATTGGTTTAATTCGCATGGAACAAGGTTTATTTTTATGTTCACGAAGAATTAGCCTTTTTTCCTTTTTTCTAATATAATTTCTTATTCATTCACTCATTTGCTTCTCATTTAACATATTTCCTTCATCTTTATTTAGCACTAATACTATGCAACAAAAAAGTATCGAAGTGTCTTAATCACTATCATCTTAATCACTTTCTGCTTTTTCATAAATCTTTTCCTCTTATTTAAAGAATATGAAAGTTTTTTCCTCTTCATTGGTAATTATACAACTCAATCCCTTTATCTCTGAGTGATTTCTAGATGTGCTGGTGAAATAGCAGCTGCGCGTGATAATGGTATTTGTGGTGTTGGTGTTGCTTATGATAGTAAAGTAGCTGGAATACGCATGTTGGATCAACCGTACATGACTGATCTTATTGAGGTTAGATTAAACTTACAGGTGAAGGCCAGTGTTGAGGCTAAATTAAATTTTATGGTTACAGCTTCTTTAAGCCATGCAGTTTCGTTTTTTCTAGTAAGATTAGCGATATGTTGTTGAAAAAAATAAATTATCTACTTTTCCTTTCATGTTTCAGTTTATTTTATTAAAACTTATCCAATCAACTGATTTTCTTCACAGTAAATTCCATGGTTTGGTTGCTTTAGCGAAGCAATTATTTTCAGTTAGCTTTTATCGAATCTTGTCTGATTCCTTTCATTCTCATTGGAATTTTTATGTTAGTTTCTGGATATTCTTCATATTTTGCCTTCTTCTTTTAACGATGAAAATTTTTTTTATATTTTCCAAATGGATTTCATATATTTAAATTTTATTCTAATTTTCATGACACTTTTTAAAAATCTTTTAGTTCTTTAAGGTGTCTCATTTAATATCTTTCATATCTTTTTGGATTGATGAGTATTTCTATTTACAAAAATTTAATTTAGCCTCAACATTATACTATTATCTATTTTCATTTATATCCAATATAATTTTTGTATTAAACTTTAGAGCACCGAACTTTAGAACTTTACTTCACAAATTTGACAATTATTTTTAAGATAAATTTTTTTAAAATTAGAAAAATTATTTTGAAAAACGGTCAAATGGATAGAACATATTCACTAACGAAAAGTTGATATAGTTTTTAATTATTATGCTAAAGATTCCAGAGTGAATCAAGATTTTAAAGCATTTTTAAGGATATACCTGAAAGGCATAAAAGATTTAGGCGAATTCGATGGGACATGAACCGAATTTGATTCAGATTTATTCAGCAAGCTGGGGTCCAACTGATGATGGAAAAACTGTTGATGGTCCACGCAATGCAACGATGCGTGCAATTGTAAAAGGAGTTAATGAAGTTAGTTTCCCAATAAAATAAACTCTATTATATATGATACCAAAATTTAGGAATTAGTGCTTAATTTAGGAATGCTTAACATTTATCAAATTGTTCAAATATTTGTAAAAGAGAAACTTTTATTAACTATAAAATATTTAGGGTCGAAATGGTCTTGGCTCGATATTCGTCTGGGCCAGTGGTGATGGTGGTGAAGATGATGACTGCAACTGTGATGGCTATGCTGCCTCAATGTGGACAATATCTATTAATTCGGCGATTAATAGTGGTGAAAATGCTCATTATGATGAGTTAATATTTTATTAACATGTTACCTATTTTGAGGTTAAAAATTACGATATAAAGTGCAAAAATGAAGGTTTATTGTTTAGAAGCTGTTCGTCAACATTGGCGTCTACTTTTTCAAATGGTGGTCGTAATCCGGAAACTGGTGTTGCTACAACTGATCTTTATGGCCGATGTACTAGATCGCACAGTGGAACATCTGCTGCAGCACCTGAAGCAGCTGGAGTTTTTGCTCTTGCCCTTGAGGCTAATCCTAAGCTTACTTGGTACTTTTTGTCAACAAATCGAAATGTTTAATTTCATAAGTCATGCACATTCCAACATCACGGTAATATCTATAATATTTTAAACCATCGATAGATGAATTCAGCAAAATAATTCATTTTTTTAGGCGTGATATGCAACATCTGACAGTACTCACTTCATCACGAAACTCTCTTTTCGATGGTAGATGCCGAGAACTTCCGAACTTAGGACTCGACGTATGTTATAGATCACATTTTGAACAGTGCTCATATTACTGGTTAGACTGGTACTATTGACTTTCATTAGAGAATCTCAAGGGGATGTAATCACCGACTCAAAACACGGCCTTCATAGTTTATTTATTTTAAAAAACAACAAAGTAGGGTGACAAGAGCCAAGTGCTTGTAAAAATATAATGAGATATATGAGTTGATAAGAGGAAATCGAAATATCAATCATATTTATTAGAATAATATTTAGCACGAGAGAAGCAACATAGAACTGGAATAAGTATTTACAAAAATCTTAAATAACCTCATTTAACTTTTTCATAAAATTGGATACGGATGGAATTAGCATTAGAATCCGAAAAAATTTATTTGCTTTAGTTTTACAAATAGGTTTAAGTAATTTCAACTCGCTACCTCGAGTTACATTCGAATTTAAACAAAATTCCTAACATTTGCTGCAATGAAGGTTACTTACCTAAATATTATATTATATCAGTTTTTTTCCTAATTTAAATTACAATCTTCTTCTAACATCTCTCACCATTAAGTTGGTTAAGCTTGCTCTGCTGGCTAGAAGAATAACACGTTTCCAAGTTCTTCGATCCAATGCCATCGCTAACAAAAACAGAATCCATTCGTTTTTCCATCGCCTAAGTCCATATATCGCTGGTCCTCCTAGACGTTCAAAATTTTTCCTGAATCTATCAGTCCAGGTCATGATTAGCCCACATGCCAACCATCACAAGGTTTAAAGCAGCGAAATATGCGTCAACTTCCGTGAAGGACAACGGAGAACGTGTCCTAAACAGCGAAGATGATGCTCTGTGATACCATTATTAATATAGCTGATGTTTGAGCGAAGATGGATACAATCACGTGCGATTTAAATTATAATTGATTTGTAACTAATGTATGAGTTAGGTTTTAAACGAGGGAACTATTTTTTAAACAAGTTTGATTAATTCACTATCTAAGGTGGTAGCAGACAATTTTATATTGCAGGTGAGGTCTAATAAGTACATTTGAATAATTTTTAAAGAAAGCCTTAATTTTATTTTGAAAGATCTTATGTGTCATGTCAGATGCCTTCTTCATTTAGCTTAAATGAGGATCAAAAACTAAATTCTGATAAAGAACTATGCCAAGTCTAATGTATGATCCGGAATATTATCAGTGAAAGAGACGCATTATCAATGTAAATAATTGAAATATTTGGAATTTATTTTAGTGATAGTTGATTTGTCTATCGTAAAACCGTCTGACCACTTTATTTATGTCATTCTGCGCTATTTCTAAACACTCTAATCTTTTGTATGAATAATAAACTTTCCTATTGCCAACACATAGATAAATAGCAGAATCAGACAGATCATAGATGTACATTATAAAGATCAATGGACCTATACAACTAAATGCCTTAAGGTAAACCTGATCTGGATCATACAGGAAGGAGTATCATTTATGAATACTACCTGTTATCTGTTGTCACCTAAATCAACTACTCAATTAAATAGATCTTCTAAAGAGCTATGTTAATAAGAAGTTAATTTATTTGCACTAAGGCAACTGTATATATTGAACTCAATAAATCTTTCTAATATTATAAAGAGGCAGTTGGTCAACAATTGGGAGGATTATAACCATCATCTTTTTCAAAGATAGGATTTTAGTTTTTCGATTAAGTCTTTAAAAATCAGCAGAGCAAGAAAAATAGCTCATTTTTTAAAAATATTTGAAGGAATTCTGTCGAGGTCAGTACCGTAAGAAGATGTTAAGTTAGCATGGCAAATATCGTTTAAAGAGAAATCAGTGCTATTTAAGGGACCATTGATTACTCTGATTAACTGATATACTGATCTTAATTGATAAACTAATTGACATTAATTAAACAGAAATTAATATTAATTTTATCATTCTAGAATATGCTAGTAAAATTCTTCTTTTTCTAATAGCTCTCACCATTACTGGTTAGGTTGATCAGCAAAATAATTTAGAACATCGTTAACTATATTAGTAGCAGCAGTAACCATCATTATATAATACTATAAGCCTATATTTAAGTTTGGCAAATCCTGGATTAAACTATTTATGATATTTGACAACGGAGTAAGGAACCGAATTTGCAACGCACGTTTGAAGCAACCATACTATTAGACCAAACCTTTTCATTTAAGGGATCTATTAGATTTAAATAGTTTTATTTGCCATAAATGGAAGCTTAGTTATTTCATCTATTCAGGATGATGTTCATCATAAAACTAATGAAAACTGCTCGCATTTCGAATGGCAAATGAATGGAGTCGGTCTTGAATTCAACCATCTTTTTGGATTTGGTGTGCTTGATGCTGCTGAAATGGTTATGCTTGCTATGGTTTGGAAAACTTCGCCACCAAGATTCCATTGCGAAGGTGGCACCATCGCTACTCCTCAGTTAATTTTTTTCCTTTTTACTTTGGTTCAGTTAAATAACTTATGAAAATATTCTAAATGAGGCTTTTATTCCTAATCTATGTTTATTATAGGTAGCCACAGATTAAAACTTTTTCCCGTTTTATCTCTTAATTTTATCGATACCTATTTCAATGTAAATTCTGAAAAACACGGCATTTTATAGTGAAATACCGGCTAAAGGAAATCTGGTTTTGGAGCTAAATACAGATGCATGTCTTGGAACAAATACTGAAGTTAATTATTTGGAACACGTACAAGCTGTTATAACTTTAAATAGCACTCGACGTGGTGACACCACATTATATTTGGTGTCACCATCTGGAACAAGGTCTACTTTTAAAATTAAAGTTAAAAAATTTAGATATTGAATATAGAATATAGATAGAAATAGATATAACAAATACCAATAATCTTTAAAATAAATATCTAGTAATTTCATCAAATTGAATCAAATAATTTCCATTCTTCAATCTTTCAACTTAAAATGGAACATATTTCCTCAACATAATGAATTATTTAGAACTATGATACTATCACGACGCCCGAAAGACGATGATAACAAAGACGGGTTTACAAATTGGCCATTTATGACGACTCATACTTGGGGAGAAAATCCTCGAGGCAAATGGCGACTTATTGCAAGATTCCAAGTAAATTATTGTATTTAAAATATATAATATGCAATAATTAATTTTTTAGTAAGTTCAAAATGCTTATTGGGTATACAGTAAATTTTTTACCTTATCGTGTCATATGAAGCCTCATTTATCAGTCATTATAATAATATCTACTTAGTTACGATTATCTCATTTTTTGACTGATTTTTTATTAATATTACAAGGGTAGGCTAGGTTTACCTTTTATGGAAAAGGTAAACTTAGCTTTGAATCTGAGCAGATCACTGTTTTCCAATATTTTCTATCGAATTTTGCCATAGCATGACATTTAATTTCTTAAATATTCATCGTTTAATTAAACATTGAAGAAAATTTTACGGTGGATTAAAGGAAAATAGTTGAACCTCCACTGTCATGACAAATAAACATATTGATATGATGCCAGAGCCTTGATAGATAATGTTGCATGGTACAAAAGATCCCTATACTCAACAGAATCATTAATATCTATAAGTATAAGTACCTTTATACTTTTAGTTCAGTTGACGAAAAATAGTAACATTGGAGAGGCAAAAATAATTATCAAACTAGGCTGATTTTTATTAATAATACCACAACAAATATAAAATAACGGGCATAATTAGTGTAATTTATCAAAGAGGCGTGACATTCCACATACGAGTTTTATGTTTTTCTCTGAGATTATTTTCCCAAAATTATGGGAAATTATAGAGTCGTTGCTTATCGAAGGACACGGACTGAGCGTTAATGGTTTTTTTTAATTTGTGTAAATCCTTGATCCCTTTATCATATTTACATTTTTATTCCAGGGCAAAGGTCATCATCATGGTACACTGAAGAAGTTCACATTAATGTTGCATGGTACAAAAGATCCACCATATGCTGGAATTGAACCACTTGAAGGTCATGTGAATAGTAAACTACAAGTAGTACAAAAAGCTCATAAACGTTCAGCATAAAACGGAGAACATGAAATTCTTTCTCTTCTACTGTCCTCATATACATATATACATTTATATATATTTATTTTTCTTTATCAGTGATCTTATCAGTGAAGTCTTCGCGCATTTTTTTTCTTTATCAATATATAAACATGTTAATTCGTCACTTTCTTATATAAAACAGTAGAAAACGTTCTCCTTCTCGAACTTGTTTTGAAATTTATACGTATTATTAATAATAAATTTTATCGTTCATTTGTCGATCACTTCTCAACCAATTTTTATTTATTATTTATCAGTAATTCAAATTGATAATTTCGTTTTCTTTCATAATACATCGAAGATGAATTTGAAAGAATTCATTTTACTGATAAACAAAAAAATTTTTTGATCGTTTTTTAATCAACTGAACACTGAATTTTTATTTATTTAATAAATAAATAAAAATTTATTCCCAAAATCCATCTTTATTTTCCTTCGTTCTATTATTGCAACTGATATGTTAAAATGATAATAAAGAAATTGCAAACTTCTCTTTTATGAAATTTTTCTTAAATATATTTAACAATATTTAATTTTTGAATAATACAATTTTTAAATTATTAAATAAATTCTTTTAATTCTTCAAACAATTAACTTTATATTACTAATTAAACTCGATTCATAGGCCATAATAGAATATTTGCAAATCGCTCGATAGGAAGCGAAGATATCAATCAGAAAGGAATCAATGTCACATCTATTTGCTGAGACAATTTATACGTTTCAAATTCATTCTCTTTTGACTATATCAATCCAGGTCTTCATCAACAGTCCTCGTCACCTGTCACACGATTTAGCAAGTAGGCGAAAAAATGTGATGCAGTCGGCGATGACGCTAGATGACGGACCTATGACAATGGTATTAATGCAAATGGTATTCGAGCGAAAGCGAATGCAATCATGTGAGACTTTATTCGCGCTCGGTGAGCACGTAAAATGTTCGTTGGGTATAATTAATTAATAAATTATGACAATTCCTTCTTGAAAAAATTTTAGTTTTAAAAGCTTTAAATTGTTTATATTGTACGTTTGGTTTAGTCTTTTTGATCTATCAAATTAGCACTGCTCTTCATTTTTTTTTCGAAAAATCGCACTTTCTAACTTTATTTTAAGAATTTGTCCTCGCATCTTCAAGAGATAACCTCCCCCCCCTCACCCCCACTTTGATCCGAGAAACAAACGATAAACTTACTTTCCTAACAAAACAATCCTCAAAAGAAACTATTAAAATTCTATAATCGATACGCTGCTTTTTCATAAAAAGCAGCTTAGACTTACTAACAATCGGAGTGAATATTAATGCAGACGCTTTATGAAATTTTTTATCTACATTATCTAAATTTATTATATATTTATCAAAATTATTTTCATATTTTTATTTTCCATTTTGGTGAGCGAGTTTTTTTTTGATGAACATTATTGGTTTATATTTATTTAAGTTTTTATAAAATTTTTCGTCAATTCTTAAAATTATTTGAATTATTATTTTAAAATAATTTTAAAATTATTTTTTAAAAATTAAAATTTTTAAAATTTTTTAAATTTTTTATTGCACATTTAATTAATTAAAATATTTCGAGAATATTAATAAATGAATTGCGATTCGTTCGTTAATCCGCTTTTAAATATTAATCTCGCATATTAATCTCGCATTTCACTCGCACTATTTTCTTCTTTTTCTTTAAATTTTCAATTCACTCTATTTTCTATTTCTTCCAATTTTTAGTCTATTCACAATTATTATTAAATCGTAATTTTGTGATATTTTCCCTCAATAATTTACAAATACTTTATTTTATTTTATTTAAATAATATTAACAGCTTTTCGTAGTTATTCATAGTCATTTTAAAGAAACAAAGATCAAAATTCATATTTATTCATTTCGTTTTTCGTTTTAGTTGATATTTGTCGCTTTTGTCGCTTTTAAATCATAAATTTTTAGGAAGTTATTTCATATTTTAAATTTTTCTATTTATTTCACTTTTTTTTCCTTGAATATTTACTTTTCGAAGCGAATATAAAATACAAATAAATGACTTTGTACGAATTTGATTTCTTATGAATCGTTTTATTTGAATAATAGCGCTTTTTTTTTTAATAAAAATTTTTCACATAAAATTATAATTAATCGCTTTCGATTTGATATTTTTGTAATTTGCAATATTTATAAGTTTTTTCTTTTTTTTTTCGTCGTATTTCTATCGTTTATCGGTTTTCATAAAATAATTGGAAAACGCTAAAATGATACTTGTTTTTTTATTTCGAGAAAATTCAATTCAACGAAAATTTTCCTTTTCTCCTTTTTTTTATTCGATTTTGGATGATATTTTGATAATTGAAAGTGAATGAACTAGTTATTGCTGAGGATTCGTATATACTTTTGTTTCGAAGTGATTCGGCGAATTGCATTCCATTCTTGTAGTCAACAAAACCAGAATAAGTAAATTACATGGTTAGTAATGCGGCTTCACCATTTCTAATATTGCATTTGCATTTGCTTCTCTATTTTTTGTTAATATGATTTATCGAAGAGTCACTTGGTGATAGAAGTATAGGTGAATTATCAGCAGTTCGGATTTTTTTAATGAAATTTTTTTTCGATTTTTTTTTTTTTTTTTGCAGAATAACTATAGTATTAATTTTGTGGGAATAATATTTTGTTGTTCGTCTTTTTTTTTCATTCTTTCTCGTCTAATAAGCTTTTTTTACTTTTTGTTGGTAAGAATTTATGCAAGTAAGTAGTTAAAATATTTCTTTAGTTTTATTTTTTGTTGCTTACTTAATTCTTTTTTTTGCATAATTCATATGAATTTTTATTAAAATTTTCGAAATTTTTTCAATTATAGGAATGGAAGAAGAAGTGACGGAGATCAAATGCGATAGAAATGAAATTGGTCGATTTTATAAAGCAGCTGATAGACCACCTATTGCTTTATCAGTTCTTTTTGGATTTCAAGTAAGTATTGTTTTTTATTCTTATTTAGTTTTATTGAGACATCTTCTTTTTTATATTTTTGTTGAGATGGATTAAGGAAAATATTCAATTAACTGTGACAATTTTTTCTTGAAATATTGGCAAAAATTATTAAATTGATGTAAGGCGAAGAGGTGCAGCGATCGAAAGAGGATTTGAAATCAAAATTTGTCGTTTAGAAAAAAAATTTCGTTGAAAAAATCTTGAAATAGATGGTTATTTCCTTTGCTTTCGATCAATTTCTCAGTGGTGGGAGGATAGCAAAGTGGATAAGGGATGCACTTTTATTCTGTTGGGAGGCGATGATTCGCCTATTGCCTCCCGTAAAGCAATGGTGTTGCCAGCTCATGTGTACTTTTAACCTAGCAGCTCCCATAGAGAAAGGTTTTTAACCATATTAGCAGCCAGCAGAGCAGATTCATAATTATTGTCCCAGCTATCTGCTGGTGCTTCACTAGTTCACCTAACCTCTATCTATAAATGACTCTTTAGCAAAATTTGGATCTGAATGCGTTAGACCAGGAATGGTGTTTGTTTTTCGAAATATCATAAGGAAAATATAAAGTAATTTCAGCAAGTGATGGTGTGTGTAAGTGCATTATTAACAATCCCATTAATTTTATCGAATGAATTATGTCCTGGCAAAGATCTATACGACATTCGAGTTAAATTAATTTCATCGACATTCGTTGTTAGTGGTATTTCAACTATAATACAAACATTATTCGGAACAAGGTTTCTTTTTTTTGTGAAATTAAAAACGTTGTGGGGATTGGTAAGTGATATTGTTAACAGCGTGATTAAATTGAATAATTGCAGGTTAGCACTTCTTCAAGGTACAGCTTTTGCATATGTTCCATCTATTCAAGTATTTATGCAGTTACCTGACTATATATGCAATTCTACTGAATTTGACTATGTTCCGCCTTATCAATATGAAAATAAAATGGCAATTGTTAGTCTTTAAATTTATTTTATTATTTCGATGTATAATTTCTTTTATGATAATATAATTTTATATTATTCTAACGATAACGACGTTGAATTTTCATTTGTTTTGGATTAAAAAATAGCAGAGTATATTATACCAGAGTAAATTAAATGGTTTCCTTAAGCTAAATTTCTTCACATTGACTTTCTTCTGGATGTCTGTATTATATAATAGTCGAAGAAAAACGAGAATTAATGTTCAGTGTTTGTTAGGGAATTAATCCATCATTTTTTGATTTCTTTTATTTTCTGCATATAAATTGTAAAAGGTAGAGATAATTTCATAATGGTTTAATTTTGCCTCCATTTTATTTTTCTTAGTGATCGTCTTCGAATGAAAAAATTTTTTTGAGTCACCTTGCTATGGATAGGCGCTTCAGACATTGTTCTTATTGTATATAAGTTTTGAGAAAATAATCGAATGAGGATTAGAAAAAAAATTTCGTTGAAAAAAATTTTTAGTTGAAAAATCGGAATCCTGAATTTTTTTGGGTCCGTTGAAGTTATTGCAGAAGGTGGATGGGATGGTCATTTGTATGCTTCCAGTTTGTGGGAATTTTTATTCTTTTTCTTTTTTCTGACATCTCTCTTCTGACTTTTTGATTTCCATTAGAGTCAGTGGTTTGTTTGAAAACTGAAAAATAGATTCATTCATTGCCGGCTTGTAGCCTTTGTTCATTGTGTGTTTGTGTTTACATTGTCATTCTTCATTTGCAGGTATTTCACGGCCTATTACGTTTCCAGTAAATAATCTGTTCTGTCAACAAATTGATTCTTGCGATTAGATTTTTAATTTTTTTTTTTGACACAAAAGATTGAAAAATTTAATAGAAATTTTAATAATTTAACACCACATTCGCAATAATAATTATATATTTTGACGCTTGATTGGACTTATAGCAGGTTTTACATGAGTGGATTCCCTACCCTTTTCCTTTGAGAAGAGTAAGAGAGAAATCCGAGTGGGTGGTAGTGGATTTTGTTCACATGAAAAGCAGAGCAGATTGGTCTACTGTAAATGAAATACCTAGTTTACGAGTGAGAATTTTATTTGGATGAACAAAAATAGAATAAAGTGGTTTAAATTTGTCATATTTATTTATTACATTGGGCATACATAAGGCCTAAGCTATCTCATAGTCTGTCATTAAATAAATAATAAATTATAATGCTGTTATTATTTATAACAATAAATAAGTATAAATAAGAGATAAATAATGCCAAATAAGAAATATTAAAAACATAAAAGCAGGATTGAGGAAATGATGCGATTGGAAGGTTTTGTGAGAGAAAGTGAATTTACCATGAAAGCACTGTTGGCAAGATTCGAAGGAATTTTAAGAAGATATGATGAATTTTAAAAAGGTCTTAGAGGGTCTGCAATTTGCAAATGGTTCTGTCCGGGCCTTTTTATTAATTATTATAATGGTCCATTACCATGAGATTTGCGAAGATTTCAGGGCAAAATAGAATGTTTTTGGAAAGGGGCTTAGTGATCAATCTCCTTTTGTAATTTTATAGTAACTGTGGCCAAGGCGAAATCACATTCTGAAGTTTGATGTTAAGAGGAAATATGAAGTTGGGTGGTATTAGACATTTATAAAACTTGATGGAAGAGTAAAGTTCTGTTTTGGTTATATTTTGATTTTAATGAGGTTCTTCGATGTTTACTCCAATTTCTTTTTATACTATTATTCATATCCCTTTGTGATTGATCGTTGGTAATGAAGAAAATTCTCACAGTAATTTTTCTGTTCTGCTTGGTATTCAACAATAAAAAATTATCAGAAGTTGCAATAAAATTCGAAATTTATAGATTGAAGGTTGCTTGATGGCATCATCGGTGATTCCAATGGTTATTGGTTTGACTGGTGTGGTCGGTGTGCTTACAAAATTTATTGGTCCTATAACTGTTTCACCGTTAATACTTCTTTTAATGTTGTCCGCCGTTGATCTTTGCGTTGATCGCATTGCTAAACATTGGGTTGCTATTGTGTAAGTTTCGATTTTGGAAAATATAATTTTCTTGAAAGTGAACATGCCACTAACGTGAAATTTATGAAGCAGTTTTCAAAGATATGCAATATTTAACTTTAAATTTTATTTCATTGACAAAAATTTACAGGCAAGCGGTGGCATTATTTGCAACAATATTATATTTAGCAGACTGGAAAATACCTATTGTTTGCATTAGAAAAAAAAAGTTGCACATTGTTAGAACAAATATATTTGGGCAGTATCCAGTATGTTTTAATCACTTTATAGAAAAATCGTAATTACGATAAAGGATATTGCAGCGGTTTTTTTTGTGCGACTGATAATAGAACAATATGAATTCGGCTTTTAACGCCTTGCTTTTATCCTCAAATATCTTTAACTGAATGACCTTATTTTTGTAGCTACTGTAGCCAGTCAAATCAGAAATGATACATAATAATGTTTCCTAAAGTAAATGTGTCCATGAGCATGGAAAAGATGGGGAACCTCAATGTGAAATTTTTTTCTTATATTTTAGCAATAAAATTTGTTTAATTTACTGAGAAATTGATTTGTATTTGCAGTATTTAATAGCAATTCTTATTGCTTGGGGTTTTTGCTTGTTATTGACTATATTCAATTTAACACCGAAAAATAGTGCCGCTCGACTTGATAAAAATGAAACTGTTGCAGTTATAAAGCATGCGGCATGGTTTCGAATACCTTATCCTGGTAAAACACTTGTTATAAATTTCTTCCTTTCTTTAACTGTGCATAAGTTATCATAATGAGCATGAGAACAATGATTATAGCAAAAATTTAATGGTCGGATGGATTGACTTAACCATTTTCATATAGCCGTTTTAATCGCTGGAGATTTCGTATCAGCAATTCTCTTTTAAATAAAATCTTAGATCGACCGATATTTTTTGTTGTTAAAAAAATTTGTTGTAGAAATTTATCGATAAGGGATCGTTAAAAAACATCCACATCTTGTGCTTAGTTGGGGCCCATCTTTATCTCCAAGTTACTCTCTGGCGAAAGGGGCAGTCAGTGCAATCAGCCAAGCAGAAATTGTGAGTGCTGTTAGAAGAAAAATAAAGCATCCACAATGATTGTTGTAAGAACATAACTACATTAGTTTTTAGGTCAGTTCGGATTACCTCGGTTTCATATGGGTCTTTTTCTTGCTTTCGTTATATCAGCTCTTACGTCTGTGTTTGAATCTGTTGGTGATTATCATACTGCGGCACGTGTATCAGACGAAAGGTCTCCTCCATCACATGCAATTAATCGTGGAATTATAGCTGAAGGTTTTTTTCCAATCTTTTTAATTATATATTCGTTTATGCAGTTGAAATTTTTCTTCAACTTTTCATATTTCTTCTGTTCACTTCTATTACTGTTTCTTTTTTTGTTGCGACATTTTAGTCATCTTTTATATCTTTTTCCTCTGTTTTTTGACACAAATCGCACAGTCAAGCCATTTTGTCTCCTATATTTAAAAATTTTCATCCGCGATGAAAACCATTCAACATTTAATGTGGCCTGCGAAGTACGTCAGTGAAATTTTTTTGGAATATCTCTGCTTATTTGTATCATTACTAGATCATCTGAGAAATGTATTTAATACCTTCCCAATCTTCAGGATTTTGTTAAAAATTTTATGAATTGTGGTCAAGTTTAGGTGAGCTGGGAATATATTTTAGTTCTATAATTCTTCATCTTCTGGCTCACTTAAAGTTTAAATATCTCCGTTGACTATTAGAATAAGAAAGCCTCCCGATTGAATGCTTGGTCTGAAAGTAATATAAGGCAATTTTCTTTTCCGAGCACAATTATCCCTGAGCTTACCATTATCTCTTTTGGTTCAAATAATCCATTTCTTCATTGGGTCTCTTCGTTGTGTATCGATCATCCATCACTCTTGCGCAATAAGTAATCCAAGATAAGAATAGCAAATTATGAGATTTTGTAATAAATGGCCGACATGGTCTAACTAGCATAGGTGCGTTGAGATGGTGTTGTGTTAGGACAAATTCAAAATGGATGGAGTGGTGTATTTTGAGGAATCAGACTTGGCTCGATTCCTAAGATGCTCTGATCCGATCAGTTTCAGCGATACAATGGTGTCAGTACTGAACCCTTCAAACGACAGTATACCAAAATGTTGTCAATTACGAATGTTAAACGCTACTTGTCTGGAGAGTCCCATTAATTAGATCTCTTTTCTAGTGAGAATTAGAAAAATGATGTGTTCCGTTCGTGCAATAATGGCAAATATATATTTCTGAATTTTCTGAATTTTCATGCAAAGGGTGTAGTTGTTAAGAGAACTGAGGTGTTCGAGCCATTTCGAACATAATAGCGAATATCGTTTTGCATTTAACATTAGGGTTTTTTACGTTCCATGCTGATAGGTCTTGATGGAAGTCCTTTTTCTTTTCCCTAAAGTGGAATAGAGTCTAAGATAATTCTTTGATCTCTTATGTTCCATCAGCTTTCTGGTTCTTTAGCTCCTTTATATAAAGGGAAAACATTGAAAAAAGGAAAAACATTGAGAGGGAAATAATGTAGATGTTTAAAAAAATTTCGAAAAAATAGACCTTTAAGATGTGTAGAGGTGTTGTCCTTCTGAATATTTGCTCCAAGAACTCAAACTTATTAGGCCTATAATCGAAAATACCTCAAAAAAAATCTTACTTAGGTAATTAAGCATGACAATTAGATTGTTCAAATACCCTCATAATTTTTGGCTCTACATTCAATTTTTATTTTTCATTTTTACTCATCGAAAATCGGTTAGTCGTGATATTGTTCTAGGATTCTTTTGCGCAGAAAATGATTTTTTCAATTCATTTTTGTTCTGATATAACCTAATTCGAATAATTACTTGTATTTTCGACAAAATTATTTTTATCTTCGAGAACTTTGTTTAATTTGTCTCCTAGTTTTCTCGCAGTATAATAAGGCAGTATAAAGTGGTTCTGTATATGAAAAATTAAATACGTTGGTTCAGAAGATTAAATAATATAATAAAATGGTAATAATGAGAATAAGGAGATAGTTTTGGCATTGAATTTTGTTTTTGTAAATCTTTTGTAAATCTTATTTTTGTCATTTTCTTTCTTTCGTACAAAGTAGTACAAAATATTTTGGATTAATCGGCTTCAGGTAATGTGGATGTTTATAGTCTATCTCTCTTCTCTACTAGTTCAAGATGAGAACTATATTCGTCCTTTCATCTTGGTAGTCTTTAAACTGCTGGTTCGGAGAATTTTTTAAAAATGTTTTCAGAATTTCGTTGGGGTCGTTTCTCGATTGACCATTCTGCATGTGGCCATCATTCAGGATTACATAGCAATTGAAGCATCATATGTCATCGTTGCTAAATTTGCATCATTGAAAGAGCTTGATGAAGCAGTTTATTTGTGATTCTAGTGTTTCACCGTAGCCTTCGGTAAGCTCAGTTCGTATGCATAACCTAGTCGTTTTATAATGAAACAAGTAAGAATATTAAGAATATTTTTCGAGCGTCAGATAGAGATTATTAAGAATATATTTGCAGTTAGCTCTATCATTTTCTCTAGAAATATTCCCCATTATTTTGGTAACTGTCGAATTGAACAACGAAATCAATTGAGCAAGTTGTCGTCAATTTTTTATATCGATTCAGGGACCTGCGAATTAATTGTGCATAGATTCACATACCGTGAATGTATAAATCTTCTATTCAAGTTTTTTTCAAAGAGGAATGATAAAATCTCTCACATTATGCAGACGCAATTTCATGGAGGTATATGGCCATTGCTTCTTTTTTTTGTTTGCTAGGTAGGCCATAGTATTTCTTTGGGTACGAAATAATGTCTATTAGTATATCTATTCGTATATTTTTAATTTGGTTAGTATATAATTGTAAATATTATTCAATTTGAGATATAGATATAGCGTTTCGCTTTAGAGGGAGAACTGTGAAATTCGAAAGTAATCTTTGGCGGAAAAGTCAAATTGCCTGTGTATGGAATCATATGAACGGGTTGTAGTCGCATTATTTTGAGTTCTGGAAAAGAAATTATGGCAGTATGGACACATATCGAGAGTAGCCGTGTATTTTTCAGTTGTTTGTGCTGTGTCGTCTTTGTGCGTTTTGATTTAATTAATTCAATAAACAGTATTGTATGAGGGATATATAATACGAGTTCCTTGGCGATATCCCTAGGTTTTTTCCATTTCCAATATTAATTTTTATTTTTTTAAATTTTTAATCTTTTAAGACATTTTTTTTTATAGGCCTTTTTTTGAGACTATCCGTTAAATTTTGTCATACATTGCCATTCATATTTCAGTGATAGATAATTTACAAGGACCTTATTTGTATTCCACCAGTCTTGTGTTTATTTTCAGCAGTGCCTTTGCAGGATTCGGATCATTTTTATCAGGGATATTTGGTCCTGGAGTCGGTATGACAACTCATACGGAAAATATTGGCGTTATTGGAGTAACAAGGGTAAAATGTTCATCAGCGGTTTTTTTCATTTTTTTTTCTTTACATCATCAGTTTAAATTCTTTTTTCAGGTCGCTAGTAGATTCACGATGGTAATTGCGGGGGTTTTTTTAATTTTGTTAGGTACATTTACAAAAATCGGTGCAATATTAGCAACTATTCCCGATCCGCTTGTTGGTGGTGTTCTTGCTAGTAGTATGGCAATGGTTGGTGGCGTCGCTATCGCCAATCTTCAACAGGTTTGTATAATTTTTTGCGTAATAAAGAATAATAAAGCTGTTAATAAAATCCAAGGTTTTTGAGTCGTATATTTTGTTCCCATTATAGATCGACCTCAAATTGACGAGAAATATCGCCATACTTGGCTTCTCTTTAATGGTTGGAATGATTGTCCCAGCATATTTTAAAAAGGAACCAATATCCACTGGTTTTTTTATTTTTTGTATAGCGTGGAAGTATCTAAAATGTTTATACGTGGATTAGATTATGTTTTTATGGAAGTCCGAGGTGATGAGAAGAGCGCATTATATTTTAAAAAATTTCACGACTTCGGCCTAAACTATCATAAATCGTGACTTTTGGATATCGATATGTTTAATTTATTTTTAATTTTATTTAATTGGATTTTATTTTTTAATTAATAATAATATATAATAATTAATTCTAATTTTGAAATCATTGTGATATTCAGTGGTTTAATATTGTAGGAGTCGAGATTCTTGATCAAGTGTTTAAAGTGTTATTAACTTTGCCAATGTTTGTTGGTGCCACTATTGCTTGCATATTGGACAACACTGTTCCAGGTAAAAAAAGAATTTTTTTCTCGTTTATTAAATCTTCATTTTTTATAGCTGTCATTTTTATTCTTTAAGGGGCTACTCGCGAACAGCGTGGATTGCGATCGAGAGGTTTAACTCATATATTGGACGCGGATGCTGTTGATACCTATTCATTCCCAAATTTTTTAATGAAATTAATTCATAAATTCCCTTCTCTTAATTTTTTACCATTTATTCCTAAAGAAAAGAAAACGACAAATCGAATAAGTTCTGTTGTATTGTAAGAAATGAGTTATGAACGAGTCGCAATTAATAAAATTTCATGCACGGCATCCCTGAATTTCCTATTGGTAAGCCAGTACGATAGCAAAGTGAGTACCTGGCCCTATATATGATTTTTTCCACTTTCTTTTCTGTTAGGAGTTTGTGGATTGGCTGCATTGAAATTGTATTAAATCTTTAAATTATTTGGCCCACGTATTTTATTGCAGCATTTCGTTACACTTCCATATTTACTGTTTTTATTTTTCAATCATTTATTAAATAAATCCAAGGATCATCATTAATTAGTTTTTATATAATCACATCGATCAGTTGCACTAGCAATTGCCATTTTCTTCAGTAAAAAAGTTGGCATCTATAATTAACTTCGCAAAACACATGTTGGCATTTTTCATACGGTTTATGATGTTGATTATTTTTGGATAGCTTGGTTGACAGCGACGTTTGTTTGATTGATCAAATACGACGCGTTTATATACACAGACTTTAGGCGATGAATGTTTTATACAAGATATTGAGAATTGATCCAAAAGTCGGTTGGACATGAGGGAAGAGAGAGAATGCACCAGTCTTACAAGACAAGGTGCTCGCTTTATTTGTATGTTCAAATCGCCTTAACAATGAATTCCACTTGTCTCTAATAAGCATAACAAGGTCATATTTGTTTTTCAAATTCCATATATTTTCGTAACCATTTTACAATATTGTCTTGAAAAGTCTTAACCCCGAACCCCCGAACGCCTTTGACGACTTCCTTATTAAAAAGAAGAGAAAACGAAAATTCCAAAGGATTTTATGCCTTATCAGCAATACCGTAAATAGTGAGTGACATAATATAAGGCTCAATGGATCTGGCGTTGGATTCTGCGCCTCGCTATTCTCGACTTGCTTACGCTCTGAATTTTGCTTTTCTTTCTTTATTGTAGTAAAAATTTTTTAAAAAAATATTTGGAATGAAGAAATCCTTCTGTCCTACAATTCGTATAAAATTAAAATTGCGCACTATTGAACTTTAACTATAATTTAAAAAAAAACCTACATGGGAGGATTTGCATGAAGATAAAATAAGAGGCAAAGTAATTGGCAAGCCCCCGTCATTCGCCTATCCACAACAAATAGATTAAACATTTATTATCTATGATTGATATGATTGGGAATAAAAATATTTTATCAATGAGCATCAGAACAATATCTCGAAAATTTTTGTTAACCCTTCAATTCACTTACTTCACACATCGATTATCACTATCCATTGACAAATCCTATCAGCAGCGACTTAAATTTGACTGAGTTTGGAATTTGACAATAAAATAATAATCAGCTAAAATGGTTCTCTCATTATTTGAATAATTTTCATCAGATTTTTTTGCTAAAAAACCACTCTTTAAAGCGAATAACTGAAGAATCCCCGCCATGCTTTTATATCATCGTAAAAATTATTAGAACCGTACAAAAGCCTAACGGACTTGAATGAACCGAAAGGTTAGCAAGTTGCATACATATGAGAAAAGAAAAAAAACAAATGATATGTTTAATAAAACGATTAAGTGAAGATGGATTTATTAGATTTGCCCGAAAACGGTTTTTCACAACAATAAATAATGACCTGATCCGCATTTGAAGGCAATAGAAAGGCATAGAAATATTAAAATTAGAATTAAAAATATATTAGGAATAAGAAAATAAACATCATCCGAATATTATCATTTTACAACAAACATCAAACGTTCTGTTAACGCCAAAAGTCACCTTTAAATAACTTCTGGAGAGAATAATTGTAACTGGTGAACGACATTACATTTTAATTATATTCGGATTTCATTTACGAAAAATCGAAAAAAGATACAAAACAACAAAAAAATTCTTCAAATAAAAAATTAGAAAAAACATAAAAAACGTAAAAAATTTTTCAAAACCTTTTTCACAATCATAAACTTTAAAACTTTTCACAATCATAAATTTATTTTTTTAAAAACGAATAACATGAAAAACTTGAGAGACCTGCTTAATTTCTTCCTCATCTAATGCGCTGAATACCGCGACATGGCCCTGACCCATTAATCTGTACTCCAGAATAATTTTTTCCTGAAAATATATCAAAGAAACAACTAGGAAAATGCTTTTGATAAATTAATAAAATGAAAATTTTTTGAGGATAAATGTAGAAAAAAGAAGCTAAGGTGGGTGTCTATAAGATGGCAATCAAATGAGATCAGAAAAACCAATTTTCAAAAAATACCTTGAGCGAATCACTAAAGATATTGCTCGATACATTTTCCTTCAGATTGACGGCAAGTATGCCCATCGCAATTAGAGGTACTGGCATCTTGGAATGACTAAAACTGCTAATTATAGTACCAGCTGGAGAAGGATAGCCGCTTACTGACGTATCTCCTGATAATACTGTTAATTCGCTGGCAATTGTTGATTCTGCATCTACCTAAAACAAGTTCCCTTCAAGACTTTTTACTGAATGTCTTCAGCTTTTTTTCTTCAAACGCCATAGCTAACTTCGCAGGCTCCACTGACGATCAGGATAAGATGTTTTCAAATGTTTCCGATCCGGCGCCATGATCGAAAGCAGTTAAAACCCCTTTTTCCACCATCTAAGCCCGTATTCCTACTCGTCCAAAATCTCCCATGATCACATCTTCAAGTCTCTCATTTTTAAAACCAAAAATTACTAATAAGGTAAGAAAGTTAGACGTGCGGAGAACACGGTAGCGCTGATTTAATGTTTGTTATATGAATCGACAGCAGAAAGGATTTTAGGAGCGTGTTCAAGGCACTGCATTGATAGCGCCTCAGTGCCGGTGCTAGTTTCTCTCTTCCGAGTAATAATTCTAGCTCGGATTTAGCAGAATTCCACACACAGGCTTTAATGTGGGAACAGCACTAATTGGCCGTTCCAAAAATGTAACTGACTGCTTAAATGTTTTCGGTACATTTCAGCTTGAAGTATGCTAAACACCCTTAAATTTTTGATTCCGAGATAATTAAAAGATTTCGTACGCTGTGTTGTGTGTGTTGCTTTCATTCGAGTCTTAGCTCTTAACACAATATGGACCGATGGCCAATTCCCTACTCCTATAAGCAATTAAAGGCGTTATCTAGTACCTTTCCGGCGATGATTACCGGAATATAGTCAGCTTGGTTCAAATATTGATTCCCTGGAGAATTTCAAGTAATTAGATACTTTCAACAGTGCCGGAACGAATACTCCATTATCTTCAATTGAAAGAGCAGCGCTTTGGAGGATGACGGAATGTAACAGTGTACCAGAGAAGACCATTCAACTCATAAAGGCATTTCATCATCATTCATTCGGACAGGCTTGTATACATGAGGAACTGACAGACCCTTCCGAAATAAGAACTGGTATCCGAGAAGGCTGCGTCCTTTCCCCTTCAATATTCAACTGTGCAATAGACTGGATAATGGATATCGCTTGTTGGCACTCAAGAGATGTATAAATTAGTCCAGAACATAGTATCACAGACCTAGAAATATGGTAATGATGTAATCCTTTTAATGGTAAACAAAGTGTCGACAACCGCAGTGAGAATCGCGGTCAGGATCAATGCAAATAAAATGAAAATTTTTTCGTCCTATCAGAAGTTGATAAAATATCTATTTTTGTCAAATTATAGCCAGATAAAGAAATGCAAGTCCTTAAAAATCTTGGATACACTCTAATCCCAAACGGAGAAGAGAAAGAGAACGCGAAATTACGAGTGGGATAAGGATAATTAAAAATGCATCCCTTCGGTTGACAAAATTTTTGTGGAGCTGTTGCGAAATAACCATAAAAACGAAAATCTGCGTCCATTTAGCTGCAATTCGCTCGATTTTGGTATATGGGGCTGAGAGACATGGCCAGTGAGAGTGGACAATATTGAATACTGCCTCATCACTCCTTTGATCACGCCTTTGATCACTCCTAAATTGCCTAAGATTTTACGAATCCGCCGATCTCACATGACTGAATCCACCTTTGTTTAAATACCATCTGCATTAACACTACCATCACAGAGCACCGCCTTCACTAGTTAGGGCACGTTCTTTGACGCCCACCACAATTAACATATATTTCGTTACTTGCTAAACCTTGTGATGGGTGGGATCAAAGGTGATGTGGGCCAATCAAGACTTGCACTGATGCAAACAGGAATTAACCAGCGACATACAGATCAACGGTTGAAAAAGGAATGGCTATGGCTTCTACTACTGTCAGCGATGGCATGGGATCGAACAACTTGGAGATGTCTTTTGCAGCCAGCTCAATCAGCCCAACCAGCATTGGTGAGAACTATCAAAAAAAGAGAAGTTATCCAAAAAGCTGCTGTGGTATGGCCAGTTGACCATACCTGAACTAGGCAGATGCAATCACTGCTCCAGATCTAAATTTGGAAAAACGGAATTCCGATAGTTAAGTGATGTCCAAGCGATATTTGGATAAGACATGGACAATTAACAAGTGACTCCACATATCCATACGTGTTCCGACGTTCCATGCAACTATGACCAAGAAAATAGCCATAGCATGCACAAAGCTGGTTTACATTTGTCTGATCATCTTAACTGGATTAAAGCATTTCTTTCAGTCCTTTATTACCGTCTCGCATATTCCGCTTGCACCGCAGTCACCGCATGTGCTAGCAAGTTATACAATATGCACCGGGATATACAGATGCTGTTTAAGAGCCATCTGATTATTTCACCTGGAGGAGAGATACAGATGAGTTCCAGCAGCCACTCAGATTTGAATTAATGATATGCATAATTATAAAATTATAAAAACCGAAACTTTTACGAAATTTTATGAAATTTTAATAAAAATTACTGATAAATAGTCTGATAAAATTACGTTACGATTTTATTTTACAGCAAAGAGATCCCTTGTCCCAGAAATTTAAATATTTACCATTACTCCCTCTCTTAATGCATTAATCTCCGCATTGACCAAATTAGCTCCAGCGTTCCCTGTTGACATTAATAAACCAACAGTAGCACTGGCTACCAACGCCTTTTCAATACCTCGTGCATCTGCAAATTCTCTATAAAAGAAACGACGCCACAAAAAAAAACCCATTACCTTTAGAAAAAACATTTTTATATTTCTAAACAAAAATAAAAAATAATCGTAATAAAAGGTAATATCTTCTAACACCAACCATCACTTCTGGTTCAGCTGAGTCTACGGACTGAGGTTAGGCTCTTTCGTCAACGAATAACTTGAAGGTAATGTTAAATTGTGTTTCTCCGCGCAGGTCCAAGTAAACAGATGCTTTCCCCGATGTTAAAAGCATTATTGGCGATATATATATATATATTCCGATAACCGGCCTCAATGAGAACGGTCTCGTTATTTTTCGTCACTACCTCCTCTTGCTGAGAGTGGGTAATTTGCGCGCCTGCTGCCTTCCTTGGAAGTGGTAGCCGGGGACAAGCGGTGTTCAGCCGCATGAAGTTGAGCAATAACAGGTCTGTGATGCCCTTAGATGTCCAGGGCTGCACGCGCGCTACACTGGAGGAATCAACGTGCTATGTCCATTGTCGAAAGGCATTGGTAACCCGTTGAAAATCCTCCGTGCTCGGGATAGGTGCACTTTTCTTCCAAAAATACAGATGGCGACTCATTTGTATTATAATTACCAGATGAGCCCACTGGCACTCTTGGAAAAAACATTGTGACGCTCCCAGTTATGCAAAAAACACTATGATAAAGCCAATATCTTCACTGTAAAGCTAGGAACAATAATTGCTAAATGCATAAAACGAGGAAGATAAGCAATATCCAAGAAGATTTTGCAAGTTATCGCCTGGCTCTCAAAATTCATCAATGTTCCCATTTTCCACGTGGCTAAGGTCAAGAGCGTCAAGAATCTCACTGGTGCCTATTTTCAGCGATTCTACAATATTTCTCTAAAGTTTTCGCTTTTCTCCATTTATATACACACGATCTCTTCACTATGAATTCGTAAATTCATCTTCCTCCTTTATCAGCACTTAACATTACTGGTTGAGCCGGTTCTACAGATATCTATCAGAGAATCTTTTAGTAATTAAAAGTGGAGTCCTCAACAACGCCAGGATTTAACTTTTTATGACGTTCTTTTCAAAGAAGCTGGGAATCGAAACAACAGATCGAATGACGCTGATCGAAACACCCACTGCACTCAGCTAATCCTGCCCTTGAATTAATTTACACCACATTACTATGCTTACTTTTAGGTATTTGTAGAACCACTGATTTGGGATGGTTAGCGAGTTCAGCTAAAATCTGAGTCAAAATTCCTGCAGCGCGGATCCACTGCGATTTTGCTTCTTCAAGAACAGATTCAGCTATTGATGCATTCAGCTAAAATGGAAAAAACATATCTAAAAGCATTATAATAATTTATAAGAGATTTGAATTTTCGAAATGTATGAAAATATATTCGGCATCGTTATTTTGGAAATCATCAAAACTTAATGATAAAGTAATATCAATTCATAACGATTACAAACGTCTTCAAGTCACCTAAAAGAAGGAATTTAAATAAAAAAATGAAATTTCAGCTAAAAGACAAATCATGGGAAGATTTAAATCAAAACAAAATTTCGCAAAAGTATTCAAAGATAAAAATTATATTACCCCACTATAAAATCCAACCCCCTTATTTAAAGCGACAATGTTTCCGATTAAGTCACGACCAATTCTTTCCTTACGTTCATCGAAAGAAGAACTTAAATGAGGAGTACAAATAACTCTGGAATGTTCAAGCAGTTCTCGACATTGTGGCGGTTCCTAAAATATGCTTTGATAGTGCAGGATCTTGAATCGAATAAAACGATTATAAAAGATTATTACCACCATCAAATAAACTATAAAGTAGACAGTAGAAGAAAAAAAAAACAACTGATGACTTTGCATAAAAGAAGTGTGAATGAACCTCTGCGAAGACATCAAGAGCAACTCCACCAACATGACCTTGATTTAAAAACTCAAGAAGATCGGTTTCATTTATTACTCCTCCTCTGGTGACATTGATAATTTTAACACCACGTTTGCACTGCATTAGCGTAGTTGCAGATATCAAATTCCGAGTTTTAGGAGTTAATGGTATATGCAAAGATATATAATCGGCTTGACGCCAGAGGTGATTTAATTGCGTCCACGTTATACCAAACTTTGCAGCAAACTGAAAAGGGATTAAAACAGAAATATCAGAAACAAGAAATGATTAATAAAACAGGCTAAACACGAGGGGACAAGCCTAAAGTTCGAAAGTGGAAACCGAAAACTACAGAAGAAAAAGAAGTTTTTCACTATAAACCGACCCTGTAGTGAAGATGCTCGCCACAAGTAGACCATCTCTAGAACTCCTCGAATACCAATATATACTCGATTTGGAGAACAAATGAGAACTGACACAGATAGTGAATAGCTTGAAGGAAAGAACTACAAGAAACATGGGCCTCATTTCACTCAACGAATACGTCTCTCTTACCTTAATTAAATGGGACTGGGTAAATAAATTAGTCTATATTATAATGAAATGCAAAATAATAATGCCAAAAAGAACCTCAACGGAAACGACAGGATCGTAACCAATGATTTTCATACCGAAAGATAACATGCGTTCTCCCAACTCTAAGCCAACACGGCCAAGACCAATTATTGCCAATGTTTTGCCATAAATCTAAAAAGTCAAGTTCTAAACACTGTGAAAAATTAATTTAAATAACGTCTTAAAATCCACATGCTGAATCAACATTCTTTTCATTAACCTCGCTGCTAAGCGAGGGATCTTAAATGAAAACTAAATCTAAAAAAAAAATCAAGAAAATTTCAAAATGGGACTATAACAACGCCGCCACATAGCCACATAGCACTATATAGCACTATATACATCGAGTGCCTGCTGATTTTCACTGCTTTTTGAATGAAAATTTATATTTTATAAATTTATAGAATTTTTTTGTTCCTTATTTCCTTATTTTTTTCCTATCACAAGGAATCAAGTACTTTTTTCCTAAGAACGTCCATCATTTATGGTTAGATTAGTTCAGCTGGCTTCTCATATAAATTTTGGCAAGGGATTCACATTAGATAAGTCGCTAGTACCACTTGAATTCTTGATAAGCAGGTTTATTTCTGCCGAGAATAGACGGATCGATTAATTACTTATTCATCGCACTGCTCTGTATGAAAATAAGTACCACATAAACTAGTATATATGAAAAGCAATTAAAAGTTTAATAGGAAAAAAAACAACCTCTTCACCAATAAAATCTTTAGTTGCCCATTTACCAGCCTTGAGTGAAGAAACAGCCTGTGGTATGCGCCTTGCTAACGAAAGAACAAATGTACAAGCTAACTCCGTAGCTTTTCGACAACATTCAGCTGAAAAAAATATTTTCTGATGTATTCCAAGTGAATAAGATTTTGTGGGAAATTGGAATTTTGTGAAAATGAGGAAAAAAAATTTTAAAATTTTAGAAAGAAAAAGGAAGAACAGAATTTAAAAGAAATAAACCATTTTCAGGTAAATCCCAACTATTGGTAACATAATGTTCCATAATTTGATCAAAATGATTTGGTGATAATTTTCGTTTTCTTCTATTGCTTCCACCAATAGTATTATCGTGCCCATTAACAGTATCAACATTACTATTTCCAGTATTACATCCATTATTATATGCATTATTTATAATCGAATTTGTTGTTTTATTCAGCGAATTGATAATTGAAGCATAATTGTCATCATTTTCCAGCAAATTGATATTGCTGTTATCATTATTGATATTGATATCAGTACGTAGTGCTGGCTCAGAACTTATAAGAGATGCCAATAAATTATTCGCTGTTGTTGTTGCATCAGTCGAATCATATTCTTCAATTTTTATGTTACTAATTTTATCAGATGAATAATCAATAGCACTGGTACTATCATTGAAGTTAGATGAAAAACTACCAGCTGAAGTACCACATAAACTCGTACTTATCAGCGATATATTATCGATTAAACTAGGATCAAATAATGAATGATAAGCATTTAACTGATTGATGAAAGATTTATTAAATAATGACGCTGAAGAAAATGATGTGATATTTGGCTTTCGTGTACGTTGTCGTGGTCGTCCTTTTGCAATTGTCTTCGCAAAACCATTTTCTTCTTTTTGTTTCGATTCTTCAATTGTTGGTGGAATACAGAAATGATCATTAGCTTCTGGAAAATCCGGATCGTTTACGATATATCCATTTTTTACCGCAATACATGGTATCTGCGGTAATTTACCATCCGGACCAACTTTTATTTTATTTTTCATCGACCTACAAGACATACAGCGATAATAACATGAACTTACACCTGCTTGATTTGTGAAACGAGTTTTAAATGCAAATTCGCGACGATGACCAGGATGTGAACGACTTTCATAAACTAATACATGTCCACCAAACACTGTTGGTATAAATGTTGCTGGCGATGTTGTAAATTTCGGTAATTCTGCTGCTGTATACACAGTTTTTTTTACTTCATTCGTATCCATTTCATAATAATCTTAAAATATATTTAAAAAAAAAAAAAAGACTAATTTCATAGTTGAAATTGCAGTAAGTTCCGCAAAGATTTTTGGAAAATTTTGAAAATGAAAGGAGTTACAGAAGGAATTGAAAAGAAAATTGAATATGGATAATTATAATGAGAGAGAAAAGAGATGTTGAGGCCAAATACTTCTAAAATTGTTCACAATGGCAATAAAGAAAAAATGTTGTAGAAAGGATGAATGAATAGGAAAACGAAAATACATATTTAGAGAGAGAGAGGAACCAAATGCGAACTCAATCAGGAACAGCCAACAACTAACTTCTTTTATTCGTTCAACAAACTGGTCAATTTTAAAACTTATAAAGCACTATTTATTTGTAAAATAACGAATTTTTTTTGGCAGAATGATAACAAGTGATAAAATGATAAAAAAAAGAGATGAGAGCTCGTAGAAGTTAACAGAATTCTCCTTGCAAGCCGAAGCAATATGCCACATTTAGACTTAAACATATATTAATTTGTCATTTCATTAAACTGTTCGGAATAATTAACGAGTTTTAACGAATTACAATATTTATATTTAACTTTAAAAATTATCGAAAAATCTAAAATTAAAAATTTAAATAAAACAAATAAACAGAGAAGAAAGAAAAAACGATAAAAAATAAGGCAATGGTGCGTGTCGATTAGAAAGGAAGAATAATATTCACCAAAATGAAAAATCGTATCATCGGATTAAAGCTAAGCGAAACAATTACAACATTATATTATTGAAGTAATTGATCGAATAATACGTTAAGATAAAAACCGTATAAATGTGAAACTCTCAGTTAAAAAAAAAATGAGAAAAATGAGGTGAAAGAAGGGGGAAAAAGGGGGAAATGGGGATCGTGGAAGTGAAAATCGTTTTAGAAATGTAACTGAAAATGGTTAATGATCAAATTTTAACCAAAAAAAGAGGATTACTCAAATATTTGATGGAATAATAAAGGGGCAAACGTATAGAAAAAAGCATGAAATTGTTTTTTCCAAAGACGAAGACGGAAAATCATAACCAAAGGCAATGGAATGAAAGTAACAAAAGACTCAAAAAAAAGGAAAGAAGGTGGAGGATAATACGGTCAATATGAAGGAAAAAAAGTGAAACCGGATGAAACGAACCAAACCAAGGGTAAATATAAATGACAGTAAAAGGAAGGAAGAGAATCAAAAAGTACAGATATGGGTGAGAATATATCGGAAGAAGGCGATTCAAAGAATTAAATCCAATAACACGGAGGATTGATGGTGAAGCGGTAAAGGAGTGGGAGAAAGCGGAGAGGAGAAGGGGGAGAAGGTGGAGGGGGAAGAATTAAAATATATCAAAAGCGAATAGCAAGTTGGCTGCTGAAAGACCAGTTGAAGGTTTATTTCTTGCCGAATGGTTTTCGATGGAATTAGCCAAACCAGAAATGGTGGTGCGTGTTGTTCAAAGAAGCGGTGTTATGGTGAAAAGGAAAGGGGAAGAGGTATATAGAAAATATGTTGAAAAGGGTTTGGCATGGACGGAGGCAGGCAGACACGTAATACCCTACATAAAACGCACACCAATACAATCATCACCATCATCACCATCATCTCACCATCTCACCACTATCGTCATCACCATTATCATCATCAGCAGCAACAGCAGCAGCAGCAGCAATACACACAATGCGTTTGGCCTTGTCGTTTGGATTGGCCTAGTTCTTCCACGTTTCTCTAATTCTCTTCATTTACCATTCTCCTATATTTTTGTATCCTTCTTTAATTTGATCGATTTTGGCTTATACCCTAATATTTCTACGTTTTCTTAATGGCCTTCTTTGCTGTGGCCCATGTCCCCATGTCTGTTTTCTTTTCCTCTTTTCTTTCTCTTTTTTCGCTTTATATTTTCATTTTTCCTTTTCCACAGGTATATTTAAACTAGTTAGACAGGTATTTCCAATTAGACATTACAACATTTCGACGAAATATTATCTAATAAGATATTTAAACCTTCAAAAGATTATAGAATTTCGAGAGAATTAGAGATGAAATTCAATTTTATCATATTCTTTTCTTTTTTTTTATGGAAATTTTTAGAAATTCACGAATTTTTATACTTGAAAAAAAAATTTTTTTTCCTAAAATTTTAAATTATGGTCATTTTTTAATTTGTTTTCATTATAGTTCGTCAATTCCACTTTTATTATTTTTTCATTTTGCACCTAATTCCACCAATTTGCACCAAAATTCCATTATTTTTATAAAAAATTTGCACCAAAATTAAATTATTTGCAAAAAATTTACGTTAAAATTAGATTATATTTTTCTAAAAATCGTATTCAAATTTATCGCAAATAATTTATCGTCGAAATTTATCGCAAATAAATTTATAAATTCAAATAAAAAAAACAAAATTACATAAATTTTTATAAATTTATAAAAATTATAAAATAATAGATGAAAATAAAATTATTTTAAAATAATTATTCTAAAATTCGACGATAATAAAATTGGCTAAAAATTTTTTCATCGAATACGAGGAAGCTTTCTAAATGCATCGATCTCGCAACTGTAAAAGTATGGGCAATGAGCCATTTTGCTTATCGTCAGCTAAAAACTTCATAGATTTTATATATTTCTATTTTCTTATATACTTAAATCTTTCAATATCGTTATCATTTGACTTTTAATGCAAAAATTTTTCCAGATAAAATAACTGATATGCTGATAACTCATAAACATAACTGATATACCAATGATTCTGATTATAATCCAATGTTTTTTTGATTTTATCAGTTAAAATATTTTGAATTTTTCGCATATGTATTCAAAAAGAAATCTTTAAATATTCCTTTGATGATGCTTAATTAACTTAAAATATTTTATTATACTTGCTTTATCTTCTCTCTCTCTCAAAAGTTCAATGCCATCGCATAGATCACTCGCTTAACGTTTCCTTAATATTCGGTTGAAAGTTGATCATATTTGGCTTTAATACTCTCTATAAACCCATAAGCTTAATTCTTAAATAATTAACAATTTTCGTTCATAAAATTTTTAATTCGTAAAAATTGGTTGAAAATGGTTTTTCTGTTTTTCTTTCATCTTTATATTCTCTTACAAAATTTTAAAAAATTTTAAAAATTTTTCATCTGAGTTTTAAATGATAAGAGTGGACAAGAATCAGAAATCAGTTCTGGTGATTGTTATAAAAATACCAAAAGGATAGGAACATCAGAAAGAAGGAATATGAGAAGTTAGAGAAATACCAGGCGCTGAAAGAGGAGCTATAGAAGATGTGGAAAGTAAAGGCCAAAGCCAAAGTAATCTCACTGATAATTGGAGCACTTGGAAGTGTAACTCCTAAACTGGAAAAGTGGCTTCAGACTTCAGGAGCAATATCAGAGATCTCTGTCCAGAAGAGTATATTATTGGGAACAGCTAATATACTGCATAAAATCAATCCCCCAGGCCTCTGGTAGAGGATTCGAGGTTGGATATGACCATTCACAGAAGAGTGAAAGAAAAATTTTTTTTTTTAAATGACAACTTATTTATTTGTACTTGCTATGTTTATACTCAATAATTATTCTGATGTATAAGAGTGGTATGATTGCTTCAATTTGTTAATGCATCAAACATCGATTCGCTTGTCCTGGTAAAATGTCTTTAAAAAATCCGAAAGGTACAAAAGGTTCCACATGCAGTTTCTATAGCTTCCAGTTGACTTCGTAAAAAAAATTTCTAATTGTACTAATAGTCAACGAATTATACCATACAGTAATGTATGAAATGGAATTTTTTTAGAATAATTTAGCCGTGGAATTATTATTGTTCAAATTCAGATTAGTTCAAATTAGAATAATTATTAAAAATATTTTAATATTAATATTTATAAAAATATAAATATTAATATAAAAATATTAATATTTTTTAATAATTATTAATAATTATTTTTAATAATAATTATTAAAAATATCTTTTAAAAATTTGAAATAAATTATTTATTTTTACAAATTATGTATAATAATAATCTAATAAATGTATAATAATAATTAATATTAGATAAATTTAAAGATTTTTTGGCAAAATTTTTAAAATTGGCAATGGATGTCCTTCTGTATTAAATACCCATTTGTTTAATGATACTATGGAATTATTGCTAAAAGCAAGATAAGCATATTTGAGGGTTTCGGCAAGGAAAAAACTTTGCTGAGCGTCATCCCATCCCTGAAATTTCATAATTTATTGACTAAATAAATAAATAAAATTTTAGAAATCGATGAAAATTTTAAATTTCTCGAGAAAAGTAGAGAGTCTTCATCTCGAGCTTTCAGCTTCACAACAATACACCTGTGGATCGATTTTTAATAATCCCTATCACCAGATGATTGTTTAATGGAAGAATAGAAGAATATCTTAGGTAAGTTATCAATGTGAAATTGCAAAAACGAAATATCTAGATCTAACTAACGTCGTTGATATTATAAACATTTTTTAAACCAGCATATCCAGCTTCCTTCTTGCAATATTTCTCAATCGCTAGTATAGCGTTCCAAATCCATTCTTTATAGATTGATTTACCTGTTAATCGCCAAAGGTAAAACCATCCTTCTATTACTTCAGGCCGCAGAAGGTACGCATATTCCACGGAGCTAAAACCATAGAAATAATAATATGCATTAGGGAAATGCTTGTCATTTGTGCTTATTATTGTTAATTAAGGGCAAATAAAAATTCAACGAATATTTTATTTGGTAGCGAACGATATTATCCGATTCATTAAAAACTTGGTCTAGAATAGAATATTTTCTACTATTTATAGAAATATGATGGATTATTATAAATAATCAAATTAATTTGTAACAAACTTAGTTGTCATGGCTTCTCTTCCTGGCTTGAAATGAAACATCTCAGGGCCGAGTCCAGTTGCAGATTTAATATATGATTCATGACAAGTATGGCCTAGTTCTTCAGCCAGTCTTTGTAATCTAAATTTATTCCTTGATAAATATTCTATTGTTACTCATTTTTTATGCAGTGTTAGTCAAGCGATTGAGGAACAATAAAAGAAATACGATTAGAAGTAGTCCCTCTTCACAAAATCGTTATAATAAATTTCTCAATTTTTCAAACCGGCCTAATCCTAGATTATTTTAAATTTTGAACGGATTTCTAATTCAATGGTAGATTCAGCAAAAAACCTTTCTTTTCGTACTGAATTATCCAGTTTTGCTTGAAGAGCAAACATTCCTATACAAAAACAGGCCAAGTGGCTCATTTTTCGTTCGATTACACCATTCTTCCATTCACCAATATAAACCATTCCTTCTTTCGACCTCAGGATCATCCTAAAAATACATTTCAAACCATCTGAATAAGAATTTTTTCCATTCTATTCTATTTAAAGTTCTGAAGTCTGATAAAATTGATATGGTATATTTTTTTTTATTCAACGATCTGAAAAATTTAATTTATGACCGGAAATTTGCGCCAGAAAACGTTGCTTTTGAATAAGTGAAGAAATTGAACTTTCAATATATAAAGGTCGACGACAAAACCGAATTATGACTTTTGGGCCCACTTGACCTCGAATAATATTAAGAAAGTGGTTAGCGCTCATCATTTCTAGTTAAACTCCAATAACTGTTAGTAAGTTGAAAATTTTGTGTGCCAAGAAAGGTCGGTCGACAAAAAAATCTGTACTTTTTAATGGTAGATTTGCTCTTGTTCGGAGGGAGGGCAGTATCTGAACTCTTGGTTCCCGTCGATGATCTCAGCAACAACCACTCAGCTATACTGCTTCTTGGAAATTTTGCTCGTTATATTACAAATATGGGTTATAACAACATAGAAACGAACGATACCAAGCAAGGGAGTTTGTTTTCCATTTCATCTTTTACGCACTTAGACTTTACTATTTTTACTAAAAAATATTGGTTTAACTGCTGAAGTTTGAGAAGCGAAATTCAATTACAACGAATTACACAACTGGGAAAATTAATTCGAATGTTTACATAAAAATGATTTGAAAGCAGAATTTTTGAAATCCTCCTCGCCACATCATATAGAAAACCTTGAACTTAATTATTGCACAAGTTGATAGAGATCTCAGATTTTTTTTTAGTCAGAAAATTACATATCGTAATATCACTTGTTTCATACGTCCTAGGCCAATCTATGCTAATTAAGCCAAAAAGCTCTATTAAAGAACCTGCAAGACTAAACAAATAATCAAAGACAAGTAGCAATGGTTTATTTCAAAAAAGAACTACCCAACAACTTGGGTCGACTCGACTCGTCAGTACTGTTTACATTGTTTCATAGTTCCATTTAAAGACCTATTCTGTTAACAATAAGGCTTTATCTTAGTATCTCACTTTTTTTCAATAGCTTTAATTGCTTCTAAATACATCGTCCATGAAAGTAAATCATTGCTTTGAATATATCCTTTGATGAGATATTCATAGAAGCTGTCGCCCAATGCACCTAGCGATGAATGCATAAATGCCCATTTTCCTCAAATATGAATATTCAAATATTAGTAAAAATAATCAAAAAATAATAGATATGAAAATTATAAAAAAATTCTAATTTAGCCTAATCTTTATATCAAATAAAAGATAAAAATGATTTCACCCGTTTCTGCAGAAATATAATTCGGATAGAGGCCATCAATTTTTTTAGCACGATTGAGATGATGAAGAATGCCACGAACCTTAAAATAATAATAACCTTCTGAAAGATTTCCAATTTTCTGTCAAAAGAATGAGAAATCTTTGAAGATGATCTTTCAAGTTCACTTCTAAATTTTTTCTCCAAGATATTGAAATGATAGGATGCCGATTAAATAATTTCATTCTTAGTAATGGTTTGCTTGACTAAAATGGTCTTAGGTTTTTTGGAGCGTCAATGTAGTGGTTCAACAGAATAGTGGTAAACAATAAATACTAGTAGCTTTCAAAAATGCGGATGGTACTAGCGGTTAGTTGTCTTCTTCAAAAAATTTTCAAATTTACAGTCTTCAAAAAAAATTTCAACTATAGAAGTACGGCACCTTCTGTTGATATATTGGATTTTTCGTTAAATAAGACAGATAATTGAACTCCAATGCAAACGAACCAATTTCGGCCAGGATCGACGATTTTCTGTATGCCCAATCGTAATTAATCGCTTCACCTATTAAAAAATGTGAACTGAGATTGAGAATGAAAAAAAAAACAATCCGTCCTACTAGCGGATATAATTATCTACGAACCTTAGCATACCTCCGGAGATATATTCTCTAAATTTTGATATATTTCCTTAACACCTTTGCACAGTTTTCTTCACCAATTCCCTATCAAGCGTAAGTATAAAAGGAAGTTATTATTGCAAAAAAATACATTGCAACCAAACAAAATTTTAGAAAAGCAGAATTTCGATATCGAAGGGAAATTAAGAAGGTATTCGACGTAAACTGGGAAGAGATTTGACCAATATTGGCCGATTTGAAATGTAAATTAACATAGCAATTGACTCATTTCAAACACATACAAATTTACTGCAAATATATACAACATGGGATTAACAAATTCCAGTAAAATCCTATGATCTTTTTCATGATGATTGTGCTTTTTAAACTGTACTTCTTTATAGCGTTCACCTGTTTGTGGATTTAATAGCGATTTTGGTATGCCTAAAGGTAATTTAAACGCACTTATGAGCACTTCACCAATTTCTATTGCTTTAGATCTGCAATTTCATAGATTATAATAAGATAATATGTAAATTTTAATAGGAACCTTTGATAAAAAATCTGAATTTTTGGCTCATTCTTGATGATTTCTATAAGAAAAAATGAAAATCAGAACTTGAAAAGTTCGTCTTTTGTTAAAGCATATGTGGCTAGCATTCCACCAAGAAATCTGATATTCGTCTCGAATATCGATATATAACTTGTAACATTTTTGATGTTAAATTCATTTTTAATAAAATCTCTTGCCTGTAATTTGCGATATTGCAATATTTGTAATTTAATATAATAAAAATTATTATTTTGCTGAAAAGTCAAATTTCAAATTTTCCTACAACCATAAAAATTTTATTGGCTTTTTTTATAGAAACTATCATTCATATAATATTTGAAAGTTAAAGTAGTATTCGAAAAGAATTCAATTATCGTAAAATGTGTCTTTAAAGCCTTTGCTTTAGCTATCCTTATCAGAATGGCAATGATAAGGCTTATAGGTAAAATTTTGCTCTGTGGGAGTTAATTTAATTAATGGGCGCATTATGAAGTCATTCGGTTCAAAAAAGATACCACATGGAATTCAAAATTAATTGATTAAAATTAAAATATTTTAGTTCACTTAAACAAGCTAGAAATTAATAGGAATGTGTGCAGTAATATTGCATTAATTAACGATGAAAATGTTTTGTATAAATATTGATTAAATATATTTCATAGTTTTTCCAGTAGTTTTAGAAGTTTGCCATTAAATGAACGAATATTTTACTAAGGGGATTATTGCTGAAATTAGATGAGCCGCTATTTATAGCTATTTCATTCGTAAGCCGAAATATTTTATGAGACTTCTTAAGATATCAGATTCAACTCTATAGATCAACAAAGATCTTTGCTAAATAAAATTTTACCTCATAATATTCCTTTGTTAAATTCATAATCCAAAGTGTATCAATAGCATCAATAATAGTTGCTGCCATATTTCGATCCGATTTCGATCCACCAAATATATCTTGATTATGTGCCTGTTTTAAAATTGGTCGAACCTCATTAGCGCCCCAGGCATATTTTTTATATCCGTTCCATGCATATTTGATCATATTTTTAACAATTTCTCTTCGATCCTCTGTAGCACCGCTCCTTTTTATGTAAGAAATGGTCAAAAATAAAGAAATGAAACTCAAACAAGATTCACAGAATTCTAAGTTTTTCTATTGATTTTAAAATGAACTCTATTTTGAGGGGGCCTAATTCGATAAAAACATATGTCGCTTATGGATTTCATGAATGTAAACTGTAATTGTTACACTAGCTTCAGGTCGATTTTATATTAGCACACTATCAATCTTACCATCACTGGTGATATTTATATCAAACATGTTGAAGAACACATTCGACTGAAAACACTTGAGTTATAACGAAAAGTGAGGTTATTTTATGGTTATTAAATTTGTTCCAGAAGTTATTATACAACATTTCTAAATGCTGTCACTTCACATTGTCATTTTTGACCATATAAAATGATTATATGATCAAAAGTTTTTTTACAAAATGATTATTTATAAGAATATAAAGTATAAGTAAGCAATTATGAAGAACCTAGTGAATAATTTGGCTAAAAATGGAGGACAAAGTGATGAAAAATGGTGAAATCCTTTTAAGCGATGATTGAAAATCGATTTTGGGTAATGGCAAATAAGCACCAATTGAATGTACCTTCCTCAACAATGTTCCAGTTAATTCAGTTCTTTTTTGATAATTTTCCACAAAGATTCTTTTTCGTGAAAGATCTAATTGGTTACCAACAGCTGAGTACAGTATTTTAATGAGAAATAAAAAAGCGAATATCGCTCCTAATAATATCAATAGAACATTTCGATTGAATCGTATTGTATTCATATCTAAATTTCTTTAAAATTGAATTTAAATCTATAAATAAAATTTTATATTTAAAAAAAATTTTTTTAGGCCTTTTCGCAAATTTCCATATTTTATTATATTTAAAATTAAAAGAATAATAATAAGTAGATAAATAATAAATAAAAGAATAATAAGAATAATAAGAATACGACGAACGGTGAGGAATTTTCACGCCTATAATTTTATTTAAAAGCGCTTATTTTTAAATATTCGTTTTAAAATAAAATATTAAATATTAAAATAATATTGAAATAAACCTTAAAATTTTAATGAAAATTTAATTATTTGTATAAGCTATTTATCATTTTAAAAAATTATAGTACAATAGGAATAAAAATATAAATTATAAATTTGGCAAATTTTTATGTGTAATTTTTCGTTAAGTATTTTCCTCTTCTTGTTATTAATATTTTCACTGGAAAATCAGCATTATCAGCAAAATCACATATAAATAAGCATTTTAAAAAGTTTTGTAAAAGTTTTATATTTGGGTTTTTCTAATTTTTAATTTCTAATTCTAATTTTTTGGGTTTTTCTAATTTTTTTTTAGATCATTTTTTCAAAGAATATTTAATTTGCGGCACGCTAAGTTTTATCATAATGATTTTCGTTTTTGAAAATATATTCATTTAGCAAAAACTCGGAGCAATATTTCACTAGGAAAGTGAAAGGAAGAGGGAGAGGGGTAGGAGGGGGGACGGAGAAGGGGAGGGTAGCATAATGGAAAGCGACCTAATCATCGTTTTGAAATGCAGGAGTTTACTTATTTCACCTCCTCCATAGAAACAAAGCAGTCGTTAAAAAAAGTGGCTAGCTGTGATTCCTAACAAAAATTTCTAACCATACTAACGGAAGGTAACATAACTGGTGAGCGCTATTTACTTACTTATTTCTGATTTGGCTGACTCTTGATGCAGGCTCTTTGGGGTTGAAATACAAGCGGGTCTGCAATACAGGATTTCTCAGTTACTTCCGTTAAGGAAGAGAAATGCAACACCTGTAGTTCAAACTCTGTTTTTTAGCGACATTGTCAGTATTATTCGATTGCAATTGTCTATTACCACATTTCACTCATCTCTGGTTAGGTTTTTCTACCATTGAGTCACTTTTTTAAAAGAGTCCTCACCACTGGTTAAACTCGCTCCGCTGGCTTGTCGCATTCGACATATGCCAGGTAGTCCCTTGGCGATAGAAATACAGGTGAGTCGCAAGTATCACCCGCATTTTTGGATTACTCCTGCGATGAATCGAACCTCATGAGCATCGGCGCTCCGAAATTAGCAACAACCCACTAAGCCATTCTATCCCTCATAGCTAGGGCATTTATCCGAATTTGACTCTTAGCGATATTTATTTCCGTTGAGATGTAAGAATAAAATCTGAGGATTTTAAATTAGTTAACGACTCAAATGCGAGTGTTTCCGATATATTTAATTAATTAATTAACTGCCACAATGAAATGAAAATAAAACTTTTGTAAAGATCTAATCTCAGCGAAACGATTTCGATTTTTTTCTTTTATTTTTCTTTTTCCCTGCTTTCTTTATTAAGAATAATGAAAATAAAAATGAAAAGAAAAAGCATAAAAATAATATTTGCCAAAAAGATGGCTAAAAGATAACCAAAAGATCCAAATTTCAATTTATATTTTAAGCAACGAGGAAATTATTAATTCAGTGTTAAAAATAATTGCTGAAATAATTATTCGCTGGAATAATACATCAAAGAGATTTCAATATAGAAATATAATTATAAAAGCGCAATAAAATTAATTTCAAAGCATAAATCTTTGATTATCAAAAACTTGAACTATATCCTTCTACAGTTCGATACAAACACTTTAGGAGTCCTTAATCTGGAATGCATGAAGCCAAGAGAATCACGGGACATCGTATTCAAGGTATACGGCATCGTTTTAGATATACCAAGGTACTTAAACTTGCGAGCCAATTCCATTACCTTCCCATCATATTTTCAAGGATAACTTTGGCATCTTATGTCTGGAAAATGTCCAGAAAATAATAATGATCGCGGTAAATACGATGAATTTTAAAGTTTGCAATGGTATCACGTGCACTACAGCCCTTGTTTACAGTACATGAAATAATCCATCCGTTTCGGCGTCAAATTTGCAAGGGCAAGGACCATGTATGCATTTATTTTTTGCATTTATATGGCATGAAAAAAATAGAGAATAAAAAGAAAGCCTCAAGCAGGCCGTTTGATCGTTTTGCTTGTGCAACAATTCAGCCAACTTTCAAGGCAGTGATGTTGAGTAGTTAAAAAAAATCTCAATCATAGGGCTTTCTGCAGTAGCAGACAAATAACATTCATGAAATTATTTTTATTTTTAAGAAAAAGTAATTTGTTATAAGACTTAATGTAGTCTATGAACGCTTCTAATTAATAGAGAATTTTTTTTCATCTAATATTTCTGGTTAGGCTCTTTCAACTGGAAATTGGAACGTGGACTTTTCGCCAGAAGACTAATTGCTATTGTTTGGGGACAAGTGGGCCTTTATCATCGGCTTTCGCTTTTAGTGAAGGACGAGAAACATTAGTTGATGCAAAATACCAAAAGTCGACTTTTTTGTCACTAGTGAAATTTTACAATTTAATCTTTCAATATTATCGCAGATGGAATATTATTTATCGGAATTTATCGGATAAACTTATAAAAAGCTGCATCCAAAAAATATAGTGTTGTCAACATATAGAATGGAGCAGAAGATAAAAATCAACGCAGTACCATGTTCTGATCATATCATATGAAAGGTGAAATAATAAAAAATGATGAAAAAAGTAGATTCAGTAAGAAATCGTCGCTCAGTATTCGAAGTACATTATATCAGACAGAAATTAAGCAATATCGAAATATAGAAGATATGGAATGTCATTTACTCTAAGTACGGTTATAATGCATTCGATTGGTTTGAACAGCTTGCATGGATCAATTGATTAACTAAACTGATTTGCATTATCATGCATTATGATTTTAATTCGCTTTTTTATAATTAAGCGATGATTATATATTATGGTAAATTTTTTTTATTAATATAGATCCTCTAGAAGTCCATGACGACTATCAATAGATACGTTGGAGTCTAATTCAAATTTTGCATTCTTATTTTATTTAAATGGTAACAAATCATTTTACATGAATATTGAATATTCTGTACCTCTTCGAAATTCTTAAGTGAAAAATCTTCGAGCATGTTACACCTGGAAGTTCCTGGATTTATGGTAACATCTAAAAGGGCTTTACGTCCACTGGCTTAGAATAACAATCTGGATTATAAATGATATGAAAAATAAGCATATATGCTTCATCATCCTTGCTTCTTATAGCATGCTTACATTGCCTTTGTTAATTTGAAAATGGCTATCGTATCGCAGAAGAGTAAAGAATATTAAATGAATTTCAAATTCCTTCTTTGATCATATTTCTTTTTTTTTCGAAATTTCGAATCATTTTTTGAGTAAAATAAGGTAACGAAATTTTCGCGCTCGCATTTTTCCTTACTCATTTCTACTCATTTACAGTTAATTATTGCTTTTCTTACCACACTGCGAATCAAATAACAATAATAAATTCGAATATAAACGTGAAAAGAAAATTTTCAGTATATTAAATAGGTTTATTTGATTATTTACAGGATCGTATAAGTATGAAAGAAGATAAACGATTTGCATAAATGATAAATGATAAAAATGTGTAAAAAAATTGCATAAATCATTACCAAATTTTTTAAAATTCAGGTAACGAAATATTTGTAAATATTTATGAATATGTTGGCTGCAAAAATTATTTTCTTTCTTGCATGAAAAATTTCGCTAACTATATTTCAAGTAAATATCTGAATTTTTTTAATACGCATGAACGAAATAATTTCGTTCAACTAATATTCGTAATATAGTTTTTTATATATTTTTTTAAATATTAAAATAAATATTATAAAATAGATTTTTCCAAATTTCGAATGAAGCATGCAAGACTAATTTAATTTAATTTGGATACTATTTTGTACGTAAATTATATACGATCATCCAAATTGATACCATTTGACCTAATCATTTTGTACATTAAAAAATTAGGTATTTTCTTTTCTTTGCTTTTTTTTTAAAAAAAAAATAATAAAGATAAACAGTAAAAAATTGAAGATCAAAAGTAAACACGTTGAAACACTGAGCTTTCTATGGAAAATGCAGTTAATTTTTTGATGAATTTAATTTTGAATCACCTCCGAAATGCACATCGAAAACCTTCATAACCATTGAGACATATACATTTTGGTTGTCCTCGAGAATTTTTCTTACATCTAGCACCATTCAAGCATAGATTAAAACAAATATCTAAATTGCAAGTATTTATACATTTCTTTGCAATTTTATAAGAGGATTAAAGATGGTGCCAAAGAATGTTACCATGAATCAAAGAAAAGAAACGAGAAATAGACGATATTGACAATGAACTCACTAATTTATTTCTTCTCTCCTATGAAAATAAAAGAAGTTAGTTAGCTGATTTTCACAAGATTATTGATAAATAAATATGATAAATCTTAAGGTATCCCTCTTTAATCTTCGAATTAAGTAAATTTTGCCAATCGTCATTTATTTTAAAAAAAAATTTTAAAAATTTTAAAAAATTTTAAAAAAATTTATAAAAAAAAAATTTTTATACCTGTGCATTCAAAACCGTTACCAATAAAACCCGGCTGACATTTACAACTGTAAGAAGGAATGTTATCAATATCAGGTAAATCGAAACATGCCGCCAACCAGTGACATTTGTGCTCGCCTGTTGCACACTGATTTGTTGATTTACAATTTTCTATAGATTTAGCTCCTGAAAGTTTCAGTGTTTTGAAACATGGCTCTTAATTTACGCAATCTACAAACCAGCCACCATGTCCGCTTTAAAAATATCTTTTATTTATTTATTGAAAACCAACCAAGCAGGGCGGCAAGCGACATATGCTTTTATTAATAATAACATGTATGAATTTGATTTTTTTTCATGCGATATTTTTAAAAATTTACTCTGCCATCAGTATTGCTTGCTTTGTTCATTTTTCTGATTTCACTAATAGTGTTTCACCCTGCATATCCATTTCACTTTATTAATTTACATTTCATATCACTGTGAAAGATTATCGAAGAAGATAACTAAACGCTAAAATTTTAAGTGTTCTTGGCTAAGAATGTGAAAGAATCGAGATATTATATCTATAAATAATACAAGATATTTTTACCAAACATCCTTGTTGTAGTGCCCAGAGGGCATTTTTTACAATTTCTTGAACCACTTTCATCTTGATAATAACCGTGACCGCAACGTAAACACTGCCCAAAATCTTGATTCAAATAATAACCAGGCCTACATCTCGCTAAAATTTCATTAATCATATTTTTATATCAGCGATAATTTTTAATTCTTTTGTATTTTTATTAATACCATCCGCATTCAGCAGAATAGCACATAACTCAGAAAAACTTCAGAAAAACAAAATTTTGCTTCCATTCCATCAGCATATAGCATTTTTATAGACTACCAACCAGTAACTTCACAAATTCTCAGCCTTCATTCATAGTAAAATTTTAGTTGTTTTCTCTATAATGTTATAGCCTATTATTGGCAGAAAATTTATGGTGGATTGAAAAAAAAATCACCAACTCAAAATGCATGAATTTTCACTTGTTGATCCGAACCCTTCAGTTGTCGTTGATGCTTTACATGGTTTACATATTAAATCTGTTGACGGCTTATAAAATCCTCGATTGCAAGGCATACATGTAGCATCAGATGAATAATCATGTCCAGCTGGACAATTTTCTTAAAAATTTCTTTAAATTTTATTTATTTTATTCAGTTTTGAAGCCAAATTGATAATCAAAAATCAAAATATCACAGATGAAATTGGTTGGCTAAATAATTGGCAGCAAAATGCCTGGGTCAACGCTTTCTTAGATAAATGTAAAGATTGGAAATGGCCTACTTATCCTTGATTTATGCTTTTTGAATTTTTTTGTCGCAAAGGAAATCAAAATATAAGTTATTAATGCTGAAGAAAAAATGATGATTTTATACGTTTGCAATCTTCACCAGCAGCATTAATTACTACAACTCGTAGTATAAGGCAGCAGTGATTGGCAGATGGACTTTGCTTAATCTTGTACAGGCGTGAGAGAATCTGGAAACTGTGAGATCTACGCAGTTTTAGCTAGATCACAACTGAAATTTATTTCAGCTCAAGTCATATGATACCTAGACATTGTTCAACTGATGTAGCACTGTTCGTATAAGAAACTGTTCCTGCTGGACATGGAATGCATGAAGTCATACCATTTGTCGGCTGATAAGCGAAAAATCCACAAGGCTTACACTTTGAAGAAGCATTGTTCAAATAATGACCACGCGGACAATCATCTAAAAACAAAATCACTGCCTTAACAGGAAAAATGCAAGATTTCAGAAAAAGTGTGTTGTATTCTAGTCACCTCTAGTCACATCTTGAGCACCTATTTTCATTGTAAATTGTAAATTCACTATAAATTCCTATTGAACTGAAGGAAATCACACGATGTTGAGTATTGAGTACCACCTGTATTTCAGTTCGCAAAAAGTTCTAAGTAAAAGAAGCCAATAGAGTCAGTCAAATTGTAAATGAAAACTATTCGAAATAGAAAAATAAAAAGAAGCGCTTTTATTTCGATTAAAAATATTTTGCGCAAATGACTCAAAACTGATATTATTCTAAGCTTTTTGATAGATTAAACAAGTGAAAGTCGTAAATAATTCTGAACCAAATGAATTAACTTCGATTTTGATCGAGAAAATTTCGATAGAGAAAAAATACTCACGAATACAGTCATTTTTGCTGATTGATCCGCTCATCACTGTTGTAAAACCTTCGTAACATTTGAGGCAGCTAACTCTTCCGGATTTCGGTTGGAATTTGCCTCGTGCACACGGTTCGCATTTGTTTGATAAAAGATTGTGATAGCTACCACGCTCGCACAACACTTTTGAAAAGTAAATTATATTTGAAATTGTTTAAGCTAAAGAATGTCGCACAAATCAACTCTTACAGGTATGGTAAAATACAGAAAAATAACTGTTTTAATTTAGGAAGTCAAGGAAAATAGAACGATCCGTTTTCAAGTGTAACTACTTTTGCAATACGTATATATCCCACAATATTTTGGTGCTAAATAGACTGCATGAATTTTTTTATTTTGGTAGTATGATTAATATGCATATTCAATGTTTCAATGAAATTTATCTTTATATATCAAAGCACCAAATTAGCACCAAAAAATTTTTTCGCTCCGTTTGATCATCACCAATATTATTGCATATTAAAAAAACTCACTTTCCGTCATTAACCTCCAATTTTTTATGTACAATTTTTTTTTCCAAAATCCTTTCAATTAATTTATTTTTTTATGAATTATTTTGTTAGGAAATAAGTAGATGAAATGATATTTAATCGTTTTATTCCATAAATAATTTCGAAAAATTTTTCATTTTTTTTTTCAGATTTACTCTGAGCTTACATTTCTTACTTTTTCAATTTGAATTGCAATTTGCCCTACGACATCTTCTGGTCAATGATCGATCGATCTTCAGTAATTGTAATGATAACGATGATGATCTCTTATTTAGGTTATAATAATATTCAAGTTAGGATTTGCCAACATGCAGTGACGGCTAGCATTGAGTTATCGCGTTAGAAAATAACTTCTTTTATCACCACCTCTGTTTGGCAGTGATTTGTTAGCATCTGGCCAATCCCTAAATGATTTTATTCTTCTATCACTAATAATTTTTTCTTTATATCATTACAAAGATCTGTTAATTATAGTTTTTAGTACGGTGATTTCGATAAAGATTAGTTTCGTGAACTACTATGCAGTTTTTAGAACTAGTTTTTTTAATGTTTTTAGCAAATATGCCGTTTTTTACTGTTTTCACAAGGAAATAATTTAAATTCCGTTATCAAATAAATTAAAATTGTGTTAGTATCCGTTATCACCCTGTAAAGTAAATTCAATAATTATCATTTTATTTTATTAATTTAGTATTGAAATTACAGAAATATCACGTTTTGTTAATGTTATCAAGACCTTGTTTACGATAATATAAGAATTTCTAGAGGTAAGATCACATCGGTGTTACATTTTTTTTACATTTCAATACAATATTTTAACAGAGCTCCATAAATGGCTCATATGATGCCAATTATTGTAAAAAAAAAAAAATAAATTCTAGAATGAAGTTAGACATTTGCTTAATATGTAACATTTTGGGCAAATTTATCCTTATTAATTTCGAAAATCTTTTTATGAATATGTGAAATAATTTTACAATTTTATAATTTTTGTAATAATAAAACATTTTAGTGAAAATCTAAATATTATACGAAAAAATAAGTTACAAGGGCAGTGAGTTCGTGAAGGTTAATTCGTGAATGAATATGATGGAATGATCAAAATTTAATCAAATAAATTTAATCAAATAAATTTCAGCACAATTTTCATGCTAAAATCAAGAAAAAGTAATTTATCTACTTCTTTCTATATATACGCTAAAATTTAAAATTTCCCAAAATCTTTTTTTCATAAAAAATTTTGGGAAAAATTAAAATCATTTTAACTAAAGAAAATTGTGGAACTTGTTTTACAGTTATGGCAGTTATGGCAGTTTTAATCTGTTATAAAAAAATTTTCATTATCTATTGAATTAGTCTTACTACATTTGTCCTGGTCCACAAGAGTAGAACCACGATAACAGAAGAATGCTTCTTCAAAATTGAGTATCTGATGCGGTTTCCCAAGAATTTTTAGCGCATTTGTGTATTGAAAAATGCCACCTTTGAGACCAATTTGTATTACAGCAAATACTGTCGACGTTGCGTCTACATTGGCGTTCCGAATTGGGTCTCTGAAGATTAGAATCTTGCGATATGAACATTACAAACCTAATTAACCAAGAAATTTTAATTAATGAATTCTACCCTTAAGAATACTCGAAAAAAGAAAGAAATTTTTTCACCAGAGGAATTTTTTAGTTAAAAAGAATATGTATGAAATTTATTAAGTAACCTATTTCGAAATAAATTCAAACCTTTCAGCTATAAAGGTGGCATTGATACGATACATTTTTGAATGAATAACTTCTCCTGTTACTTGCAGCTTACCACAATCACTCGTTCTTCTTAAAACAGTCAGAATTATGGTAAAATAATATTGTCAATTGAATCTGACAGATTTTTCGGGCATAATGTTTGTTTAAATTTATCTGATTTAAATTCTTATACTTGTCCGTATTGCTCAGTCTTCTAACCTAAATTTTCCAGATAAGTGAAAAAATTCACCTTTCATCTGAACGAAAACCATAAAAAGCTTCAATGATTAATCAAATAATTAATCTTAAAATGAAGAAATATTGAAAACAAAAATAGTTGTTGGAATATATTTCGAGATATTCCCTAGACTTAGAAGGACTTTTGATGATGAAGCAAGTACCAAGAATATCTAATTGAAGGAAGGAACCATAAACATTTAGAAGCCAATTTATTTAAGTTCGATACGAGCAGTAATATAGCTATATTTATCGCAAGTTTATTTAGCTTGTAACTATGCAGAATAACTAATAAGTACTGAAAAATAACTACTGAAAAATCAGTTCTTATATTTCTTATTCCTTAAAATAAAACACCATTCTTCAAATATTTGCGAATTTGGTACATTTTGCATAACTTGGTGCACTATCAGTTTTCAAGGATTTCAAGCTTTATCACCTGTTGCATTTATAGTTATAACGATATATTTCTTAATGATCGAATAGTTTATTGAACATTCCCTAAGCTATTTTCTCTTGCAGTCGTCCTCAAGCTCGAGAAAACTCGAGAAAACATATTTTATGAACACTTTGACAATATTTTTGATAAAATCACTGAGACACCGGCGTTCTTTCACAATGAAATATGTGCTTTTTTTTAGTATAAAATTCCATTTTACTTCATTCTTTTAGATTTGTCTCAATATAAATATACAATATATTTTAAGATTTTTATCATAAATAATGAAAAATCCTTCTAGAATCCTATAAGGCCCATTATTTGCTTAAGAAATGTAGAAAATCCATTTCAGTAGAAAAATTTTTATTTGCTTTTTTTTTCATATGGAACACGTTGTGGAAAGATGATATAAGAGGATATTGGAATTGATCGCATCACATCGGTCAAATTAAGGAGCAAAAAAAACTGAATAAAAAAAAAATTGAACTGATGTGTTCCGATCAAATGCCTCTTCAATAATTACATCATTATTCCTTTTTTTTTTGAACGAAAATGAGTTGTATCTGTTTCACATTCCAATCACCATTTATCTGTTCTAATAAAGATTATTTGCTAAGATAAGACATTCAAATCTATGATTTTTTTGTATCAACGAAATTTTTTTGTCAATGATTGACAGTAAATTAAATATGTTTTAATGAATGTATCGGTGAATAATTTCGAAAATATATTGCACATTAATTTCAACGAAGCATGAAACAATATGTATTGAATTCGTTTTAATAAATTTTTCTATCAATATTTAGCGTTTAACTTATAAATTATTCACTATTAAGTAATCCTTAAATGGCAAGTAAATAGCAATGGCAAGCATAAGTGAAAAATAAAAAAATAGTTATCCAATAATAATATTGTAAAAAGATGGGTATAGATATGAGGTAGAACAAATTTTTTGATTAAAAAAAAGAATTAATTTTTATAATTTCTATAGTTTTTCATTCTTACAACTTATAATATCTATTTATACATTTATTATTTCGTTCATGGAAATCGCATTTTGAATGAGATTAAACTATTAAAATGCTATGAAAAGGACTATATTATATGAATAAACTAAATTTTAAAGAGCTGAAAATTTTTTGTTAGCATATTAGTGATAAAATCCGAATTGATGCCAGTAATGTTGAAGGAAAATAATGGCCTTTGCAACGTTTCAAATACTTTCAACTGACATTTTCTAAAAAAAAAATGAGCAAAAATTCTTAAATAAGATTTCCAATGTAAAACATCATAGTTCTTCTTCATTTACTATTTTTGAAGCTGACAAAATTGAATGGAGCTTAATAAATCTATAGCATTTGTAAAAATCTCATTACCATAATAGTTTAATGAGTAGATAATTTATGCCATTTTAATTTCTATTTAGTGAGAAAGTTCATTTAATATGAGAAAAAATTAAGTATATTTGAATGCTTGAAAAAAAAAGGAAAAATTTCAGGAAGAAATTTTGCAATGTTTGGTGATCCAAAATCGAGAATTTCAGGTAGGCAACTGATTTCTCAATTATCACTAATATTTAATTATAAAATAAAAAATAAGATGGGACAATTCAATTCTGTTACTTCCTTTTTTTTTAAAATTATTTAAATTATTTATTATTTATTAAGGCTATTATAATCTAATTATTTATAAAAGGTAATGATGAACTTAAGAAGAATAATGAACTTTAACCGGAAAAAGAACAAAAATTCACCGTTCCACATGATTCTGATAATTTCACATGAACCTGACGAAATCAAACTTAAAAATTTTAATTTGTTTTAATCGATTTTAAAATAAAAAACGCTTAGAAGAAAAAATTTAAAAAATCATTCAAGCGAAATTAAATTTTTAATGACAAATAAAATACTGAAAAATATATAATTAAATGAATGAAAATTCTACTCAAAAAAAATAGATGAAAATTGGATCAAATCCTTTCCTAGCATTCGGTATTTAATTTTTGTCGTTTATATCATCTCAAACAAATATGGATTCTTTAAGAATTTTTAAGTAAATTTCCTAAATCATTTATTCTACCTTAATTTTAAGCAATAGTCGATGCAATTTATTTAATTAAAAATAGATTTTGATTTTTAATATCCATCTTTAATATCCATCTTATAATCCAAAAAGCTTATTAGGTTAGGCTTAAAAATTCTCAAAGAATGTTTGTTTCCGCTTGTGTTGGTTTACCATTCCCAAATTTTTAATATCTTTTGATACAATAATAAATACATGAATAGCTGAAGTATAATAATTGCACAACTATTTTCGAGTTGTAAAAAATTATTTTAAAAAAAGCTAAAATATTTAATTCGCGATTGAATAGGATTTATCGCTAAAATCTTAAATATATTTTTTTGATCGCCATTGAATGACCATTAAACTATTGTTTATACGTATAAAAAATGTTTACATAGAAAAATATGAATTTATATAAATTTTCTCAATTTTTTCTCAATTTGATGATTTAATTTAAGTATTGCGGTGCAAAATTCTAAAAATAACAACATATTTTCAATGATTGGCCTTACGAAGTAGGATAACCGAGTGGACATTGCTCTGAGAGCGTTAAGGTTCGGATCGGGGTCTGCTTCCGATAGAGATTATTTTTAAAAAACGCAGGCGATTCCGACTCATTTGTACTTCAATGTGAATAGAAAAGTTTCTAACCATTACCAACAATTGGAGGACTGAGTATTATGAGAGGTGATAAGCGTTAAGCATATACATGATCACTTCTAATATCTCCTTTAATGAAAAAAGAAAATCCTGTTTTTTTTTTCTGTTGGCAAAATATGATTATAACAAATGTGGCGATTTTCAACTTCAAAAATTAGCTTTTGAGAATATTAGCTTTCAGCGATTTCAAAAAACAAATTCGGACTCCAGTCCAAAGTATTTGCCAAATTTATTTTCATCAATCTGGATAATTTGACTGAAATATGTAAGCAGTTCAAAATGAATAGAAGAGAAAACTTATTGTAATCTCTCTTACGAATCGCATGAAAACCTACTTGTCAGATTCAAATCCACCGCAGATCAACCAATGTTTATTAATAAATCGTAATGATGCCAGTATACTGCTACGTACTACAGAATTCCAGTTCCCATATTTTTCAATATTGCTTAAGGAAGCATTTGGATAATCCACTTGAAAGCGAACGACACGCACTGCAGGAACGGTCTCATGGATAGCTAAGGCAGATAGATTAATTAATGCTATCAGTACGACCAGCCGGCAGAACATCTCCTTGCAGAACTCCCTTCGTAAAATGCCCTTCATATTGCTGTCCCGCCCGCCTCTGATATCAGATCTGGTCTGCTCAAGTGACCTAAATTTAACCGCATAAGAACACCACGAACTGGTTTCTTAAAGATTCCGCTTAAAGTTCAAATAAACTTTTCCAATGGAAACAATATCCTCTATAAGGTTTAACCAAAGTTGGAACTGTAAGGTTATCTTTGGATTATAATTTTCCTTTGAATCACAATGCATCGAATTCATAATTACGCTTAAATATTGGTATATTAATGATGGATTCGAACATATCACGGAATAAATTGCGCCAGCTTTCTTTAGCTAAAATCGAAAAATCGGATAGGCAACCATATAAGGAATAGTTATAATTTATAATTTGTGTCAGATGTCATTAAGACTTCATATGATTGCTGTAAGTAGTCTGGAGCTCTTTGTGTACTTTGATATGCTTTAAATACTAGAACATCACTCGAGCTGAATTTTTCGCTAATTAAGTACATATGATAAAGAGCGCAGAAATCTTTATTGATACGTATCAATATGATTGATTAGTAATCCATTAATCCGTTTTCGAGGGAAATAGTAATTAGAAAAATTCAAATTCATTGTTCCATATAGTAAGAGTAAAGCTGTAAGTTGATCTATCATTCTCTAAAATAACCAGTGAATTCTGGGATTTTTAAATTTCTTTATATATATAGTGATAAATGGAATTCGCTAAGATAATTGAGTGACATATGTCATCGACTGCAGTTAAGTGATTGTTTTGCTTGGGATCAACAGTCATGGTTTCTATTTTTTTACAGAATGACTTATCAAATAACTCTCTGATCATCAATAGTTCGATTTTCATTCTATGACGCGAACAAATCTGTCATTAAAAGTGAAATGCGAATACCGTTTAGAGATTGGGCATCTATTTCCAAATGGCTGTCGAATAAGTCTAATCCTAATATGCAAATGGTTAGCCAATCAGCCAAATTATCAAAGGTAAAGTTGTTGAAAGAAAAAGAATATATGAATAGAGAAATGCATAGGGTGGTAATTTTCTCAAAATTTTAATTTACTTAACGGATAAACAAATATCCTTCCATAGTGATTGACACTATTTATGGCAATAATTATTGATGGAATTTGCAAATTTCTTTCATCACTTTATTATTATCATTAAAATTTTCCACTATTGCCAGTTTTTGTCTTTGGTCGCACTTAATAATAAATATAAACATAAATAAAAATATTTTGACTCCTTATATTTGATACATTTAATGCAGTAAGTTTAGCAAAAACTAATCATTCATCTTAGTTAAAGGAGTCCACGGTATGAGTTTTTTTCCAACTACGACAAAATTTTCGTGAAGAATGATTGATGTTATGAAAAGTGGCTGACATGCATGAAGCCGGTTTTAGCCTGAAGGCTCACTGTTGTTCTTTTTCATTTTATATGGTGACTGATAATTTACGCAATTTAAAAGAACAATGTCAAAGTATTTGGGAAATTATCATTATATAATTATCATTATTAAATTCATTTTCATTGTTCAAGTTATCATTGTTAAATTATCATTATTACAAACGATCAATAATTTTCTAAAATGTTTCTTGGATTCGGTGAAAATAAGATGTGTATATCTCACTATAATAATTATATTATCTATCCTTATCATTTGCGTTTATATCGAAGCACTATAACCGAATTCTTTAGTCATACTGCAATCATATTTGCTCCTTTTTATTGTTAAATTAAATTATTTAATTGCAAAATATCCATTTTATTTATATATTATTGAAAATCCATTAAGAATTTACCAGATTTTTTTGGTTCTTTAACATCAGAAACAGGCTAATCGACTGTTTGTATACACATATGCATTTTTGCAAAGTCATATATAGATTTAGACGATGTAAAAAGGCTTTAGTTAATTTCAGATGCATTGTCTTCAGTGAACTGGAAAGATCTTACTCTTTTAGTCAGCTGATTTAATAATTGCACACGCTTTTAGAAGAAGACGAAGGAAGAAGAGAGAACCTTAAACAATTGTAGATGAATGACAACAACTGTAGTGATCCCCCCGTAAAGACGACCTATTCATTCAACTCATAAAAAAAAAATCATTGCATGAATCATATAACAAGATTAATTTACACTGAAAATTTTAGAATTATTTCATCGAAAATTTGTTTTGAACATCAAAGAATCATTAAGTTGTCAGACAAATTAGCGGAACAAGCTTAATCAGAAATGGCAAGCAATCTCGGAACTTTTACAAAAAACGCTTGGATCATACTGGTAGATCGATCTTAAAAACCGATCGACTCGCGTGTTATCGCATTCTCTAATTAATCCAAGAAGAGGCATTTCAAAGAATTTTAAATTCAATCATAAAATTTTATAGGAGTAAACTTATATAGGAACCTGAAATTTATCAAGAAATACAGTGTTGCAGTTTTGCTAACATTCATTGTAAAAAAATACATTTGTGTGCATTAGGAACTGCAACAAATTTTACGACTAAATTTTTTTAAATTCAAATGTAACGAGATCCACAAGCTATTGTAGCTTTCTTCATCCATCGCCATGATGATCTTAGCCTGATAGCACATACAATAAATATATGAATTGGGCTTGCTAAAAGATTCAGAATGGAATGAGCTCTCGAGGAAGGTAACTCAAAATTTTTTAGATAAGGCTCAGTCATTTACTGTAGCAGTGAAAATATTTATGGAAATCAGGAATGAGGTATTAGCCGACCACAGTTTGTGCAAATATCGCGTGGATATTCTTTGCCTACTCTTCACATCCTTTCTTTTCTTCACGTTCTTCACGTTCACTGTCGGGATACAGTAGAGATACTAGTTATACAATTATAGCGATAGTTCAAAAATGGAATAGCAATCGTCATATCTGAAGGGAATCATATCTGAATGCATGAAGGCAGGATAACGCAAACAGAATCTCTAGTGATCACATTGATCACATTCGGCTTCGCTGTCACAGAGCGCAGCATAAATGCTGTTTTCTTTACATCGCAGAAATTCGCGCATATCTCGCTATCTGTCAAGTACTTTGGCATTAAAGGGAAAGAAAGAAGGAAAGAGATGATCCCCAATTAAAAAATGGATTTATACAGCCAGGAGAGATTTTGGATAGGCGGCCCAGCCAAATCAGTGGAAGTGCGACCTAATACTTGCTTTTGATAAAAAATTTCTTTCTTCTTTAAAAAGCACTTACACACCATTTCTACTTTGGCTTGCTTTACACGCTATTGGAATAGAAGCATTTCGGAAGGACATTTGGATAAGGAAATGCGGATAGGTCTTACGGTGCATCACTGTCACTAGGATTTTTTCTCTGACAGGTTTACTCTTGCCTACACTAGAATCCTTGCTTCTAGCATCCGGTTTGCATCTGTATTCTCTTAAAGAGTGAAGAAAGAATGTTTAAGAAATAAATTTAACTAATATTATCCATAGGATTATTCAGGGGCTTCAAGAGCACTCACTCACTATAGATAATTAGACTCGCTGCGCAGGTTTGAATAGACAAATATGGCAAAGAGTGCCTTGGCGACAGAAGTACAGGTGAGTCGCAAGAATCTATGGATAGCTTTACTCCTGCCGGCAATAGAATTGTCTTTGATAGGAGTAAACCTGTCATAGTATCAAAAATCCGTGTGGCCGCTGAGCATCCACCTGTATCTCTACCCTCAAGTGACTGTATGGTGAAAGCGTCAGGTCAGTCTCTTTGACGCGACTTCCGCGTCTTCCACCACGCATGATATTTCTAATACTTCTGATCCAGCTGTTTAAATAAATATATATCGCGTGGCAGCCAAAGAGTTATTTATATACCATAGCATTTAATACTGAAATTTTTCGCACTTTTCGGCTATTTCATACAACAAGCCAATAAGTATTTAATAATTCCACAAAATTGCGGATATTTTTTTAGTTGGAAGGTTCCCAATTCCCAATTTTCCAATAATCTTTAGTTTCAAAATAACTGGCAACATTAAGATTAAAATACTGGAGAGATTTTCGAGTTATATTTAATACTGCTTAAAAAGTTTCCAGTTTCGAATTTAAATCTACTAAGTTATTAAGTTCGCAGTTGTTTTGCCATAGAAACAAGCATCCCTAATATTTTTGGCATATATTTTTTATCCATTAAATCCACTGATAAATATTTAAACATTCTTTGCTAAAGTTGATTGACGAGAAGCGACCAATTTGAAATGGTTTTCAAATCGACTAAATCCAAAAACGTTTATTTACAGCACTAAAAAAAAGCAATGTTGAGCACTTCATATATTAAATTTAAGTGTTAAGTCACAATAATAATAATTGAGCTTTGCGAAACTCAACGTGAAACTTTCAAATCACATTTGTTGATGGCCATGATTGATTGATTTTGGCAAAATTTTGAGAAATGTACCATTCCAAAATAAGAAATATTTTGAGCAAAAAAAAATTAATTAATATTGCTTTTAAACTAAATTTTAGCAAAAATGTGGAGTAATTCATAAACGAACGATGAATTCGATTTCCTACATCTCATAAAATTTCTTAAGAAAAAACTACTCCACACTAATGAAAATCACCGATAAATAACAATATTAGCAAGCAAAATTATTTTTCTTAATATAATAATACACGAATGCAAATAATAATCATTGATTCATTCCACTACTTCACCAATTACCTCAACAATATTTTAGCAATATCAGCAACAACTTCTATTAATTTCATTTAATAATAATATTTCTCATTCATTTATAAGTGAGAAGTGCAATTCAAGAATAAAAGCTACTTTCTATGCAATAAGAGAACAGCAGCGATTTCTTGAAATATGACAACAATAATGGTTTTTCTTGATAATTCTCTTAGTAAGCCATAAAATAAGAAGCTGACAACTAAATAACCGACTATTTTGTATTTGTAAAAAATATCAGTTGCTTTTTAGGCTTAGTAAATAATTTCATATTTGTTGTTAATCCAGCCAAATTCTGTTCGAAATTTGTGATTATGCCTTTCGAATCGTTATTTTGAAGCCAAGAAACGTTCTCTTGCGGTTTATTCGTGATTTGAGCAAGATTATCAACTGATGTCTTCCTCGTAATTGTCTTATCATTTATAGCCTGAAAATTATGAATCGTACCTATATGAAACGATTAAGAGTTAAAAATAGTTAATGTGAATAGCATGTAAAAACACCACAAAATAGATTTATAACTTATTTGTTTGGAAGATTCTTAGTTTTATAAAAGCATTCACCACACTCGATTTGATTGGTCCTTTTAAATACTGGGAGCTCTAATCCAGAAAGTCAAAGATATTTGATATCATTAAGCCTAATGCCCTTTTCACAACTAACTCGAAAGCAGAACTTTGGCCAAATTGATTCTAAAAGAACAAGTAAAAACAGATTGAAAAAGAAATTTAAGAAATTCTTCCATTCAGATTCACCAATACGGCGCACCTCGTTTATCTAAACCAACATGAATAGTCGTATTGCTTGTTCTCTATTAATTTATTCGTGGCATAATGTTGCCAAAAAAGATCTTAATTTTTATAAATTCATTGACCCTTATACTTAATAACAAGGAAAAAGATTCCGTAAAATTACAGCTCAAACAGGTTAGAGATTTTTTTCCTGAGTTTGTTGAAACTTCTGAGAGAAGAGCAGTGAAATCGGCTATAAAACAAAAGTTCGAATCTATCTGCCTGTAATATACAATCAGTGAAAGCGGAAAATATCTAGAAGCAATCTATCTTTTGACTATGTTTCCTTTTTAATAGCAATTTTCCTAAGATTTATTAAAGCGAAGAAAAATAATTAAACGGATGAAAAACTACATTTCAAATAATTTTAAATACGTCCTAATCCTGATAACTCATTTCTAGTACTATTAAATAGCACTTAATTGCTTATTTTAATGTTTTCTTCTACAATAGTTCACTATTTCTGGTTAGGCTCGCGTCGTTAGCTTGCCGAACTAAACAAATTCTGACATGGAGGGATAGAAGTAAAGGTAGGCCACCAGCATCATTCGAATTTTTTCTCGAATTTTACAGCTTTGATCCCTTAGTCCTGCCGGGCTCCGAAATGAGAGCCACTGTGCTATCCTAAACCCAGTTCATCGTTTTAAACAAATCCATTTAAAAAATTTGATGCTAATTTTAACTGAAACAAATATTACGATTTTAACTTGAATAATAGCATAACTTGAAACAGTGAATCGAAATAATATAACCTTAACTATAAAACTAACTTACCAAATCATAAATTTTTAAATGTTGTTAAATATTGTATGAAATCACCCAAGGATCTTAGCTCCTCATGGGCCTAGTTACAAGCAATATGGTGTCCCGATTAGTTGTTTCCTAAATAAATAAACTATGGATAAAAGATTTGATTTCTTCTTGGCTAGAGAAGTTGAAGAAAAATTTTAAAAAAGAAAGAAGTAAATATTTGCTAAACTATGTAGTTAAGACCCCAACCAAATATTAAGAGAAAACAAGACGAAAAGCCCGGATATAAATGAAAAAGCAAGGATGGCAAATGAATAAACAGATTCAACTCGAGATTTAATTCAGAAAAATTTGAATATAGAAACATACATCTTCTTGAATTTTATATTCTTTTAAATCCGATCGTCGTCTTTGCCTTCTCTGTCTTCTAATTTCTTTATCTTCTTGAGTATTACCAGGTGAAGTCATCTATAAAAACAATTTTTTTTTAAGAGTCCTCACCATTACTCGTTAAGCTCGTTCGGCTGGCTTGTCGTATTGGACAAATATGCCAGGGAGTCCCCTGGCGATAAAAATACAGGTGAGTCGCCAGTATCACCCGGATTTTTGGACAGGTTTACTCCAGCAGAGAATCGAACCTCAGCATCAGCACTTCGAATTTAGTAACAACCCACTGAGCCATTCTATCTCCCTATCTATAAAAAAAATAACAATAAATTTTTAAAACAACTAAAAAGAATATTAAAAGATAAATTTGTTTTAAATTACCTTTACTGTTGAATGTAAATCACTCATATTTTGCCGTGAATCTAGAGCTGGAGACGAAGGTGCAATTATGTTAGCATTAGCATTACGATAACTTCGTTCATCAAATGGGACAGCATTAGTTAATCGCCTATGATGATTTGGCGAATTTCCAAATGAATTGAACGTCTTTAAAAAACAAATATTTTATTTTCATTCATTATATCTTTATTAAATATAATATAAATTGTTTTTGCTTAATAATTATTAGCAACTTTAGCAAATTCATTTATCATTTATCTAGCCTCGGCGGATTCACAGTAAAGTTGACATAGACCTGTAGGATTCGATGAAAAATTTAATATAATTCTATTCTATGGGCATTTTTTGCAAATATAATATACAAAATCTTAGGGAGTAACATAAAAATTCTAAAGAGACCGATTGAAAAGAATAATTTTTTTTGTGAAGGATGATGAAGGTGGATATTTATAAGAATTTTTTAAAATTTCATGTAAGAAAAAAGTTAGGGATCTGATCTAATCATGTAAGATTTCCTGATTGTGCTGCTTAAAAACAACCTAAATTTTACCTTAGTACCATAACCTGCTTGTTAGTGACAATTTTATATCAGAAAAGAATCACTTTTTTGAAATTATTTTCTTTCAAAAGTTTCAAGCCAATAAATTTTTTTCATGGCAACCTGGACGAGATTTTTAAAATGAGTCAATAGTGATGGAGATGTTTGTTGTGGCTGAACTTCTTTCGTTTGATGAGATATGCGTGGTGTTGATTTTGATACTGTTGAAGATGCAATTTTATCGAATAGGACTGTTGTTGGAGTTGTGTAATGAGAGGTTAACATATGCGTTGATGGATTAAATCCAATAGAGCTGTAGCGACGAACGAGTAGAGGCGAAAGACGATTAGGTGGCGTTGCAGGTTGCAGTAAACACTCGGACGATTTGGGTGAAGTGAATAGATTTGATCGTGCTGCAAAAAAATAAAATATGAAAGATGAACTGATAGACTAGCTAGTTATACTATAATTTTTTTTTTAAGACTTCCTCACCATTACTGGTTAAACTCGCTCCACTGGCTTGTTGCATTGAACAATATGCCATGGAGTTCCTTGGCGATAAAAATACAGGTGAGTCGCCAGCATCATCCGGAATTTTTTGTAGGTTTACTCCTGCGGGGATCGAACCTCAGCATCGGCGTTCCCAATTGAGCAACAACCCACTGAGCCATTCTAATCACTAGTTACACTATATCACCTTGATTGCCCACTTTTTCTGCGACCGCTCCCCATTCCTGGTTAGTCTCGGTGTTAATGCTTCCAGGCTGGCTTGTCAGACCATAAAGTCAGGGAATTATTTGCTGACAAAAGCAAAGGTGAAACAATCATATTTTTGAGAGATTTACTACTATTGCTGGGAAGCATTAGCACCGATGTTCAAAATGACAGCAACAACTACTAAGCTATTTTTTGATCGTCCAAATCTCACAAATATTTGTTTCACAATGTTTAATTCAGTGATTCAGAGAAGAGGAAAGCATGGAAAAAAAATATTACGAAAAGGTCGAACACCAGCGAATCGGTTTTCTGGTTTTTTTGGCGAAATACTGTTTTCTGATTTGTCTCCATGAATACCCTCAACGATTGCTTCACCATCTTCACACGATTCATCAAACGATGCTAAAAAATTATCGTTTATTTATAAAATGATGAAAAATCAAAAATCAAATATTAACATATGAAGATGCATAAATAATTTGCAAATAAGAAAATATTATAAGAAGTGAATCAGTTAATAATAATGATTTACTTTTAATTTTTCCAATTTTTGTTTTAAGCAGTTAAGAAGATAAAATAAAATTTAAATAGTACCATGCCATTTGCTGGTGATTGTAGGTGCTTTTAAATGACTACTTACAACTCCTTCATCATCTGCTTGAGCATATGAACTGCCATCTACTGGAACAATATTTAATTTTTTGTTGTTGCGTTTCCCGTTTGATAACTAAAATCAATTCAAGAATTCTTTGAATTCTTCGAAAAATTCATTTTATACTACTCGAAAAAAATTTCTATGTAATAAGATAATTAAGCGAAATTTATAATCATAAAATACCTTTTATCTCACAACTGTCTTATATAGAAAGAAGGGGATAGAATAACTCAGTGGGTTGCTCAATTGGGAGCGCCGATGCTGAGGTCCGATTCCCCGCAGGAATAAATCTGTACAAAAATCCGGGTGATACTGGCGACCCACCTGTATCTCTATCGCCAAGGGACTGGTCAAAGGGAAAGGTCAAAGCGAAAATAAAAATTCGCAATCTTATAATTTAAAATAAAACTCTTAGGCAACGTTAATATGTAATTGAGAAAAGTTGAACATCTATCTAAAATTATTGAAAATAAGCAGAAAAAAATTAAAAAGCAAACAACTAAATAACAATAAAGATTTTTTTAAAAAAAGTGCTCATTTTGCACCAGAAAAAAATTTTACAAACTGAAATAAAGCGATTTCTTTACAAAAACTATAAGTCAAAGTCAATATTATCATACTGCATTCGAATTAATTAACGATAATAAGATAAGAAAGCTCAGCTGTTTTCATCATAAGGATCAGCTCAAAACTTCTAAATATTCTATAAAGCTAACTGATGTTGAAAAATAAAATAAGATTTTCGTAAAGTTTAGAAGACTTCTTTAATTTGTAATAAATAAATAGAATAATAGAATAATAAAGAGAATATGGTGTTTGAAACAAAAATTGATGCAAAATGCCAAAAATTTTATTGTTTATATAAAGCAAAAATTTGAATAAGAAAACAAAAAAAATCATAAAAATATCATAAAAATTGAAAAAAATTAGTGGAAAAAAATTTTTTTTAAGCCTGGAGAAATTCAAAAAAATTAAAAATTCACCACAACTGAGCGATTTCCTTTTGAGTTTCGATCATTATTGTTTTTTTGCCGAATCGCACAAACACCTATAGTTGAGCACTGTTGTGCATTAATGTGCTGTTCATTGCTAAGAGGTTTCAATAAAGTAGCGGGTAATTCGAATGTCGCCTGCAATTTTCAACGATAACCAGATAGAAATTCCATAAAACAGTAATATAAAAAAATACTTTTGCTCTTTTCTGTAGCTTTTAAAAATTCCAAAAATCAGTAATTGAGATATTAATAAATAAAAATTTTAAGAGCCAAACCTCAACATCACCATTCTTTTTAGTTTTTCCCGTGTTATTGGCATTATTTGCATCAAGATTATCAGTTGATGATCTACTAGCAGCAGCTAATCTAGCATTGACGGCATCAATGATATCGAAATTTACTGGACCATATTTTGGCCTAAATTCGCTTTGGTAATTTCGATTTGCTCCTTTCAAATATTAAATGTAATAATTTTCATCGCTGGTAAAAAAAACTTTAATAAAAAAAGAATTTCTTTCCTTGACTATTATGATAAATGATTAAAATGATACTCTAGAAATTGATAATCATTTTCAAGAAAAAAATGCAAACCTCATAAATTCTTGTCTTTTGTATTTTGGTTTATCTTGTTGTTCTTTGTCATGAGTAATTACTTGCCACTTTCCATGAGCACCAGTTTGTTCATCATCATCTTCACCCATCGTAATTGGTGCTTGTGTATCAAGAGCTCTTAACAAAATTATTAATCATACAATTAATTTAGCCAATCATTTAAAAATTAACATTTGCTAACTAAAATACTCTTCATAAGATAACATATTTGCTATATTAAAAAAAATACTGCAGACTGAAATGAAAATTTTACTTGTTTTTTTCTTCAGGTAACCGATCCTTAATTGCAGTTGTATGTGATCGATTTTTAGCAATAGGTTCACCTTAAAATAATATTTATAAAAAGTAAAAAATAGTATTAATTAGTGAATAAAGGAAAGTTAAGAGGAATTCAATAATTAACAGTAATAAGATTGTTCAATATTATTAGAAGCCATTAATTTACCATTAACTCGCGCTTTGCCTCCAATTTTTTCATATCCATTCTCCCAATCGTATGGTTCATCGAAACTTATATTATATCTGCAAAAAAACAAAAAATAACATAAAAATTTAGAAAGTTTCAATCATAAACCATAAAATTGAGTAGTAATATCCCACTAGAATTGTTGCAAATTGCTATAAAAATCTTCGAATCTTATCCTTTTTTCTAAGGGCACTCATCATCACCGTTATTTTGTGGAACAGACGAATTTTACCAAGAAATCCCTTGGCGATTTTTAAGAGATAGGTTTACCACTGCTAGGTATCCCAGGAAAAATTCTTCGAATCAAAGCTATTTAATTCTTATCAATCATTTCGAATTTTAAATAATAGTCGGTGAATAAAAAAAAAAAAAGAAGACGTGAATAAAATTCCCATAATTATTTGGTTGATTCGAATAAAAACTAATCAGATAAGCGTAATTATCAAAATAAAAATACTTCATAATAATATTATTTAAAATGGTTTCAAGGAGATCATAGTTCGGTTCATCTGAATATGTGAGTGCCTTCAAATGAGCCGCAAAATCAAGAATTTCTCGTGGACAACCTTCTAATAGTTGGACAAGATTGATTTCTTCTTTTATCTTACCAACTTCATCTTTGTCCTGAAATTTTAGAAAAAAATTGGATTATTCATTAAGACAACTTTACCAGGTTTAGTTAGATTAATCAAGTGATTAATACAACCATCGACTTTATAATAAATTATTCAAAAATCTTTTCTGCATGCAAAGTCAGTGAAAATATTTGAAAATAATCAATTTTTATAAAAAAAAAAGAATTTTATTAGGTGTAGCAAAGTTTAATCGAACTAAGCGAATTTTAGATAAACCATATTCACTGAACCAGTTTTGCATCGTTTAATATTCAGCATGCCCTTTTAGCAAGTTTCATGACAAAAATAGGACGTAGAAATAAAAATTGAGAAAATTAAAAATTCACTGTCCTCGAGAAGATACAGAATAGTTCAACACATCACATAAGCTGGAGCACGAGGAAATCAGCAAAATACATATTTCATGCAAGATTTCTTTTTATTTTCTTTACTTTTTTAACCTTCTCTATTGCAAATTTCAAGCATTATTTCAACGTACTTAATCATAATCATATCAGCTTTATTGAATTTATTACAACATATGTAAACTACATTCAAAAATCTGAAATTCGTGAGTTGGAGACAGGCACGGTCATTTCGTTACCTAGAGAGTATAGTCAACTTTCAAAATCTCAAAGCCGGTTAGATGAAATTTCTCAATTTCATATGAAAGCCAATGATAGGAGCAGATGGTTGTATTCCTCCTGCATTGTGCCGTAATAATTATTAATAGACTTCTGCATTCTGATCAGATCTTCCGGTATAAATAAATCCTATGTTCCTACAAAAACCTGTTACTTTATTAGCCTAAAACCAATTTTGCATTGTTCATTTTTTTTATTGGATGAACTTTCATTAATCCTGCGCTTTCCAATTTTCTTCCTTTTTCATCGCTTGTACAAGCTTCTGCATTCAGAAGTTTCAGTTAACAGTAGCGCTTTTTGAAATTTTCAGTTCTTTTATTCGTTGGAAAATTCTCTTTGCTAAAAAACTACGACTCGTAGAACAAACATAAACCTCTTAAATAGCTTCCGAATCGAATTAGCAAATTCTCTCCGCGTATCTCCAATGTTCACTTTGTTTAGAAAAGTAAATAATAGTTTTGCTAATGTGTCAATTATAATAACCTATTAGTGATATCAAATATAAAATTCACTTTCGCCGAAATTCCTTTATCAATTCGTTTATCTTATCTGAATATTTCAGTTAAAAATAGGGAAAAACGCATACTCCAGAAAATTAGCACCAGAAATAGCAATCCATAAAAGAAATGAATGACTATAAAGTTCAAATTTTGTTCTCTTCGCCCTTCTCTTTCACCCTAATACTTGTGATTCGATGTATTCCATATGAGAAATGCAAAATGGAGCAGATTCTCTATAGGAAAATATTTTCGCGATGGAAAGAATAAAGAGAAAAGCAAAAAAGGAAAAATATGCACAAGTGCTTTGATATGTTAATGGTGCATGTTAAGCATGATATTTTCTATAAAACCACCTTTATCTTCCTCCATGGGAGAGCTCCTTGTAAAAATTCGACAAGCATATAAAATAATGACCACAAATCGTCCTGGCGTCCCATTTCCTTTAATATATTGATATATTTTTTCAAATGTGAAAGTCCATGAAAAAAAAAGCATAACTGTCTTCAATATAACTGTCCTCCAGCTCGAAGAGTGAAAAAGAATTGCGAACATTCAGAGAGTGGGAAGAGAATTATTTGGCAAGGAGAAGAGGGAGTAGAACAATAGTGACAACAGTAATTTTTATAAATTTAGGACATTAAAATTTGGCAACAATTATAAAACCACAGCAATGTCTGGTAGAGCTAATGCAATATAAGGGAATTATGGCAAAAACATGGTTCGATAGTTATTAGAGAAGATTAAGGGGGAACATGAAAAGGGCTCCAGATTCCAAAAAGAATAGATTTTGAAGAAGTCAAGAAATATTATGCCTTAGTGTTCAAATAATAAGAAATGCAATAAGTTTTAATAGAGCTTTGAGCAGGAGCAGTATATGAAGTAATTTCAAGGTATTCTAATACGTTCCGAGGAATTTTTTAAGCAAATATGGCGAGATTGAAAGATGGCTAAGCGAAGTACCAAGAGAATGTTGTTAATAGATTGAGGCATAAAATTGCTGATGGACGAGGTAAGGAGGAAACTGCTCAAAAATCCCAAATGACAGAAAAACTATCTAACCTATTTTTATAACAATAAAATTCTCAGGAATAATTCCTTTATGCTTAGGAAAACCTTAGAAATATCTTGACCTTTTTTAACTCCAGAAATATTCTGATTTACTACTTTTATGGCAATATGAACCTCAAAAACAATCTTTCATGACAAGAAGGATTCTTAAAAAAAACAGGAATTAAATATCAGAGATATCCCTTGCTCAAGCATTTATTCCTATATATCTACTTCGCTCCTTACCTGTCATCGAACAATACTATTCGATAGAAAATTCAAGAAATCTGACAGACTCAGAAATCTGCATAATCGAAAACACTGGCAGGGAAGGAGTTGAGTCAAAAATTATAAGAAATGGTGAGCCAATCTTAACTAAGGATTCTGATGCAAAAGAGGAAAAATAGATTGATATTCACCACAAATTAAATTAAGTGCTATGGGTAGAAGAATTTTCAAAACGGTACCGTAAATTTTTTATCAATTGTGCATTATAGATGTCCCAATTAACTCAGATAAATCCAGAATCCAGTGGTTTAAGAATCATCAATGAATCAGGAAAAGCGGAAACAAATGATTATTTGGAGATTTGGTGGACTGGGTCGAAGAAAGTAAACTATGTCCCCAAATTATATTAATTGATTTGAAGTTGAGTGCTGTGAAAGCACCAAAAAATCAGGTTTCCCAGTGTTAATTAAAAATTTTACTTTTTCGTTACAGTTAACGTATTTGGCGAAAAATTCATGCAAGCGGATTATCAAATCGCTATGCAGACGATGGGGATTTCAGAAGGAGATCTAAAAATGGGTCACCTGTCTGTTTTGGTCTTCTACCAAAGAATGAAATCCTAGCGACCTTTAAAAGTTTGAAGAGCTAAAATTTAATCTCTCACAAGAACCTGAAAAAATCACTCTCTGCTTCGAGAATAACTATATGCTTGGCAGTTTTTCTTGGCGTAAGAGTAATTTGAGGACATTTCAGAAACCTAAATAAATAAACATAAACTCGCTAAAAAAAAGAGATTTTGTGGAAGGAGGAAGAAAGAGGGAAAAGGGAGTGGGAAGGTGGCAGTGGATCTAAAACCAAAATGTACACATCCTCCAGACGCCCTAAACGCCCTAACACAACTTAGCAAATTATTACATGAAATCTATCAATGCTAACTAGCATCTGCTCGTCATCTAACACATCTACAAAAAACGTTAGCGCCTATTTGCTACCTAATATTCAGCCATTTTATGCTATAGACTATGCTATAGGCCTAGACCCTCATAAACCACACTGTATTTCCTAAAACTCCTTCAAATTCCATTGCATCCTTCAGAAACTTCCTTATAAGACCTGAGTCTCCTTTGCGCCTATAATCGCCTTATTCTTTAAAATCAACTAAATTTCTAAATGGCATTGCGCAAGACCAAGGGCATTTCATTTCATCGTTACCATCATCTTAAAATCTAATATTCCTTTTTTCTTTCCATCATTCTTCAATACTTTTTCGTGCTTTACGCAATTAAGGAAGAATTCCTTAATGTCACTTCCCATCTGCTGCCGAAAATTCTATATATTCCCTTTAACATACCGTAAAACGTACTGTGGTGCCGCAAGGCTTCCCCAGACATCTCTGCTATATATCCTTTGCAAAAATTAGGCCCTATTTATTAATCAATACTTTTTTGGTTAAAATTTTCTATACGTCACTATACTAAAATACATTGCTCGAAATGCAAAAGGCCCGCCACTTCCTAATTTTCGCATTCAACTTAAATCCTACAAAAACTACCATAAATAATGAAAATAAGAATAAGAATAATGCAGTAAGAAATATAATGAAAACACATATTCAGGCGTTGGAAAAACTAAATTTCACCATAGAGATTTTAACTTGTAATTATTTTAAAGTTATCAAGCAAGGATTGACCTTATTCTTGTGAGCAGAAACAGCTGCATATCGTACTGTTCCTCTGAAACCAGCAGCACTTCGTGGAGTTCTTATTTCACCTTTTGCATTCAAAAATTGCCTAGCCAAGCCAAAGTCTAACATATAAACCTGTCTCATAGTTAATGGAGTACGACCCATAGAGAAATTCGACTGAAAACCGATCAATGACAATAATAAAAAAAGGAATTTGATTTGTTTACAAAAATGAAGAATCACCATATAATTATAAATAATTTGAGTAATTTTTTAGAGCTCACCATTCCTAGTTATGGTTTATCGCATCAGACAAGTTTTGCTAAAAAATCACTAGGCGGTAGAAATATAGGTAAGTCATCAGCACGATTCAGATTTAAAAGACAGATTTATTCCTGCTAGGAGTTTTTTTGAATTCCACCAATGGTGCTTCAGAATGAGAGCAGCAACTCACTAAGCCAATGCATTACTCCAAAAGCATTGAGGATAAAGCAAAGTAAAATTTTTTTTTGCTAAATGAAGAAAAAATATTCTCTGAAGGCTATTTTCTTTGACTATTCAATGTTTAAATATAATAATAAATAATTTATTAAATCAATAAAAAAATTACAGGTTTAATATCCCGATGCAAAAAACCAATGGAATGGATCTCTCTAATTGCATTCAATATTTGAATTCCAAGCCGAATAGTTGTTGATAAAGAAAATGACTGCTTAGGTGATTCTCTCCTTAGATCCGCTAAATTTTTCCCCTGAAGGCTCATCACTAAATAATTGAATTTATCATTTCGTCCACATCCATAAAATTTACATGCATGTCGTTTTCCTAAAATGAAAATTTTTAAAGGGAAAAAATGCATCTATACATAGCAAAATACTTAAAATATGAAGGCAACAACATAAATGAATCAAAATAATAATTTGATTATTTGAATGCAAATGAATATTTCCATATTAAAATTGAAACTGAATACCTATCATTTTTTTTTGCTAAGAGTCATTATTTCTCTGTTAAACTTTCGCTCTTCTGGCTTGTCAAACAAGACAAATTTTACCAGATAATCATTTGTTGATAAAAATATAGATGATTCGTCAGTTTAATCACTTGGTTTAATCTTAGTCATTAAATTAAACTAGCGAAATTTCAGCACAAATATTGCCTTCATAATTTTATAGATTCCTTATTTCAAAACTTTAGATATATATTTTTATATTCTGACTTATGTCAAAAAATGTAGAATATGTCTAAAAAGTAAAGTAAAATGGGGTGGAAGAGCTAAATTGACATGGCATGTATTCACAAAATTAATGTCAACTATTAAGTCAGAATGTCTGATAGAAATTTGTGGTAATCGTTAAAAACAGGAAAAATGCTCTTCAAATGTTCTTGATTTTGGCTAACATTTAATAAAATATTTTTCTAGCGCTTGTTATATTAGCGAAAATGAAACAGCTGAAGAAATTTTCAAACATTTTTCGTTTGATGAAAAGCTTAGGGAAAATTGATAAAAAAGAATGATGCGAAAAAAAAAATATGTCTTATATATATATTCCTTAACTGACAAGCAAACAAATAAATTTTCTATTTCGGCTTCCTGAAAAAAAATATGATTCACCTTGAAGCCTTCTGAGAACAGCGACCTCCATCTTGAGAACCTGTTTTGTCGCTTTACTAGATTCAACCTTTACTGCAACACGTTCATTACGATTCTGGAGATCGGTAGCCTCGTATATTTCACCAAAACCTCCTCCTCCAACTTTAGCCTTCTAAATAAAAAAAAACTATCACAAAAAAACTATCACAAAAAAATCTTTGATTGAATATGAAGAAGCAGAAGAATCCACTTTTTGAGATATTATTAAAAGAAAAATTTAAAAAGTTCACAACTTTTGCAACTTAAAAAGAAAACAAATATCGCTCAACGACTTTTTAAACTCAAATTTCAAATTTTATCTCGTTCGAATACAAAAATTTCGAAGAATGAGTGCATCTTCGAGAATCTCCGATCGTCATTCCTCCACTAATTTTTTCACTTAGATTCTTTATAAATGAAATAAAAATTACAATTTTCCAACGTTCTCTGATAATTTGTGATGTTTGTAAAATTTCTCCTTCACTTGAACTTGTCATTGTGCAGTCATTGATAGCTTGGTGCAATAGTAATCCTGCAAAAAAATCAAATAGTTCTTCATCAATAACTGAATCGTTAACCAATGGAATAAAACCATTCTATGCGTTGTACGTTTCGTAAACTATTATTGAACATGATGAGGTAGTAAAAATTGAATAAATAAAATGCTCTTGAATAAAGACAATAAAAAAGTTTTATAAAATTTGATGAATTTGCTTCTTCAGTAGTAAAAAAAATAATACGAGAAAAAAATTACTAAAAAATATGTGCGAATATAAGCGAAAATAAAAACTGGTATTTTTAAAAAGAAATATACTATATTTGTCTTAATTATTTATTTATTTACTTAATTACTTATATATTTATATATAAGTAATTACTAGTAATAGTAATATTTACATATTTTTACTTAATTACTTATATATTTATATATTTATCCTACAAATGTTAAATTTAGCACGGACAAGTAATTCGTATATTTAGCATGAACAAATAATTTGTAAATTAAAAATAGGAAAACAATTTGTAAACTTAAAATAAGCAAATAATTTGCAACAATTAGAGAGAGCATTTAACAAGATGCATGTCATGCATCATGCATTTGACCAACGAATAATTCATGAAAGATATCAAACCTCAAGTATCTTTAAATCACACCATTTTTGCTTTATATTTTGCATATCGAATGAAAAATAAATGTATAAGTCGACATAAATTAAACAGAATAACAACTTTTCTACAGAATAATTTTTCATCAAAAATTATCCATTTTGGATCTATTCATTCAATGTTTTTACAATGAAAACGGACCAGTAAAATTGTCCCATTCTAATTAGCCAATGGAATTAAATTATGACGTTATTTGAAGAGATTTTCATGACGACGAACGCTCATAAAACTTCATTTGCCTTTTTCGATTGCCCTTTTCTTAGTGGAAATATATAAAAATGAGGAAAATAAAGTTAGATTTACAAATAAGAAAATCAATTTTTTGAAGTGAAAGAAGCAAGTGAAAGTTAAGAAGTAAATTTACTTCAAAAGCATTACTAAACAGGAAGAAATAAAATGCCGATGAACTTTTTTTTTATGAAATCTCATTTCACTATTTACCATGTCGAACTTATCTCCTTTCTGTTTATTCATTTCAACTTCGATAGCTAATTAAATCAGAAATTTAGATCAAAATTCGCTTTCGCTATGTATATATGTTATTTATTCACGTTTAGCTGATAAGCGACCCACTTATAATTTCTTCTATCGTCGAATAACTCCATTCTAAGCATAATCAAGTCTAATTTATTTCTAATCAAATTTAATCACTTATTGTCACTGTGTTAATCACTTTTATCCATCGATATGATAAGGTAGCAAAGTCCTATAATTTAATAGAAAATTATATTCATATAAACGAAGCAATTATTTTCATTTAAAAAATGGTAAAACGAAGAGATTAATTGGATTAAATAAGTAATAAAATAAAGAATATTACTCATCAAATAAAAAAAATTTAAACACTTTACTGAGTTATTTGAAAATTTTGTATAAACATTGCATTCTGTTTGCTGAAATCAAATGAATGAAGTGATGAACTGATTTAGTATTATTCTTTACAATATATATGTAGAAAATAGTCAAAGAAAACACTCCTCAGCATTATTATTCTATTAAGCTTAAATATTATTTATAAATTCGTTTAAATTAGGCGATTAAAAGGTAGATTAAGAATTCAGGAAATTTCTATTTATATATAAAATTCGCATACAAATAAGTACCATTTAAAAAAACCGTTAAAAATTATGTGCATTATTTAAAAGCAAAAAAAAAATATTCCATTTTTCTCGTTTTATAATAAAAATTTTTTTAGTAATTAAGCAACAAATAAACTAAAAATTTATAAGGAAGAAAAATAATAAATAATTAAAAAATAATTCTCACTTAAAATATTTAATAAAATTTATTTGTTCTTTATTATCTTTTTATTTAATGTTCAATAAAAAAATAATAATAAAAATAGAAATAAGAGAGTTTAAAAAGGTTTTTTCTCAGAATTTAACAAAAATTTAAGTAACGAGAATCTCGAATTATAAAGTTATAAATAAAGATCGACAATTTTTACAAAAAACCGGCCTTCAAATGAAAATAATGTTAGCTCTCAAACAATGTTATACTATTCTATTGTTAAGTATTTAAAGGTTGACCGATCTGCTTTGAATGCTTTCAGTATTATTGACCACGAATTTTAATAGCATAAACTCTCTCCGTCTGGAATGGTTTTTAAAGTAATCTACTAAAAAGAATAGCACAAGGACTAAACAACAAATGAAATGGTGAGTAATCAAAATGCAGAAAACATCATATATTATAATTTTATGAAAATTTAATTAAAATTAATGCTTAACTGGTTTACTGAGTTTAAATCACCTGAATATAACATAAAAGTTCCATTGATTCGCTCTTTTATTGGTTAGCGATAAAGCGCATCATAAAAAATGAAATCCGGACAATATGAAGGAATGAGATATGGAGGAATCTGGATAGTTATATCTCCAAGTGATTCTCTAGCAGAGAATTGCATTCTACTAGTCAATAGCGCCAATAAAATCGAGGATCAGCTAGAAGAATACGGCAAAAAATTAGTATTAACAAGCAGAGTAACCAGATAATTGTTAATATCATTTTGAACTAACATGATTCAGCCTCTAGCAGAAGTAAGACATTAATAAGTCATTAAAAAATCCGTATACTCTTCGAGACTCTCATGTACTTCGATCCAAATCGCTTATAACAATAAAAACTCTACTGAAACAAATCATCAAGTAAAAAATGCTTTACAAATAAACATAATCGTCGAAGATTAGATTTATTAAATCCTAGAGTGCATCACACTATAGCGAAATATTAATCTTAGCCCAATATTCTATCGATTTTAGCCATCCCAAGCGACCATTTATTTATTTTTAGCACAAAACTTTTGCCAATAATGTTCCCAATACATATATAGAATTCCTGTATCAACAACAATAAGTTTCAACAAGTCGTCATAAATCTTCATAAACATTTAGGATAACACTAAAATGAAAATGATTAAAGTGGAGGAAAATAGATTCAGTGCAAATAAAAAATATAATTTGATATCTTTCTATTATAGGAATTGTAGAAGAAAAGAATGAAAACGTTACTGAATTTGTTTTTAAAATGATTTTGCAATGAAAAAATTTGCTGCAGTTCTATTCCTCACCAAGAATAAATGATTCCATCGATTATAAAGTTTATCTTATCTGACAATGGAGCTAATCTAGCGAACCTAACAAGGAATGGTGATCATTTTTAGAAAAAAACAAAATATGTGAAAAAAATTTCGCCAATTAAACAAATAAAGTAGGAAATAACTGAAATAACTGAAAGTATAGTTAAATGAGTTCTGTGCTATTCAACCTTACCGCTGTTATCCATTCGTCTCCTTGGATATAAAAGCTCTCTTTTAGGATATTTTAAGAATCTCTAAATCGAGGATTAAAATCTTTATTTTCACGTATAACTCGGTGATTATCATTTCATTAGATAAGCTTTGGCTTTGTTAATAAAGTTTATTTTTATAAAAAAATAAATTTCCAACAAGTCTATGGAGCAATTAAGCGAAAAGACCAAAATCACTTATAAATTGTCTGTATTAAGGGAAATATTTTACCGGATTATATTCTCTAAGGAAGATAGCAAAAAGCTTATTGTTTAAGCGAGTCAAGTAAGGAGACTTTGAAAGAAATCACCATCTAAAGATTGGATACCATTTAATATTAATTATTCCATTATTCTAAAATATTGGTCTCATCTCAAATATGTACCATGAATTTTCACAGAAATTTGAGGTAAATGCCATTTACAAAACAAGATTGAGATTATCAGTCCGGGGATTATTAATCGAAAATTATCATTTCTGTCATTCCTGGCTGAAAAAAAATTCGCCTCATACTGAACTAGTAAAAACTACTTGATTTCGAATATATTGATAAGTATGATATTTTTTAAATCAATTTTATCAATAACATTTTATAGAACTTTTTGATTTGCCAATGACTGGGGAAATCGAAGTCGCTTTCCCACTGGATTAGAAATTATAAACTTTAAACGATTACATTAATCTAAAACAGGCTAAGAAAAAAAAAAGTGGTGTGGCCAATGAAAGAGTTTAAAAAAACTAAAAAAAGGAACTCATCATTTTTTGTTTGACACTGTTTAAAACTTGTTGACGAAATGAATAGCCCAGCAAATTCGCCAATGAAAAAGAACTAAAATTTAAACGAACTGATTAATGTGGATGTTATACGCAGAGAATAAAATAAGTGCCCTTTTGTATTAGAATTTTAAATCGTTGAATATCCACAATTTGAAATTATGGGGATGAAAAAAAAGAACTCACCGAAAGATTGCTATTCGCTAAAATAGTAAAAATCTGAGATACATGAAGATGAGAACACGAAGTGATTTACTTGAAAATCCGCATATATTTTCAACTTTATCCTGATAAGTTCCGCCTGATAAGTTCACTTTGGCATGATTTCAAAAAAACAAAATTTCGTTAAAAATCGTAAAGCAAAATATTGGCGAATTATATGAAATTGAACATATTTTCGTATAAGTAATAGGTGGTGATTATAATAATGTAACTCGATCATGTCTATTAAATGAAATTAATGATTTATGATCAAGTTGGAAAGAGATTTATACACATGAAAAAACAAGGGAAAGGATTAACATAATAATCGAACGAACATCTGCAATATGCATGCAATATGCAATCTTCTTACGCAATTAATGATCAAAAAAAAGTAAATAACAATCAAAAATAATAATAATTAAAAATTTGTTAGTATATTTTAAAATAATTTAATTTAAATTTAAAAATATTTAAAAAAGCTTTCATTTATTGATATTAAATAAAATAATAAAGTTGTGAAGAAATATTAAACTCAAAATCGATAGCATTTTGGAAAAAGCTTATGATTATTGCCTGCGGCTATTCAAATGCAGGCAAGGCAACGCATTAACTCTGCTCATTCTCCTCAACAGAAATCTGATAAATGTATAATCCCATCTCTTTTCTTTACCGATCTCTTTCAAGTAATTTCAATTGTTATCGTCAATTTTCCAGATGGTTGTAATGTTATTGCTATAGGATTTTTAACTCTTTAAAAATAATCACCTATATTCACAACTTGGACTTAGATTTTAAATTTTACTTAATATTTACCTTATTTAATATATTCATTGAATATTCTTTGCAAAAAAATTTAAAATTAATTGAATTAATTGAATAAAATTAATTGAATTTTTTTTAGTATATAAAATGCGCAATAATAGATGGAATAAATTTATATGAATATTAAATTTAAGATATTTCAAATTAATAAAATTTTAATTTTTAATAAAATTTATTTTATCTGAGAATAATGCAATAAAATATGAGTTAATATTGACTTAAATGATTGTATAAATATAAATTTACGATAAAATAAATTTAATTGTATTAATAGTTTGCAATAAACATGTGAAAAATTTTTAATATCCGTTTTGCTTCAAATTCAATCTGTTGAATGAGAAAAAAGTGTAAATGATTTTACAATCAAAGCAATTTTTTTTAACACATAGACACAATGTTCTTAAAATAAAATCTATGAATAGCTAAATGCCTCATAAATTCATTAAAAATGCGATGTCAATTATCACATTATCACTTATCATTTCATGTTTCTTAAGCTCTAGATTTATGAACCTTATATGTAGATAGTGGTAGATTGTGGTGGCATTTTGCTCAAATAAAGTTGGTAACCGTGCAATGAAAATTATCTGTGATATGTTCATCTTTCTCTAATAGCTTATATTACTTTGGTTCACATATTGCTTTCTTGATTCCACTAACTACGAGGATTAAAGGATCTGACCAGAGAGAATCTGGGGAAAGAAATACCCCAGATGGATCTATAAAATTACCCATATTACCCAACGAAAACCATGTTACTCGGTTTCAGTCAAAGCTATATATCATCATGGGCTCTCTTAGCGTACCATGTTTGATATTTTATACAGAAAAAAAATATAAGAATATCAAATAAAATTAGCCTGAATGCATTCCATTTATGATAAGTTGATATATTTGAAAATTTTGGAAGATCTAAACGTCAAAAACTGAAAATAGCTATAATATCACGGATAGCCGTTCAAGCAAAAGGTAAAACCAAGAAATTAAGGCATAGTAGTGAAATCCACTTAAAAATTGCCTGGTTACAAACATTAATCGCTTGGCAACATTGGCAATACATCGACTCGCATTATAGATCGACAAACAAACTATTGGATAAGTATAATGATAATGGCACTAATATATCAGTGACAACCATGATATGATATCACTAGAGTTGCGCATAAAGTTACAATTATCTGTTAATTTAGCGATATTCAGCAGTATAACACTGGATAATGATTATGCCTTAATAGCCGTGCAAATAAAATTAATAAAATAAAATAAATTTTAGGGAGAGATTGACAGACCAATGTGTTTCTTGCACCATAAGTTTAAGGATTGTGATCTTTGTTCCTTTATGTCTTCTATTACAGTTATCAGATATGAATTAAAGATTTTCGCTAAGAAATTTTCTATAAAAAATTGGACCTATGATTTAAAGGTAAAAAGTTTATGGTTTATCGTTTTTTTATGATGTTTCTTGTAAAACATAGGAAACATATAGTTTATTATCAAACTAGGTTTCATTGAAACAAATAAGTTTAGAAAAAGTCGTCATTGGAAATATGATTCATCGCCAGAATTATCCCACATTATCCTATGTTAATAATAATCCTATATTGCTATAACAGTTATAAGAACTGTTAATCTTATCCCACTTTTGGTCGTTCGATGGCTATCGCTTGATTTATATTTTCTTTATGCCAAGCAACAGATTTTTTCATGGCAACACTTTGTTCGAAAGGTGGTATAAAATCCAGAAATAAACGTAGTTTGCGGTTTGAAAAGCCAACAGTCCAACCTGCAAAAAAAAACTTAAAAAATCGAAATTGAAGATAAATTTAATTTGAATCGAATTAAAAATGGTTTCACCTTAAATTTTGCTAAAAATTTCATTTGTAAATTATAATAATTTTTAAATATTATTTGAAATTGCATTTATTGATGAAAGACCTTAGAATAAGCCTTAGAATACACGCTTATCGATAAAATCCATCCAAATCTGTTATAATTCAATTCAAAATTCAATTCAAAAATTCAATTCAAATTCAATAAATCAAATTTAAAATTCAATTTTAGAATGAAAAATGAAAATATAATCTATGAGTATGTGGAACCGACATAACTTTTTGAAATATGAGCCGATACTTCTGGACTATTTTCTTTCCTTTAAAATATTCATTTACATGGTAGACTGGAAAATAAACTGGAATAGTTTAAAGGCATTAAAGAGGTGTGCGAGTCTAGTACATACATTGAGAATACATAATCAATTTTGTATATATTAATGATATAACTATTTTTGCTGTCAACACTTATAAAATAATTTTTAATACAAAGAGGGCGAAAATCTTTTCTTCTTACATAATAGAAAGATAAAACACCTATATTTATCACTGATTACAGATTGAGGAAATTAAAAACTTTAAATATATTGGATTTATTCTTATATCAAATGGCCAAATGAAATTGCAGTTTGAATATTTATAGCCTTCTTCTAACAGCTCTCACCATTATTGCTTAGGCTGTATCCGCTAGCTACAGTGGTAAGACCTCTCCAAGCTGCTTGGCCTTCGCTAATAATAGTAATAGAAACTATTCTTTTTCCATCACCTAACTCCATATATTGCTGATCCTCCTATACGTTCAAAATTTTTCCTGACTGTATCAGTCCAAGTTTTGATTCGCCCTCCTCGCCTTTGATGCCAAGTATCACGGGGTTCGGCAAGTAGCGAAATATGCGTCAACTCCTGTGGTGGACGACGAAGAATGCCTTAATCAGCGAAGGCGACCTTCGTGATAACATTATTTATGCAAATGGTATTTGAACGAAGATGGATGCGATCATATGATATCTTATCCGCTTGACGGATCCGTAAAATGTACCTTAGACAAGAGTGGTCAAAGGCAGATAACTTCATAATATCTCCCACTCTCATTGACCATGTTTCGCAGCCATATGGCAAGATCGAGTGAATTGTAGCAATATTGATATGGATTTTCGTCTTTATGGTGATTTCGTCAACCGGAAAAAAAGACACATTTCTAGCTGTCGAATAGTTACAGTCAGGATGGACTTTTTTGTCTGGGAAAAACTCTATGGAATCGTTGCGAAATCAACATCTAAATCGCTATGTGAAATACCATCATATATGGCTGCGAAATATTACTGGTAGTAGAAAATATCAAGTGGAGAATAAGCTATCTAATGCTGTCTGCATTAACAACATTGTTACAGAATGTCATTTACTCAAGTTAACCAGTGCTCTTTAGAACCTGTTGCAGGAATTTGCGTATTTCTCTCTAACTTTGAGATTAATAGCGTCAAAGGCGTGGAAGATCTGGGCTGATGAGAGATATTGAATATATATGTGAAATATGGTGGAAAAAAAATGGCCATTGTTATTTTCTCATGTAGATTGGCTAACCTAAAAATACCTTACTTTTGCGAAGCTCAATGAAACCGGCTAACCAGGCCTTTCAATTATTTTTATTTATAAAAAAAAATACAAGTAACCGTTTAGAAATTGAAATGCTTGCATGGTAAGTCGGTTAATACTTTTTTCCATATAAATTTTATTTAATAATTCATAAAAAGCCGTAATTAGAAATGCTTTCATATATGACATTGTAGAAGTTGGATTAAAATTTCTCGCCTCAAGATATGGTATAATAAACTGAAACATTGTATTGTAAAATATCTGATAACTCTTCCTTATCGATTATTTTCTATTTGTCATAATTTATTCACTGATAACGAGAAGTAGCGAATCAATTGATGAAATATGTTGCTTATCAAATCAGTTGTAGTAAAAACATACATCTCGAAAAGGAATGCAAGATGTTGCATCAATGCAATAAATAATTTCGCCATTATATTTCATTGCATCAGATCGTAAACAGTTCATACATCTTTCCATTATAGCTGCCATATTTCCAGCATAAATCTTAATAGAAAAACTAAAAATTCTTCAGAAATAAATAAATCATTTATTTGATTATTAAATAAATCATTCATTCCTATACGAAAATCTATAAACGTATTTCATAGCAGTAGGCCGATCTAAGCGAATAATTCAAATTACAATCACTTTTAACGTCACATTATCGTTAAATCCAACAATTATATAAAAATTAAATCAATGCCGACTGAGAATTCTTATTGCTTAACACTTTTTTTAAGAGCCCTCACCATTACTGGTTTGACTCACTTGCTGCAGTGGACATATATGCCAGTGATTCTCCTGGCGATATAATTACAGATGAATCGTCACTATCACCCTGATTTTTGGACAGGTTTAATCATGTGGGGAGTAGAACTTTAGCGATGTCCGAGCTGAGCAACAATCCACTCAACCATTCTATTTTTAACGCTTTTTAGAAATTTTATAACTGAAAAATTTTTTTTATTATAAAATTCTTATCTAATAGTGAATGATACCAGATAATTATAGAAAATATGTTATGATAAAATAATCAAAAATATATAACATATTGATGATTTCCTCGGTTATTCCCACATATGTAAGGAAATCCTTGAAATTTTTGGCAAAAATTGAATGCTGTTGACGTAAGATGTGATTCGCCTTCGCCGTAGATGAAGGTCGGGCGTAAAATAAGTGCACTGATCATATCTACGATAAGAATCAAAAAGAAATTTTAGATTTAATAGGTTATCGCAGTTACGTATCAAATGATTTCATTTCTCTACCATATGAAGACGTGAAGAATTATAGATTCAGTTTCTCTTAAATTTTACTTCAAATCCTTTCGGCCTAATAAAATGTAATTTTTCCGTTTTTGTCGAATGAAAGTAAGAGAAAAAGCTATTCTCAAACGACTTTTATTTTAAAAAAAAACTTTAACAGAAAAATTACTTTTTCGAGCGAATTTCATCACATAAGATTCAGCTCGAACTTTTGATTCCCCATACGAGCCAAGCATAAAATTTTCTGGTATATTAATATGAACTTGTTCCGAATGTCCATAATTATCACACCGAGGTAAATGTGCATAAGCATCACTCACATAAACAATATTTCGTATTCTCTGATCAATCATTACAGTGATGACGTTTTCGGTTGCTGTAAAAAATTCTTTGGTTTTAAAATAGCCTTTCGAACCCTTTAGCATTGTTGAAATAAAAATTTTATTTGTGAAGGTTGTGGTGAATTTGGTGAAATTTCAATAATATTCACAATAATATGTGCAATAATAATCAGATTCATCGAATGAAGAGAAATTTCTCCTAGAATTCCCACGAAATAAGCAAGTATAATAAATGTCAAAGTTTCTCGCTCAAACGATTTGAACCCAAATATAAAGTGACAAAGCCATTAAGTGATAAAGATGTTTTGATATGAAAATATATTGATGAATATGTTTTGATATAAAATATTTTGAACAGATGACAATGATGAAATCTGCCCTAGAGTGTTAAAAAAATTATAGGAATCACTTCTTTTTCTAACAGCGTTTACCATTTCTAACTTGTTCTGCAGACAGATTTTTTCCAGTGAATCACTTTGTGATAACGCTAACATCACTGGATTTTGGGGAAACAGGCTTATTCTTATCGGAAATAGAACAAATTAGAAATAACATTAGGTGCTCCGGAATGAAAGCAACAACAACCAACTGTACCATGAACCATTCTTTACCAAGAATATCGGTTATTTAAGCAAAATTTGCATAAAATGAATCTGTATAAATGACAAACTATCAATATTGTCGTGAATATATTGTTCATCGATATCCTCATTTATATGAATATATTGAAATTGCTTTCCAGCACAATGAAAGATAGTTGTGCAAGATTCAAATGATTTTGATAATTCATCCTTATTACAAATATCCAAAATAAAAATACTGATTGGAATGCTTGACGGATAATCTTTAAAAAAATATTTTCATGAAATATTTTTTCAAGTTCATTAGAATATTTATTTTTATACAGCAAAAAATTACTATTATTATCATTATTTTGCTACTTCACCGCTTTAAGATTTCTATGAGAATCAACGAGGAAATAAAAAATAACAAAATAAAATACAGTATAAAAAAATTTTTTTAACGTAGAATTAAAAAATGGTTCAAAATGGCTCACCGAGAAATTTTTTAAATGGTCGTCTATCGATGATTCGAATCTCTCTAACGGTTGCCGTTGAATTATTTTGGAGGTATGCAATAAGGTGCTGAGCAAGAAAACCGCTACCCCCAGTTATTCCAACGATCTCTTTATTAACCACCATTTTGTCGCAATGAACTCAATAGGACTATTGTTCGCAATGCCATTTAAAATTTTACATATACCGCCCATTTCGCTTCCCTTAAGAACGAACCTTGATAAATTCTTCCTCCGACCAATCCTCCAATTCCCGCTTTTCGATATCCTTCATCATTGCCATTTTCCTTTGCAGTTTTATAGCTTTTGAATTAATTGCGGCTGTGGTGGAAGTGCAATAAGATTTAACAAAATAATGGGGATGGTTGCTGCTGAAACGTTACCGGATTTTGAAGTGGTATAAAGTAGTTTAAAATGTTAAAGGCAAAAATTAATAGAGTCTGACGGTTTTTACGAAGTATAAAAGTTTGTGGTAAAGCTTCAAGAGGATGGATCAAAATTTTTTCCTTAGTGGTCATAGTGCATTTTTCTCCGAGCACACAAATTGATTGAGCATTTTTTTTATATAGACAATGGATTTCAATACTAAACGACTAAGGGACTATTAAAGGAAGGAAAGATGAAGGAGAGTGGAGCAGTTTGAGAAAGTCCTCATGAAATAGAAAGGGATTTAAGAGGATTTTAGCACAACACAATAGTTTTTAGTAGCAGTTATATAAGAAGGCATATCTGCCGGATGATTTTGGTAGAACGACGAAGCATGGTGAGCTGTTGAAGAAGATTAAAGAAATTTCAGAGTCATACATAATTAAAACAGCTTGTGAAGAATTTGATATAACGTTGCCTAAGGAGAAAAGATTGTATAAGGAGGTTCACTCAAAGTACCAACGAGTATGCTATTGATGGAATGGCATAGTTCGGTTCGATGTTATAACAGATTCTGAGCAATCTATAGAGTAGCAAATGATATTTGAAAATGAATGAAATAGGTTTTCACAAAATACGGCAAGTTATGGAGGATGAATTTTTTTCCTGACAAACATGCTGACATAGTAACTGTGTAGGCTTTGTTATTATCTTCGATTATTATTGTTAGTACTAATGAAAAAAACTGTTTTACGAATCCGGGAGAATTATCTTCAAACTTTGGAATATTTTTGAACGTTTCCTGAAGACCCACTATGAATAGAGGTCAAGTTTGCAACCACATAAGAGCAAGTTATTCACCATATTTCAAAAATTAAACGAACAAATAGGAAAAAACATTTTTTCGACCGCTTAAATCATAACTTCAACACAGCTTATACGCGTAAATTCAAAAAAATATAACTTAAGTCGCTTAAGAATTAGAATTAAGCAAGACATGGCTTTTACTTTCAAGATGTTATTTGGCTTTGTTGATTGCAATACTATTTCGATTTAATTTAAATTTTAGGTACCACTAGAGATAATGAATCGAGCCTGCGGCAAGACCATTTGTAAAACTAAATGTCGGGCAGTTTTTTACTCATAAAATTAAATGCTGGAATAAACCTCATTAACTTTGAAAATAAATTAAATAAAATTATTAATTTATAATTAAATATAATTAATTATGAAATTATTTTCAGTTCTCAGCTTCTTGACATTATTTTTTACCTTATTTTATATTATTTATTCCCTAAACTGAACTTTGAATATTGTTCCTTTCCTATTGCTGGACAACAATAATAATCCGCTTGCTATTTTATAATATTTATTGAAGAAGAATAAGGAAATATTATATATAATATAGACGATTGCTGAACAGATCAACGACTCGAATGCTAAGGTACCGATTCTATCTCCAGAAATAAACTTATTAAAAAATCCGAGTGATGCGGAGGCCCATTAAGTATCTATATTTTGCTCAATACAAGAAAAAACTTTGTTAAAGCCTCATGTTCGTTTCGTTTAAAAAGATTTTTAAGGAAGAATTTTTATAAATCTTTATTATATTTTTTTAGCATAATTCATAGTATTTATGATAAATATTTTTTTATTAAATTATATTCATTAATATAAGTACTTTTATTACTTTCTATATTTGAGAAAATAAATAGATTGTAGTATACAATTTTTGCTCGTAATGCGAAATGCAAAAAACAAATATTTAATCTTATCAATTTAAGCAACTAGATTGGTACCATAATTGGATAATGGACAGCCTAATAAGCTATAAGATATTGCACGTTTTTTCCATTAATTATAAAAATATATTACAAAAATATAACTATAAAAATATAAAAATAATATAATTACGTGTTGCATACTAAAATCAACATCGTGAAATAATCGTTTAATTGTTATTTATTATTCATCGAACCAAATGTTAAATAATTTTTTAAAAACATGTCCATAATATATTGTTAATAATTCATGATTAATTAAATAATTAGTAATTTGATAAATTATTATAATAATCACTGCAGATTAGGATAACCGAATGGTTGATTTTATTGTCCAGATTATCGTCTTTAGTGCAAAGTTTAGATAGTGATTTTGGCAGGAATGAATCTGCCATTAAAAATTAGAGATTATGTTCTCGTTTGCACTTACAATTTGCCATCAGGCTAAACTTAACGAGAATTATGACCACTAACTTCCCAATAAAATAATCACAATACATAATAATAATATTAATTACTTATTATAGTGAAAAATTTTATCACGTCAATGAGATGATTATGCTAATTACTTATAGTGAAAAATTTTATCACAACAATGAGACAATGAGTCGAATTTTGTGTTAAAATTAACAATATCAGCTTAAGTATCCAAATTTTATCGTATAAGTTCATTTATATTAACCTAATTTCATCAATGATGACAGTAAAAGTGGCTCTTCTTATCAGATCAACTAATTTTGTCAGTGATATGAGTGATAGTGACTTTTTTATAAGATATCACTGAAATGTGGAAAAAGACATGTATTTTATATAATAATTTTTGAGGAAAGAAACCAATAAATACTCTCCAAATTTCTAGTTTCACGGTTTTTTTCTGTACAATTATAGTTTAATTTTTCCACAGACTATTAGGATAAGACGCCTTGGCCAGAGAGTCACCTGGCGACAAAAATGCCAATGAATCTTAACATCCAGGATTTCACTTTTAATGAGAAATCGAGGGAACAATGAAACAAATACGACACTCAGTTTTTACTTTGCTTTGTTAAATTGTATATAGTCCATTATTCAATACAAAATTCTTCATAACGAGTTTCTTCCATCGATGGTTTTGCTGAAGTAAGGACAACTGATAAGTGATAATGTTCTTAGAAGCAAAAATCTGTTAATAATCAATCTTTCACGAAATTTTACGAGAGAGCACTAAGAAGAAGACTAAAGAGTTGATTAAAGAGTTGAGCGAGTAATGGGAAATATCACTTTTGCCGTTCACTTAGAAATCATTAAAGGATAATGAGAAGATGTAATCAGAGGGCAATTTGAAAAGATTGTGTAATTTTCGGAGATACAATCTATAGAGTTTTTTTGCATCCATATAGTCCATATTGCAACTTATTACTTTCACAGTCCACTGGATTTTTTAAAGTCCTGTTGAGTGGTTCATTTGATTTATTTCTATAAGTATTCCTATATTCCTTATTCCTATAAATAGTTATTAATTCGCCAGATTTTCTATAGGTTTCCACTAGGTTTTTTTAGAATTTTCAAGAGAATTTTTTTTTGAAAATCTATAGTCCAAGAAATTTTTTAATTTCTATAATTCTCTGAAATTTATGTCTCTTCCCAAAGTTCTAAACCATTTAATTTCTTAAATAAAATTTCACTGATTGTTAAATCCATAAACACAAAATGTGCGGAAAAAAGATTTTTTTAAAATGATTATTGCTTGATCGTATCGATTTGTCAAAAATTTTTATCAGAAAAGTCAAGAAATCAGCCTAAAAAAAAGTTCTCATCTACCCTACTGCAATGACGCACAATCTTCTTATATGGTTGCAAAACTTTGCCATTTAGAATGGAAACTATTTACCTTTGGTAAGGAATGGAAATAAGGTAACCGAATGGTTGCTGCCGAAATTATTGTCTTAATTCTTTAAAAAAAGAAGGTATCATGAACGTAATTCACGAATTATAAAAATAATAATTGCTAAATTTTTTATAAATAATGTAATATAAAAATAATATAAAAATTATATCTTATTTTGAAATTTTCATTGATTATAGATTTTAAATGTGGCTAATTAATCTTCATATTCTTCAGCACCATATCTTTATTATGTTCTGTGGCATATATGGCCAAAAGGCAAGCCAACATGGCTCAACACGAGCCGTATGTGGCTCTTTAGGCCATTCTTTGCGGCTTATTTGTGACAAGCATTCAACTTTTGAACTCTAATTGTAATTTAATATGTTTTATAATAGAATTGTAAAATGTTGTAAATTGATAATGATGAATCTACGCTCTATCTTGAGATTGCATATTTTGAACCTTTTTACGGCGATAATTTGAAAATATGCCATTTCAGAATTTTCCTTGAGGGTCTGAATGATGCACAACGTTCAAATGACGTAAATTTCTACTGTATTATGAGATGGATATTCAAAATCTGACGATTGTTTGCATGATATAATGTTCCTAACTGATAAAGTGCTACATTTATTATTAAACTATTTTCAGTTTTCAAAAGGGGTTTCCCCTTTTCCAAAATGATCTCAAAACCAAAATATTTAATTAATTTCCTTATTTGAAAATAATATCTGACCATAGAGACAAAAAATTTTCCAGAAAAATTCAAAAGATTGCAATTAGATTTTGAATAGAGATTTGAAAATTTGAATATTTTCGAATCAACAACGTCCTTTATCCTTTTGTAATTGGCGTTATTGGAGGTTACTGGAGATGAATTTTCTGATTTCCTGCCAAAGTAGTTGGGTAAATAGAATCGACAGGAACGCAAGAGGACCAATTACTGCAAATCTATCACAAATCTACTTCCCTAAATGAATTTTGACAACCTTCGTGCAAGAATTAAATCATCCTTTTCCAAAGAAACCTACTTGCTGAATAATCTCAATTTTTAGGAAAAAATATCCATATCCTTATGAATCTTAAAAATATCCTTATGAATCTTTATACTAAGTTCAGATAATCAAAACACGAGCTTATTTGATGAAAGAACATCTTAAGGAACGGTTATATGCTACAAATTCTGCGCCAAATTTTAATGATTATGTAGATACAAATACTCTAAAAAATCGAATTATGGTCCTTGAATATTTTTAAATTCTAGCAAACAGCTTCCTACTGATTTGAATTTTGGCCGCTCTTATTCTAGCATATGAAGTTTATCACTTTATCACTAGCACGTTTATCGCTTTTGTTAGGTCAATCGTAAGCTATAATAGATACGACGAATGATCCACATCAATTGTTTCCACTGTATTATTTTATCATTGTATTATCACTGAATTATTTTACTATTGTATTATTGGGCGTATACTGTAATTTATTGGAGAATTTCATCTGTCGCCGAAAATCGCTTTTTTCGCTTTCGCCACGATATGCTTACCGCCTGAATCGCGTTCGTTCAACGGCAAAATTCTCTTTTATCGCGTAGTTTTTTGTTAAAATTATTTGTTTCTCTTATTATATCATATTTTTTATAATTTAAGCATTTTCCCTAAGAATTATTGTATTCAAAAATAAAAATTCGCCAAAACTCGCGGTAAGTTTAACCGGAATTATTGACTGCTTATTTATTTAAAAACTAAAATTAATTTTTAGAAATTTAAATGTTTGCGGTTGTAAATTGAGACTTTTCGCCAAATATGTATTCCAAAATTCTTTATCTACTTAGTCCAAATCCATTATTCGATAATTTTAGTTTATAAAAGACCATTGAGATTTTAAGCAAATGCTTTATAAGATAGACGGAAGCGTTGACGATTATAAAGAATTTCCATGACGAAAATAGAAACGATAAGTGCTCTTGGGGATAATTAGTGAATCAGTTTGGAATCATTTTGAGGTTAGGAAAAAAATAATTATTTGGTCAACGAACGATGGAGAACGAAGATAGCATGATGAAAATTAATTATAAGAAAAAATTAATTGTAGAAATATTAAGAATAAAGAGCTGCTAAAATGCAAATATTTAAATAATTAGTCTTGAGCGGAATTCTTGTTTCTTTTGCGTTTTTTATTCTGTTCGAAAATGAGAAATTAGTGGTGGTTCTTGGGAACGTTGTTAGGTGGTTTTCAACGGATGGTTGTATGGTTGTCAGAATTCTTCGTGTGGATAGAAGGTCATGTAAAGCTTTAGCGCTAGTTGTTGATAATTTTATTACCCCCCCTCCCCTAACATTAAGAAATCAACCGTTAGATTGCCGAATGTTTTTACTCTTAAAAGTTTATTCGATTTATTTATTCGATTAATGCATAGAATAATCATTGGCTTATACAGTTGTTTATTTCTTCTCGATTTTTTCTATTGCTTTCTTTTCCTTTACAGTTTCTCTTTTAGATGATAGTGGAATTGAATTCTTTGCTTATAGGATTATACGAATATACTCCAATCCTAAATTATTCTTATCACAATTAATCACCAAAAAATTTTTATATGAATTATTTCGAGATTGAGCTGCCATAAGTATAATTTGAGTAACGCGATTCGCCATTGTCTCTTCTGTCTATATTCTAATAAATAATCTCTATTTCGAGCTGAAAGTTGAGGAAGAAAGAAATTCCTCAGTGACACCAGATTTCCTCTTCTTCTTCTAACAGCTCTCACCATTACTGGTTAGGCTGACTACAAAGGTAAGATGCTTCCAAGGGTAAGACGCGGTTTGATGCCATCGTCGACAGTAATAAAAACGCCATTCCTTTTTCCATCGTCTAAGTCCATATATTTCTGGCACGCCTACAGTTCAAAATCTTTTCTGACCGTACCAGTCCAGGTCTTGATTGGCTCAACTCACTTTTAACGCCATCCATCATAGGGTTTAGCAAGTAACGAAATATACGTCAACTGCTTTGATGGACGACGAAGAACATTCTCTAACCAGCGAAGGCGATGCTCTGTGATAACATTATTTATGCAAATGGTATTTGAACGAGGATGGATGCGATCATGTGATATTTTATCCGCTCGACGGACCCGTAAAATATATCTTAGACAAGAGTGGTCAAAGGCAGATAACTTTTTAATATCCTCCACTCTCATTAGCCATGTCTTGCAGCCATATAGCAAGACCGAACAAATCACGGCTATATAGATGCGGACTTTCATTATAATGGTGATTTCACGACGGCTTCAAATGTTTCGTCAGCTCAAAGAGTGAATTTTTGGATGCCGTGATCCGGATTGTGATATCATTTTTTGCCTGTCCATTTGGTATTAGAGTGGACTCAAGGTCGAGCACTTCCTCAACCGGCAATGAATTTACAAAAAGAGGCATTTTATCAGTTTCTTGCACATAAGATGAAAAGACTTTCGTTTTATTTACATTGATCCTGAGTCCGATTCTCGGTGCAGTTTCTGACACGTTATTTAGCATTATTTGCATTTCATCATAATTAGTCAGCAAAAAGGACTGTATCATCATCGTATTCAAGATCAGCGTATTCACGATGCCCTGGACTAATTTGGACACCTTGAGTGCCTACAAGCGGTGTCCCTTATCCAGTCTATCGCATAGTTGAATATTGTGGGGGGAAAGGACGCAGCCCTGATGGACATCAGTTTTTATTTCGAAGGAGTCTACCAGCTCCCCATATATACGACCTGCGCTTACGTGCGCTCATAAAATGCCTTTATGACTCGAATGATCTTTTCTGGAACACCGTTGCGTTCTATCATCCCTTGGAAAGCGCTGCTCTATCAATTGAATCAAAGAGCAGCTGCAAAGTCGATAAAACACGTTTTTTATTTTATTGCATAGAAAATTAAATCCAAACTTCATGTTATGGAAAATTTGGAATTATCAATTCTCTCAATGTCTTTAGTCACCACCTCATGTTTTCATTTATGGTTTTATAATTTACGACATAGGATATAGTTGAAATCGCAGAAAATGTCCGCTGCAAACTTTGTTGCATGAGGGAAAAATTAAGGCATAGAATAGGTATAAATGGTGTTAAGTTGTTTCAGTCGGATATGAAAGGTCAAAATGGTAGAAGAGGAATTAAAACGATTATGAATGGATTATAGGTGAAGAGTACACCGGGACTTTGAAGGTGTTGAGTTTTAATGACGTTTCGGGATGTTTTTCACAAAATATGGTAGATATTCAAAGGGTTTCAAATTGGTTGATCTCCCAGCGTTTATATTTTTCTTCGGACCTTCGCACCTATAAATAGAAAAATTATTTGCCAAAGTTCGTGGAATGATGATCCATTAGTTGTTTTATTATTTTCAGGAGAATTGCTATTTTGTTCAAAATAAATTTCTATATATTGTATTAAAAACTTGCAGGCAGTTCTGATTCAAATTTTCTAAATTTTTTATTTACAATGGCTGAAATAGCTGAATTAATGGAATATGAAGAAGGAAGCAAAGAAAAAAAGCGTTTCGAGGTTCCCTTTCTCAAAATTTCTCCAGTTGTCTTTTCTAATTAACTTTTATGAGTGAAATAGATCGTGTTGTGAAATAAACTATGTTTATCTTCATAAGGATGTTTTTATACGCCTTTTTTATTGGAAAAATTTAACTTGTATCGCATGGTAGTACACTGGTCATATGTTACTCAAGCTAGGAGCATACGGCATGGGTTCGTGGTAGTTATTACTCCTTGGTTGGAATAAAATTTTCATCGACTGATAGTAGATTTAATTATGGAGACCTAACTATGCATCGTTCCTCCAGATGATGGATGTTATGGTCATTTAAACATCTAACCTTAGTTTTAAGTGGGGCTAAGGTAGAAGTGGTGAGGCGCAATATAATTTTTTTCATAAGGAATACATATAATATCGAAAGCATATGGAATGAAAAACGGGAATTTTTCGGAGGTTTTTGGATTTACTTTTAGAGCATCTAATCTAGCAGATTGTATTATTATTATTTTTTCATTATTTTTAGGTAAAAAAATGGAATGCAGTAGCATTATGGGCGTGGGATATAGTTGTTGATAATTGTGCTATTTGTCGAAATCATATAATGGATCTGTGCATCGAATGTCAAGCTAATCAAGTAAATTTTTACTGAAAATCTTTTTATGTGATTTTTTAGTTATTGAAATAAGAATATTGATGCACTTAAGGATGATATTTGGCTGTTTAGTTAGGTCCAGTTTCGTTTGAATTATGGGTTATGGGTTTGAGTTCTCCATTTTGGAGCAACATTTTTTTTTAAATCCGTTTTGTCTGAAATCCCCTCTTTATTACCATACTTTTACTTACCAATATTAAACAGCCAAACTGATTTTCTGCCATTAATTTTTTATTATCGGGTTTCTCTTATTTCTACTCAGTTAAAGAGGTTGATTCAGGGCATTTTGTTAATGGAGAGATTTTTGCTTAATTTTTTCCAAAAAATCTTATTTCTATGATTTCTGTGATATAATCTTTTTTCGCTTAGATGAATCTTTTTTAAAATCATTTTGATTTTCAAAACCGTTTATATGTATTTTAATTAACGAAATCGATGATTATTTAAAACATTTTCAGACTTGTGAAAATTGAATTTATCTGGTCCTTCGATAGATTCGTTAAATCTTTCGTTTTCATTTTTTATTGGTCTTTTAGGTGTTAATAAATGTACGTTTCAGGCAGCTCCTACTACAGAAGAATGCACAGTAGCTTGGGGCGTATGCAACCATGCATTTCACTTCCACTGCATTTCAAGATGGTTAAAAACGCGGCAAGTATGTCCTTTGGATAATCGTGAATGGGAATTTCAGAAGTACGGTCATTAAATCTTAAATTATGAATATTTATGTATTTTCTGGTGAAGTGCCGTATACTGTGCAAAAAGTTTAATGTCCTGGCATTTTACTGACTTCTGTGAATAATTTCTTTTTTTTGTAAAATGAATTATATATTTTCAATGCCTTTTTCTACCTGTTAAAAAGCTTATTACATCTTTTTAAATTTTAAATACATTTTCAATGTAGTAGGTAAAATGTAGGAAAACTTTAAAATTTATGAAAGATCATACAAATAAATATCATGCATTGAAGATTTTTTCGACTTCTGCGTCTGCTTTTTTATTTTATTGTTTTTTTTGTATTGTAGATTATAATAAAATTGAGTTTTAGAAAGCTATAATGAAATAAAATAATTCTTGTAATGTATCAGATGAAAATTGTTCTGTTTTAGGGAATACAATTACGCCATTGATAGAATATTTTTTGTATCATATTTTAAATGGTTTCGATTAAAAAAATAAAATTCTTTTTTCCTTCGCTACAAATTAGCCATTCTTTGCAAAAATTTCAAATCAAAAATGATAGATAAGTTTTTAGCGTTTTATTTGGCTTATTTATTCTGACCGAAAAATAACCGTTTTATTTTATTATGATGACCATCGCTAACGGTAAATTCAAAATTTTTGTGAAAATAAAAATTGATTTGGAAAAATCTTGATTCAACAAGAAAAGTATAGTTGCATTCATTTTATGTGTTTTGTAACAAGAAAGATTTGATCTCGTTTTTTTAAAATTTTTTTCTACGATCAACATCTGCAACTTTACCGTTTTTGTGATGCATACTAGTTTTGCGTTACACTTCTCTAATATAAATAGAATCTGATTTGAAATTTCGAAAATTTCCAACATCACTTGCGAATTGTTTCATCAGATAAGAGGATTCTAAATCTAAAACGCTTTTAAAAAGGAGTTTCTGAAATTGAAATTAAATTGTTGCTAAATTTTCGCAATTGTAAAACGGACGAAACATATTATAGTCCAGAATATTGCAGGAGTTAGCATTTTTGTTAAGATAGAGAAGAGCCCGAATTCATAATGCCTTCTTCAAGATGGAAGAGAGACTCTGCGACTCGGTGCACTGTTTACATTTTGCTGTAAGTTATTGTTTGGGGAGAGGTGGTGGAGGAGGAGGGGAAGGAGGAGAAGGAGGAGGAGGAGGGATCGATAATTGCATTGGTTGATCGTAATTTTTTTGCAGAATTTAAAAGTAACTATTGTATCGAAACATTTGAGTTCAATAAATTTTAATGTAAAAGCAAATAACTGAATAAATTTTTGTAGCATTTCTTAAGAAAATTTTTAACTTCTTGACTATTTAAAAACATTGAAAATTTTGAAAACCCGTTTTGGTGTCGAGTTTTCTGTCCCACTGGCATAGAAAATAACCGTCATTATACGAAAATCACTCTTTGTGTGGGCTGGGCCAGTCTTTTCTGTTCTTCCCATCATCAAATTCGAACGACTAAAATAAACTGATTGACTTTTTCGTTGTTATCTACTGGAATATTTTTATTAGAATATTGTTGGTTATCATTATCATTGAATTCTATATTAGATAATTTTGACCATAATGAATGCTGCAATAACTTTTACACAGACTGCGGCAATTACAATCTTATTGACTACGATGGCTATTGTTCGTTCACAAAGTAGCTTTTTTTCTTTTTTTTTCAAGGTCTTATTTTTATAAAATAACTGTTTTTTTTTAATTTTTCGATTTCTTAAAAATGAATCTAATAAAAATTTCATTTTGTGGTTAGTTGAGCACAAAATTTTTATCTTATTTATTCGACGTAAAAAAAAAGGTTTAAATTCAATTTTTAACAATTAAAATAATAAATTGTTTTATAATAATAAATTAATAATAATATTAATAATAAAAAAGAATAAAGAATAAATTTCATTTTAATTTAAAACTAAAGATTTATGAATAGAAAAAATAAAATTTTCATTTATTCAATTAAATTTCTCAAGAAAAATCTTTGCAGTTTTGTAGCCAGCGGCGAAGCTAGCCTAACCAGTAATGGTAGTGCGGAGTTGTTTAGAAGACGGAGAATTGCTCGAAATCATTTCAGTTTCGATGAAGAATTAAAATTCTTCACCACCCTAGATTTTTTGTTTGTTTTTATGCATATTAATCAGAGTTGTTAAATTATTTGAGGAAATCAGCATACAGTGATCGCAGATCTTGGTAAACTGATTGTTGACAATTGTCCACCGATGCTTTGTACGGGCCTTGATTGCGCAGTTGTTACGGAAAGGAATGGTTGTCAGGTAATTTCATATTTCTTTATTCCTAAGTTATTTTTTTATAATGGTTTTTTTTTAAGAGTCCTCACCATTACTGGTTAAACTCGCTCCACTGGCCTATCGCATTAGGCAATATGCCAGGGAGTCCCTTGGCGATAGGAATACAGGTGAGTCGCCAGCATCACCCGGATATTTTTGTACAGGTTTACTCCTGCGGGGAATCGAACCTCAGCATCGGCGCTCCCAATTGAGCAACAACCCATTGAGCCATTCTATTCGCTATTTATTATGGCATATATTTAAAGCGTTCGTATTTCTATCAACTTATTTTCACTGTTCTTATTTTTCATCAAAATAAATAATATTGCATCAAAATTGTTGCTCTGCTAATTTGCGATTTAGAAATGAATTGTTTTTCTAACCACTAATTAAGCTCACTGCTGTGGAACTTGTCGGATCACAAAAACTTTGCTATAAACAAATATTTGATCATAGAAGTAGAGAATGAGTCGCCAGGATTATCCAAAATTTCACAAGAGATTTACGCATCCTAGAAGCTCATCATCATCTTTAGAAAGGTTTTGACCAAAAATATTCTTTATGGAAAAGATAAGCGAATAAGTAAATACGAAATAAAAGATGAAAATCAGTTGAATCACTTGTAAAATCATTAGCAGACTGCTTCAGTAATAATCTCCCAAATGCATTGCGCGATCGGCCAAATATGTAAAGCAAATGTCTAAATTTGTAGTTCTTCTCGTACTAAGCAGGATTGCTATCACAGTAACAACATTCTAGATGAATTCCTATAATATCATCTTCCAATAGCTCTCACCATTACTGGTTAAGCTGGTTCCGCTGGCTACAAGGTTAAGAGATCTCCAAACTTTTCGTCGATCCGACGCCATCGCTAGTGGTAATAGAATCCATTCCTTTTTCCATCGTTTATGTCCATATATCGCTGCTCTCTCTACACGTTCATAATCTTTCCTGATTGTATCAGTCCAGATCTTGATTGGCTTTTTATGCCAACCATCATAGGGTTCGGCAAGTAGCGAAATATGCGTCAAATTCTGTTGTGAATGACGGAGAACGTATCCTAATTAGCGAAGGCAATGCTCAGTGATTACATTATTAATACAGGTGATATTTGAGCTAAGATGGATACAATCATGTGGGGTTTTATCCGCTCGACGGATCCGCAATATCATTTGTATTATCTATTTTACATTTACATTTTTTTATTATGACTTAAATATCATTCCGTTTTTGCCATTCATTTTTCATCTCTAATTAAATTCTTGTTTATTGGTGTTGTCGTTTAAAATGGTCTTCGAAAAAGCTTATTTTCATAGCAAAAAATTCTTTCTTCTGGCCAGTATTCATACTGTTTTTTTAATTATTTACGCTTTTATTTTTATGAATTTGTTTTTATTTTAATTTACTTATTAATGATAAATTATCATTTCTTGTGTTGGAACCGCTTTCTTATTTAAGCGAATAATCATCATAATCCGGTGCTTTCTGTGTATGCATGCATGGATGTGTAAAGATATGTGTGTACATGTGTATGTATGCGTGGGTGATGTGTGTGCTTGTAGATGTGATTTTAAAAGTTTCTGGACGTAATTTATTTCTTGCTGGTTTTTCCCATTTACTTATATTCTCTTCATAAAGATTTCGGTTTATCATAGATTTGTACTTGCTTAATCGAGTTCGAGCCAGTTTATCAGAGTAGTCGAAAGCCATGAAAGATGAATCGCTGTCGTTGATCAATCTCTCACGTTTTGATCGTCAATAGTTGCTCATATTTTGCTCATCACAAAATTGTGCAGATTTTTTTCTTCGTGCGCAAAATCTTATTAATTTGTAGCAAAATTTATTAGAGTTTTTAATCTTCTCACTAGCATTTTATCCGCTATTTTCACTATTTATGCCAAATTTATTTTCGACTGATCTGTTTTCATTTTCTATGTTTGCGCAGTGATATTTGGCACTTCTTCGATCTTATTTCATAGAGTTTGTACGAAGCAAATGCCAAATGTTGCATTCATTTTTTCTTTTCTTTCGTTCTCGTCTTTTCATTTTTTCTGTCGTTCATGGTTCATGCATTCTTCACTTTTTTTTAAATACTTTCATGCTAATTTCTTATCAATATTCGCATCCTATTTGTTCCTATCATTACCTCACATCTCTTCTTATCTGCGAATCTCAATGATATAATCATTTATTGTGTTGCATCTCTCATTGGCGTTTCATTTTGTATAATACTATTAATAATAAATAATAATAATAATAGTAATAATAATAGTAATAAATAATAAGTAAATTCGGTACCATATCATATAAGATGAAAATATTTGGTGAGAATTGGCTATATTTCAATTATATTCGTTGAATTTTATAAATTAGTTTTTTGTCTTTTTTTAAAATTTTGGTTGGTATGCCTATTGTCAATTTAAAATTGTTTCGAACAGCGGAACGATATTCATATGTTGTGTAATCTAAAATATTGTAAATTACAAGCATTAGTTGGAAGTTGTCTGAGAAACCTGTTGATTAGTTAATTCATAATCTAAAGATCTATTTTCATTGCAATTTAATCGAAATTTTATTTTTTCTTGACGATTATTTTTACAATTATTTTTTATGCATGAAAAATGTCTTGTCATCTTTAATTTTTCTTCTAATAGCACCGTGGTTTGTTCACTAAATGCAAAGAATAAGACTGTTTCGAGATTGATTCTAGCGATTCTAATGATGGTATATCTGATTATCTGAGCAATGTTATTCTTATTTCGACAATCTAACTATCGTTGGATCATTTCGTCCAGAACCTCTCCTAATCGTATCAGTTCATATCATGACTCGTTCAGTTTTTTTATGCTTACACACTTTTTATGCTATCTATCACAAGTTTTAGCGAGATTTGTATCAATTCCTGTGTTGAGAGTCGAAGAACAATGATCTAAGCTGGGCATGTGAATGTGAGGCTTTGCGACGACATTATTAACGCAGATGATATCAGAGCAAAGATGCATTTGACATTCTCGGTCCAATATATCTTAGGCAGGAATGGTTAAATGTAGACAGCTTTTAAATACCTTTCATTCTCACTAACCAAGTTTTTTTAGCTGTTTAGTAACACTGAGCGTCCTGCAACCAAGCAGGTGGTAATCTTTGTTTTCTCGCTGATTTCATAGTGACTCTTGTGGATGGATGGTGGAGAAAGAATTTATAGTTGCAGCTGCACTGGCTAGAATTTCTCTTTGATATAAAAATTGATAAAATTGATAAATTGATATTTAAAAACTTCAGTCTGTAACACATTTATGAATACAGAATACTTACCAATGTATGCTTTACCAATGTATATAAAATGGAAAGGGTTTTCGTCGTATCTTTTTTATGTGGAGTTGGATTTTCGCTACAGTTATCGATACACGATCTGGTATCGATTACATCATCAACGTTTTAAGGTCCGTTGTATCCGTTGATGGTCTGTATTGATTTATACATCTCTTGACTTCATAATCTATTCTAATGGAATATTGTAGGGAGAAAATGCAGTCTTGGAGTACGCAAGTTTTTATTTTGAAAGAATGTCTCTAATCACCATATATGCATATTTTCGTTGCTGCTGACACTGATAAAATGTCATAATCAGTCGAATAAAACACCATCGCATTGCAGGACCCTCCACAGTACGTTGCCATTAAATCGAAGACAACAGAAAAATCAAAAAACAAGGTAGCGATGAGTATTTATTTAACACGATGTTCCAGCGTATTTTTTAGCGTGAATTGCCAGAGCATCTGTGGCCTGATCTAAATCTATATCGATTCGGGTGTACAGGGTGCACTAAAAGTTTTCTACAAGCAGACGGGAGGCAAAAAATTTTCCCACATCCATCATGAGGCTTCGATTCGACGCTGTGTCTGAAAGCAACACAACCCTCCATTTATTTGTCTGAGCCCACTGAGCTGCTTGTTTGTTCGAATCTTTTCTGACCATATGAATTTTGATTGGGTTTTTGATGTCATCCATCTCAAAGAACTCTCTCCGTCTTGAGAGAGTTGGAGAACAGAATGGCTCAATATGTCGTTGCTCAAACCGGAGCACCTATGCTAGGCTCTACTCCCCGCAAGAACAAATCTGTCCAGAAATCAGTGTGGCGCTGGCGACTCACTTGTACTTCTATTGCCAAAGGACTCCCTGGCATATTTGTCCACTGCGGCAACCCAGCGAATCTAACTAGTAATGGTGAGAAATCCGTTAGTGTTAGAGGAAATCTGAAAACCTTAACTTTTCCAAATCATTGCATTGTTCATCTTTATGGTTTAGTGAGGAAGGCGAAATAATTTTTGATTATTACCTTCTCGAACAACTGCCTCCATAGCCGCTTCAGTATCGGTTTTCTCTTGCCAATCTGTTGTTTAATCTCTTGATCTGCAAGCTTTAGCAACCTTTTCTTACAATTCAGCTGTTTCTTCCGAAAGCCAATTTGCTCATTTCCCAGTAGCGTGTTCCTAGCACAATGTGGGGCTAAACAACTTTTGGAGGCTTTGAAGAAATTTCATTGAGACTTTGATGTTTAAATTATTATGGTGTTTCGACTATTCGACTCGAATCTTATTGTCTCCATCTGAATCGTTAAATTTAAGGTAGTTAAAAAAATTTATGCTGTTTTTTCAACGTTAGTCAGCGTAATCAGTGAATGTTGGTTGGAAATGGGCTGATCCATGAAGGTTGCTGGTTTCAACGCTGCGAATGGTTGTCTAGTGCTGAACACTTCTAGCGTGAATGACCTTGAATTTTACTTGTTTTAAGTGCTGATTATCGATGAGAGCTGAAAGCATATATTGGTGGCAGAAAGACAATGTTCTTGGCAAAATGAAGTGAACTTTTTATTGCTATACTAACGTCGTGCCTTCGAACTGCAAAACTTAATCTGGTAGCACCTAATCCCTCGTCGCATTCTGAGATTCTGTTAGCATATCTAACACATTTCGAAAATCTCTCTCTCTAATACGGATTACTTTCATATTTCTATACATTTATGCATCTACCTACAGATCAACCTTTGTCTTATGCCGTTGTAAAATTTCGCATCGAATTTTTCTTTATCTGAAGATTAATACAATTTATAAATTATAAATTTAACATTAAAATGACAATTTATAAATTAATCTCTTCATGAGAATAGAAATGAAAGTGAGTTTAAAATTCTGACCCTTCTAACAACACGCATAATATTTTGATCTGGTTGGATCTGTTTACTCTGGTCTGAGATCTTTTCCATTGAGAATATATTTTTGCTCCAGTATCCAACCAATTCAACACGATGAAAATACCCTCCCTGTAAAGGAAATGTATGCATGCGCTATCTATCTACAGATTACTGAAATCACTGAACCACTATCTCCCTCATTACAATAATTGCAACAGTACTTTCTGTAACGATCGAAACAGAGTCATATTATTCATTGCAAACTACTTCTTCTTACTGGAAAAAAATGGATTTTAAAAATTTATTGTCGAAATATTGGTAATATCAACATTCCTTGTATTTCAGAATTTCTCACTCACAAGCCGCTTTTTAAAATAGTTTAATCAAATCTTGAAATAAAAACATGACACGATGAAAATTGCTTCAGGCAAAACTGATTTGTTCGACCGGTTTAGAAGTATAAAATAGTCACCATAGGTGAATATTTTGAATATTTAAATTCAACTAAGCAATTTATCCTTTTCTTTCAATCATTAAATCATTAAATTAAAAATATAAATTTTATATAAATTTAATGTATAAATTAAATATAAACTATAAATTGTTTCCCGGTTTTGAAATGAAATAACTCGATTAAAACACATTAAAACTCGTATGTCATTTCGACTAAAGAAGAAACAAATAAGGGTTCGATTTCGATTTGCCCCATTATAGAAGATAACTCGTCGGTAAGCACATGATCCGGGTGGCTGCTGTGGAACCATCTATGCTTTTACCCTTAAGCATTTCAGTGGGAAAGAAGTTTCACATTGAGTAGTGACTAGTGAAGTCAGCCAAAGCAGAAATGGTTTTTGCTGTTAGAAGATAGAAATATTACATTCTTCTTTTTATTGTTAGTGAAAAAAATACTTGATTAATTTGCATGCGAAAAAAAAAGAAAACTTAGAAAAACATTGAAAAACCTTTGATTTCAATATCAAATCTTGACATATTTTCTGCAAAACCTCCTCAGATGCCGATTTATGCATACTTCTCTAATGCATCTAAAGATTCGCTACACAGTTCGCAATCCTTCAGGTCATCTAATCAACCGGCTTAAGTCCTTCACCATTGCCTGTCGCCACTGTCTTCCACTAATATTTCGCCATATCCTGCAGTGCGCATTTGTGGTGCGAGTATCCGTATATTATAAAATATAATATTTGATGTTGTATTTAGGGATGACAGGAAGTGGAGGGGGGGTGTGGGGGGTTGTATATTAAAGGATTATAACGAGAATTGAAGATCGGAAGTGTTTTTTAACTGCGAAATAATGAACATTTAGTGAAAAACAATATAGCAAAATTCGAAAAGGACTTCAAGGACTTCAACATAACAAATTTAGAAAGGATACCGTATGATTTGCAAGCGGGTTTAAAGACAATTCCCTTCTGTTCTCAGAATCGTTGATAGGTCCTTTCGCTATTCAAGATTCAAGAAAATTTCCACTAAATTAGCTTCAAGAAGAAAATTTTCCCCGTCGTTTCTTTGTCAAGTTTTTCTTTCAAAATGCCGATTTTCTTATTAATTCGATGCAATTCAACTAATTTAATAATCTTTTTTTTAAAATTTTATTTTAAGCAATAAAATAAAATTATCATTTTCCATTTCTCTAAACATTAACGATTAACGAATTCCATTCATTTATATTGCAATTTTTTTTTCCTTAAATAAAAATTGCTATTTCATCATAAATAAAATTTTTAAATGAATGTGTTGAAAAAATTGCACAATAAATTTTTATTTTAATTTATTATCTTTAATGTGAATAAGAAATTACGCTTTAAATATTTTAATATTTGCGAAATCGTATCCGCGTGGAACGTCAGAATGCCTGAGGATATTTTGCGAAGGAAATACATTCGATAATCATCCACACTTGTCAAGAAAATATTTTTTGTAATTTAAACCTTGTATAATTTTCAAATAAGCGCATAAATTTCTTTGGATCTATCTTTACTGAAAAAAATTGTTATCATATAGAGATATGCTGGAATCCTTAGCAAATACAAGAACCTCGCTATTAATGAGTGGTTTGCTCGCACCAAGAGACGGTAATTAAAGAGTTTTCCCCTACATTTAGCATTACACTGCTGACTTGGCAAACCAGATAATAGAATATATTAAATTCCATTATTTTTTAGTCATTTTAGCTTTGTGCATGTCCTATTGGTTCACCAGCTCGAGGATGTGATCCAATGCCGTTTATACTTTGGCATGACCTTATCGTTAATGGTTGCCCAAATGTGACAATCAATACGCGTGATCCAGCACAAAAAGTACATCGATGGTTTAGAAGGGTATTTTCAAAAATATTTTTGATCCACTGCAGAATCTTTTAAGCTAAATGATTTATTGTATTTCGATTTTCAACTGAAAACAAAAATATACTTTTGAATTTTCAGGAGACAACAATTTTGACAATGCAAATGACTGATTTCAGGTGAATCGCTTTTCAAATACAGATCAATGTGAACCATATGTATTCCCATATTGTCCAGAACTTGACTTTAATCTGTGGCGATCCCCAAAAACAAAACAGGAATGTGAAAATTATTGTTATTCACTATCCGAACAGCGGAAACGAGGAACTATTATATCTTAAAAATTTTCGCTAATTTTTAGTTGATTTATCATTTTTAATTTGGTTGTAAACAGTCAAAAATAACCTTTTCGTATCTTGAATTGATTCTTTATTACTTTATTATTCTAGCCACAAGAAAGATCATTTGCAAAAAATAATAAGACTATAATATGAAGCTGAAATCGCATTAATCAAAATAAGCATAAGCATTATCTCATAAACTTATTATTTAAAGAAACAATAACCTTATTTGTTAAAAAAATATATATATATTAAATAAAATGCAAAATAATGAAGCCGAAATATTTCTTTTTCATCAAACATTAGAGAAATAATTATCTGCTCTCCTCTTCAACATTAATATTACATTCCTCAAGTATTTGGTGTTCGAGCTGTTTCTTTGAATGAAAAACAGCCCAAAAGGCAACAATTTTGTCGCAAAAAAATTATTTTTTAATGGCTAAAAAACCTCAGCAAGCGTTGAAATCTTATTAAATTCACTTTGAGCGCGGGCCAGAGGAGCGAAAAGTTTCGTTTATGCCATTCTCTGCAAATTGGTTCGATAGATTTCTTATATTTTCTCATATCTAATATCAATAATCAAAAATTTTTGGACCAAATGAAAATTAACGTTCAGCTATCAATTAAGGAAGTGAATGTGTTGAATTAATATATGGACTTAGGCAAAACAAATAAGTGAAAATCAAACATCAAACTAAACTTGCCTATCATATTCAGCAAGACTATTATATCTTTCATCAATAAAACTTTTGTAAAACTCGGAAAGATCGTCGTTATGAACAATGCAACTTTCTCGCTTTTTCTGAACAATTATTGTTACAATTCAACGATCCATTCAATGCAATTTATTTTAAAAACATTTGACAAAACAGAAATTTTAATTATAAGTTCGCCTGGCTGCTACAAACTCGCTTCTTCTATCTTTAAGTTTTCTATTTTCATCCTTAAGTGATTGTTTAGCGTAATCGACTCATTTTAACGCAAGCCAAGAATGGTGACTGTTCTTACAGGAAGAATTAAAGATATTAATTCATCCTCAATTTAAACCTTTTCAACGAATTCCCGCCTTTTTCTTTCATAGAGTGCATTATGATCACACCAAAACCTGCAGTTCCAATCATTTAAATCCTCAAGGGCTTCTCGGTAAGCTAGTTCTGTTACCGTTTCACCTTGGATTCTTCGCAATCTAAAATTTTCGAATCAACATGATGTCAACATTTAGTAGACAATCTATTCTAAATTAAGAATACACATTTTTCTTCCATATCAAAATTTTGATTCTATAATTCTATAATTCAACCAATAGAAATTGCAAATTTTTAAAATTTACGCTTTAAAATAAATGGGAATGAGGAAATTACTTTATAGGTCTTATCCTTGACAATTTATGAGGCGGACCAACCCAATCAAAACGTCGATCGAGGCGCACATTCTTCCAACCGCCAATTTCATTCGACAAGCTATCATTATTTTCCATATAAATTCAGTAGTACTAAATATTCATATAACTAAAACGAATTAAAGATAATCATGCACAAAATGAGTGAGGATCAGTAATTATTGAGCCTTATGTTGCTTCGAATGATGGCAAATAACATGGATTCAATCTGGGTCTCCTGGCAGTGAATTAAAAGTGGAATACTAGTGGCTACTATGTACCAAGCTAATATCTCTATCTCCAATTAATTCTCCGACAAAAGAAATTCACCTAGACGTTTTGCTCTAAAAGTCAGTAAATCCAGCTAAACCAGAAATGGTGAATTAAAAGGAAAAAAATGAAAGATGAAAATAAGAAAAATAACACCGATAAAAACGAACTATTCAGACAAATACAGTCAAAAAATTTAAAAACAATGTGGGATATAAAAAGCAAAAACAATTTATTCAACAATTTATTCAGCAAACAAAAATGGAAATGAAACAAAGCGGATCATAGTAACTTCTAATGGTGATCCATTTGTGAGTTAATCTGCCTTCGCAGCAACTCGAACATATACTCATATTCTTGCAAATTATGACTGCAAAAACATTAACAAAAAATATCAATTTTGCAAAATCTAATCAGATTTTAAATTGAGCAACAATTACATTAGAAGGATAAAACAAAAAAATTTCAAAATATAAAATTTTCTGTAAGTAGAAAAAAAACTCACATTACCAATAAAATGGGAGCAATTAACTCTTTGCTATTTACCAGGTGATGCAAATATCCTTTCGTATAATTGGAGCAAGTATAACAACGACAATCATCATACAAAGGCGAAAAATCATTGCACAAGCTAAAATGAAACTATAAAATCCGATTAACATCCGAAATCCGAAAATTTCGTTGAAAAAATATTATGGACTGAAATACATCGAAACAACGGCAAACCTGCGGTTAAAAAGGAACTCTTAAGGAAGGTTATAGAATTACATTTATATTCCACTGAAAGGATCTCAATTCAATGGCTAAAGAAGCTAGTCAAACGAAAAATAGTGAGTATAGAAGAAGAAGAATAAGTGCGATTCAATACCACTTTTCATTAAAGTCGATAGTGGAAAACATTGGATCGTCGGGGAAATCTTTACTTAATCGAAATGATTTGCCACTTTCAGCAAGATAAACAGCAAATGATGAATCGAAAAGGTCAATGCCACATTTCACAAGACAGGCGACTTGTAAAGGTGAAAAGGCACCTGTTACAATCCTTAAAAGTTCTGGATTGGTTTCTTGCTGAAAATTGTTAATTTCTTCTTAGGGAAAATTTCGCATGACAAATTCAAATGAAAACTAAAACTCAAACTTTTACCAGAGTATGTGAAAGTATTTCTTGCACTTCATTCTCGCTAAAATGATTAGATTCTGTAATTTTTTCACTGTTGTTAAATTTCTGTTCCTTATTAAATATTTCTGTTGCCTTATCATTTTCCTCATTCGCTCTTCTTTTCCGATTCAACAATTTTTTTTTTCCGACGGGATGACAAGCAAATTCATATAGATCAATATGAACAGCGTGACCATGCGGTAATGATCCAATTTCTTGGGCAAATCTTCCTCTATGATACGTGCTAAATCCTCCACCCAGCGACAAAACTGCGACTCCCTCAAAGATTGACAGATACACATAAAAAATTATGGAACTCACAGATCAGAACAAGGATAATATATACTGCCACTGATATGTCTTATTCCATAGCTAAATCAGTGTGCAAGATAATATGATCAGTCACAAAAAATGCAAAAAGAACCTTCGAAGAATCGAGATCATTGAATATTGCCTTGCAGAAATCATTTGTCCGCTCCAGAGACTTCGATAAACGTTTATTTAGAGATGATCTAGGCGTATCGTAGTCAAAAAGTGTTTCGTATGTAGAAATTTTACTACAGGCGACAACATCCATTAATGCTTTCACATTTAACTAAAAATTACATTTCGAAATGTAAAAAAAAAAACGAATGAATTTACCAAACTTTATTTGATTAAAGAATTGCAAAAGGAACTGAAAATAATCCCTTAAGAAATGAAGTAAAATGCAACATTCAACTTGCCAGGATTTATAAAAAATGAAAAACCTTTTCGCCCAATGCTAAAAAATTAAAAAAAAAACTTTTTCTACATTACTAGGGTAAAAATGATTCAAACCGCGATTCTTCCACCTTTTGTCCATATAGATATCGATTTCGAATTATTGAATCCATTTTCTCTGACATCTAAAGGGTCGAAAAGTGACAAATGAGTAGCAGCACCTTCCTGAAATATTTCGCGATCACTAGTTTCGCTTTTAATGACATATTTATCTTGTCAGAAATAAACCCACACTGCTTTCTATCAGCCGAAGCAACATAATAGTTTGAACAACTCTATGTAATTCGATTTTGCGGATGAAGTTATCATTACTAAGAGCCTAACCAATAAGAGAAAACGAAGAATTTTCAAAATTTTCTGAATTTGAAAATGATAATTAAGACCAACAAAGTTTCAGAAAAATGCAAGCGAAAACTAACTGGCATAGAACAGAAATGAGCAAATCCTTGGTTGAATTTTTGTAAAATTGGTAGCGACTGGAAACTGAAATGAAAAAATCAGTTCAATCAGTGACAACCATAAAAACATCGACCACATCGATAAGATTTAACTTTGCTTTTTTTCTCGTTCATTTCTAATTATATTTAATGAATTTCGCGTCAAAAGATAATAAATAGAATGCTTCTTCAAACATATTGTATTGTATTGTACTGCATGAGTAATGCACAGATTTCTAAATGAGTGCCAGAAGCAAATGTCCTTCTTTCTCTAATTATGATCCAAATTTTGCAGATATCACCCGCACAATCTATAAATCTTATTTGTAAATAAAAAAAAACTAACAAAGTTGGTAAAGTTATCTGAAAAATTGGACGTTGCATAAATTTTATCCATTTATTAACGACATCCCATGACAAATGCGGAATATGACCAGCTCGGGTATAAATCATACATGATGGAGTCGCATGATCGATTTCAACATCGCCCCACAATTTCAGTCTTCCGACTCGTCCAAATGAATTGCACTTCTCAATATGAAATCTAACCATTGCTGAACAATTTTTAACTTTAATTGTAGTAACCACATAAATAAAATAATAGGAAATAATAGATAAAATAGATATTTGCATCCCAAAAGATTAATTTTCCAGTAAATTCAATAAATATCTGAGAATTTCATAAATAAATTTATTCAAGTTATAATACTTAACCGCATTTGTAATTTTAAAATACCTTCAAAGAAATTTCTACATCAAGATATCAAAATAATTTCTCCAAAAACTAATAATTATGCAAAAGAAACTCTTTTTTGAATCATTTAGCTCAAAAATTTCTTCCTTTCCCTTTAGAATATTTTTTATATCTTTCAATATCTCTATATTTTTGAAAGCAAGAAACTGTTATAAAAAAATGTTTTCAAGCAAAAACCTCATTCTATAGCTAAACATGCGAAAGATGAATTTTCCAACTACAAAAGAAATTTTGAGTCTCTCCTTCATAATTTAATTGCTGCTATTACTTTGAAATAAAATGAAGTGAATATAAACATATAAAAGCAAAAGAGAATCAAAAAAATATCAAAGTTTAATTGCCATGAAATATTTTTTGAAATATAGATTTGAAAGTTTCATCATTTACGTTACATTCCATCGAGGGCGGAAGAGGAAGTGTGAACTTCGCCATCGACTCTTTGATTTTTGCTATATTTTCTAAAAAAAAAATTTAAAAATCTACAAGAGAATAACCTATAAAAGAATCTGTAAGAGAATACTTGAATACTTGAAAAATTTCTCTTGACCTGATTTTCGTGGAGAAGATATCGCTAGAACCACCATAGACCTAATTCTCCCACTTTATATCTGGTTGAGAATAAAAAGAAAAAGAAAATTGATTGGTATTTGGGAATTCTTCTATATCTTAGCGTGATTATGTAGGAAAAAAGAGTGATCAACGAAACCAGAACTGCGCTTTGTTAGAAGAAAATTTGCGTTTGTAAAGAAAGAAAATTTCATCATTTGATTCAGTGCAGTAAAAAGCGAATAAAAACAAACCATCAGTTAGATCAATTGGATTAGGCTTGTATTCGAAATGAAATTCGTTATCTCTTCGCCTCGTATGAGAAAAATGATCCTGCAGCTAAAAAAAATTACCTTAGATTTTTTACCACGCATTTAAGTAGCTTAGGAGCTTAAGTGAGGAATGGTCAAGCAACTTATTCATTTAACTAAGGCAAGAATCAAACATGCTCCTTGAAGGGAATTGATCTGTCATTAAAAATGAAATCAGAGTAATATCTCCTTTATGTTTGACTCCTCTGCCTTTATGTTTAAGTGATTCACTGGCAAAAGAGTCTGATTCTCAAAGTAAATGGATCCAGCCAAATCTGAGAGCCTGTTATTGGGAAAAATAAAACTAAGCTGAAAATATACTAGGCTTTTGTAGAAATATGACCATATAAAGCAAATCTAAGTCGGCATTACGTCAAAGTATTCGTGATAAAGAATTGGATATAAGATTAAAAGACTTTTCTGAATTTCAAATAATTCTAATCTACCAGGATTTAAACATTTAATACATTTCAAGAAAAACATTTACCAATGCGTCATATTCCCGTTTTATAAAATTAAGACCAGATTGATAGAATGTTTCATCCACAGAAGGTGAAACAAAATAATCCGAATCAGGAGGTGAATCTGGTAATGGTTGATAACCGCGCCTTCTTATTTCATTTTCGAAGCCATTTTCTAGTTCCGATGCACTCATCTCCTCTAAAATACACTCATTTCTATATTATTATCAGTTAGCCATTTGTAATTTAAGAATTTTCAAATTAATATGTCTCATTCCCATAGAATAAAAAGAAAATTTGGAATCTAACGCAACAAAAGATAACCCAGAAAAAAATAAAAAGTAATGAGAAACGCCAAGTCGATACCTAATGTTTTTTTTAACAGCATTCACCATTACTGGTTAGCCTTGTTCCGCTGGCTTGTCTGACTAGACAGATATATGCCAGGGATCTCTTGGCGATAGAAGTACAGGTGACTTACCAGCACCACTCGGATTTTTAGACAGGTTTACTTCTGCTAGGAATAGAATTCCAGCATCGATGCCCCGAATTGAGCAATAACCCATTTTAACCCAACAATATTAATAAAAATAAACCAGACTTCAACCAGATTCCTTAGGACAGAATTTTCGACTAAATTAAAAGAATAAATTTCACATAAAAAAATCAAAATATCAAAAAGATAATCTGAATTAGATGGCGAATGTGATAAAGATAGCTAAAAACGTCTAATCGCCTGTACAACTCCATTAGATTTGAAAAAAAAAATTAACTTGAATTATCTGATCCTTCAACATCGGTCCATCCACTATCAACATCATCATCTGAAATAATATTTTAATATTTTATAAATAATACTTTATCATATCAAACTATTTCCTATTTCATCGCATCATAATTTATCAACTGTGCACAAAATTCGGTCAAAAAATGGCGATAAATAGTTACTTCTAACACTTCATTAAGTTATTGCGAAAAAATTCCTGAACATCCCTCAGGACCCGCTTCGTTATTCGTCAAACCCCTTTGTTTTTCATTAATATTCTTCATAGCCCTGTATTTTCCTTTACTGTTCCTTTCTCTCCGCTCTTATTCTCTTTTAACAAACACTTTTATTCTCCCTTACCATTCCTCGTTTCTCCCAATTCTCCATTAGCATTCCTCAATCTTTCTTATCCACCTTTCCCATCCTTCAAACCCCCTTATTCTTCCATATCGCTCCTGGACATCTCCATTATTCCTGACTGGTCACCGGACCAAATTATAAATTGTCATCCATTAAGACTCCCCAAAAGTCAGTAAAACCCCGCAGTCCCCCTCACCGTCTTTCAAACCCCGCTAGCAAGGGATTTCGCGCAAAAAGAATGTTTAAAAATCGTTCAAATCGTAGAGATGATTAAACGAAAAAAAGATAAAAAAAACCTGATAGTTCGGAAAAATTTGCATTTCTTTCATCGCTTTCTTCATCGTTGATCTCCACTTCGCTTAAACCTTCATCGACATCACTCATTATTACTTCAATAGAAACTTTCCTTGCTCAGCTGATGTCCTGTAAAAACATGTGAGTAATACTCGCCCATGTTCGCCTCATGTAAAATTCGTTAGCTCTCTTGGTTCGGCATTCGCTCAGGAAAGTTAGGAGTTGGCTAGCACCAACCTTTTGGCTATCTCCGCTGGCTGTTGGCGCATTTAGAGAGAGGTTTTTTTTTTATCAAGGAATATCTTGAGGATATAATTGGAAGTGGTCCGCTATCACTGCGGATTTTTGATGGTAAGTTTTTCTCTGTCAGGGATAGGAGCCGAATCCTTACCTCTCAACACTTAATTAATCTTAGTTCATTAACCATTCGACTGCTTTGCATTTTCGGTAAATTTGAGGATTGGAGGAAACTTATTTGTAGGAATTTAAGTGATAATTGCCTGATATCTAATAGAAATTTAACCATTTAATGCTAAAAGAAATTTAAAATAAGAAAATAAGTTTTTTCTTCCTTAAACAGAACTCTGGCAACACTTCTTTCCTTCATGCAGCAAAAAGGAACAAAATTGTGATGTTTGAAGAGTGAAAGCAAACAAACTTGTAAATGGAATTGGCTTCTTGCTTCGAGGATATCTTTAATTATTGCTTCCACAATTCATTTAAAGATGAAATTTGTAGTGAGAAATCAGTTTTCCACAAATAAGGAAAATATTTTATATCTGCCGAGAATCGAAATTTTCTTTTGAGAAAATTCAAAATTTTAATCCTTATTAATTTCATTCAACTAATACATAGATGCATAGATTTTCCAAAAAAAAAATTTTCCACTTCTTTTTTATATTCTTTAGCAAATTGCTAAATTTGATGAATTTTAAAATTTAAATAAATTTTTTGAGAAATTTTAAAGTCCAACAAGAAGAACAAATAAAAAAATTCGTTTTCGCATAAAGAAATTTAAAATGTTTTCCAACATATTTTTAAACACTGTGTTTTTTTTTAAAATATTTTGTGGAGGAAAAAATTGCAAAAAATGCAAAATGTAACCAAAAATTGAATTCAAATAAAATTTAACCTCTTTAATACAGAAATATGCTGAATTTAATGAATTTTAAAATTTAAATAAATTTTTTTATAGATTTGAGCATCGCCTTCGCTGGTTAGGGCATATTCTCCGTCATCCACCACAGGAGTTGACGCATATTTCGTTATTTGCTAAACAGTGTGACGGTTGGCGTCAAAAGCGAGGTGGGCCAATCAACACCTGGACTGATACGGTGAGAAAAGATTTTGAACGCATAGGTGGACCAGTGATATATGGACTTAGACGATGGAAAAAGGAATGGCTTCTATTCCTGTCGACGATGGCATCAGACCGTGCGCTTGGAGGCGTCTTACCTTTGTAGCCGTTGGAACCAGTCTAGCCAGTAATGGTGAGAGCTATTAGAAGAAGAATGTGTAAATATAATCTGAAGCGATCTAACTTTGCGAATTGTAGGAAATAACTGATCATAAAACTTTACTTTAATGATTCGATTTTAACTATCACTAATACTTCTTCCCCTCACCATTTCTGCTGGTTCTATTGGTTGATAAAATAAGGCTGCTTAAACAGAATCTTATGATTCCTTATATGGATTTCAGGCAAGAATCGAAGATATGATGCTTGAATTTCATTTACAGTTTGCAATAATCGATCTTCTTGCACCAAATTCTAAACCTAAACCTTTAATTTTCATTTGGTTCTATTATAATCGCTCGTAGAATAATAATCTCCACGTAAAAGAAAAAATTTTTCGTTCAATTCTGTAATTTATTCATAAAATTGCTAAATTATTTTAAATTGTCTTGTCTTGCAATAATACTTTACTGTTAACTTTTTATTTGATAGGTAATATAAATCGCTATGAGATTCGCTTGAAATTATTTATGATCAGTGAGAAATTTTTGTTGTTCATTTATTAAATTGAAATCTCTATTTGCCAGGTCTGAAACCATCACCGCGACCAATTGCAATGTTTCTTTTTAATACTGGAAACGAAGAATATGGTACGTCGCCAACATTACGCTCATTTATCAAATTACTTAAACTGTTCCAAGCCATTTCCCTTCTATGATTCGGTTTCATCTGTAAATTTAAAAAAAAAAAGAAAAAATTTTATAAAATTTATAAATGAAATGAAATAAATGAATAAATGAAATTTTAAATAAATGAAAATTTTCAAAAAGATTGTTAAATTTACAATGAAAAAATTTTTTTAAATATTTTTGATCAATTCTCCTTAATATTCGTCTCCTCACTCTATTCTTATAAGACGTTTAATAAAGCTTATTTAAGACTAAGGAAGATATTGGAAATAAAAAAATTTGATGTTCGAAGCAACGACGCTTTTTATTGCTAATATTAATATTATTTAATTTCTATACCTCCATCTTTTCATGTATTATTCATAATTCGATAAATTATTTCGCATGCTAAGATTGCGGTTTAGCAGTTTCACTTACTAAGGTTTCTAGTTGAATGAATTATCAAAACAATAAAAAATAAAAGAGTAATATGTTTTCTATAAGTAAATCCGCTTTTTCACAAAAAAATAAATGTCGTCTATCCTTAAGAAGTTCCTTAAAAAGTTCGAAGTAGAATGACAGATAAAATGACTCTTTTAAGCAACATTCGCCTGGTCCGGCAAGCCAGCGAATTGAGCCTAATCAGGATTGATAAACACTTTTTGAAATAAATAAAATTATTAATATTGGTTTTGATAGTTTGATAATTGCTAAATTTTAGAATGGCACCACAAACATTTTAAAAAATTTATAAAGAATTGCCAGCATCATCTGGATTTTCGAAAGATAGTTTTACTGGGAGTAGAATGTCAGCATCAACATGAGAGCAATAATTCACTGAGCCATCATTCTGAACCTCCCTATTAATAATAATAATAATAATAATAATAATAATAATAATAATAATCCCAATGAATACTATAAATTGGACATCAACACGTAGTGTATTTCAATGGTAGACGACGAATATTTTAATAAATATTCCATAAATGTCCATAGTTATAAAATTTAAATTATAAAATTTATTCCTACTATTTGTTTTTGAATTATTTCAAACTTACTTACCAAAATAGGTATCAATAAAACCGATAGTTTTTGGCGTTCTGCGTTCCTCATTAATTGATCATCATAATCAAGTTCATCAACGTGGTACGACGATGGACGAACAAGATTTATAAAAACAGCCGTAAGCAAAATTGTCAACGTGATGTACAGCATATACCTTTAAGATTTTTATTTTTATGATCTTATTATGATAACTAAAGAATGAGAAATCTAGATAAAATATTTTTATAAGAATAGGAAGCAAATTTAAACGATACAAAATCTTAAAACTGGACAAGACTATCGAGGAAAAAGCTTTAAGAGCACAATAAGCAATAAATCATTGGAATAAGATCAACGTCTAATGGCTATATATACATTTTTAGAGGAAATTTATCCACCCATGTTCTTGAAAATGAATTAAGTAATATGTAAGAATAGCATTATTAGATGTTCTTAATAACCATCCCACTTAATCGTATAGGACACTTAAATTCATGGACGAATTCTAGAAACAAAAAAATCACTCGTTTATATTGTTCCTAATTGAACCGAACAATCATTTTTCGATCTTAATTTATCAAGCAAATCATGAATAAATGTGCATAAAATAAAAGACTAAAAGTAAGAATTAATTAATTTGAGTAGTTATTCTAGGTCTTATAACATCTAAAATGATAGAAAAGCTAAATGATCATTATCATTCCGAATAAATTGGAAAAGATTTTAAAGGATTTTAGAAATTTTAAGTTTTTTTTAAATATTGAAAAATTTCAGTAAAAAATGAACAAAACACTACGATTGAATACTAAAATTATGGTTCCATTAGATGATATTCAATCAAAGGAATTTTAACGATAAATGCCATCCCATTTTTATCGTTAGAATAAATTTGTTCAATTTAAGCTATTAAATTTTAGTTTTCCTTATTAAATTGCACAAAATTCATATATTAGATAACAAAATCCATGAATTATCAATTTAATACTGTAAATTCGATGCAACTTATATTGTTTTCACTTCTCACAAATGGCCTTGCTACTATTTTTTTAAACGGCAGCAATCTCTCAAAAAAAATTTAATAAATTCACGATAGGAGTAAAGCAATCTCACAAAAATTCGGAAGATTTTGGTGCCCCACTTGTACTTCTAATCGCTAAATGACTTGTTGGCAAAATTTATCTTGTTCAGTAAACATATAAACCAGCAGTGCAAACTTAACCAAAAACGGTGAGTGTAATTAGATATACACGCATATATGCGCAAATTTATAATTCCATTTCAATAATGGTCTAAGAACATGTGATAATGATAAACTTACTAGAGAACCAAGAATAGGAATTGAATAACTGAATAAAAAAGTCTGATGATAATTCTGAGATCATGACACTACAAATTGCCATTTGGATAATTCGTTATTGAGTCAAATTATCAAGCTACCCATAATTTCTCATTAAATCAGAAATATCGCTAATATAGATCCAATATACGAATTGTTCTTATTTTGTTCATATCAACGTAGAGCACATGCTTATATAGCTAAAGAGAAAATATAAAAATGAATGCTTTAAATATTGAATATTTTCACCAAAATAATCTAGTAAATAAACAAAATAACATAAAATTAGAGGAAATTTAGCATTCGTTGCTATCAGAAGGATTGATATAGGAATGCGAATAAAAACTTAAGAAGAAATTCTAGGAAGCATAGTTGATTATGGCATTTAGTACCAATGATATTAGATGATCTAGAATGAACTAACCTAATCACTGCGATAAGAGCTTTATGAATAAATTGAAATAAGAGTAAAAAATAGATATTTAAATAATTCTGCGTATTTGAAAATCCATTCATGATATCCGATAAAAATGTCGATAAGAATGTTCTTCATAAAACGACCTGTGAAAGGACATTGGATATTTCTAACATTTTTTTTTTTTGTATTATAAATAAGCTAAAATACTAAGTGTATTGTATTTATTTGTTTCCATTGTTTTCATTCATTTTTTGGAAAAATTTTTATTTAATATTCGTAGATGAGGCGAATAATGGATTTTATTTTTGTCTTTTTTCTTATTTCTTATTTAAAATAGACGAACCAAAAGATTCGAGCACCATTTGTTCAATGTTCAATTGAATATGGCGATGCGACAAAAATAACGTTTAAACTTTAGAAGCTTAAGGATTTCAGGTGCATATTTAATATTTTGAACAACAGTTAATCCTTTGTTAGCTTAATTCCATGGTTTGATTTAATCTAAATTATAATTAGACAGCAATGGAGGCTTAGTCTATGTCCTAGGCTCTTCTAAATTACGACATGATCCAGAATGTCTTATCTAATGCAGAAACATGCATTTAAATGTTGAAAGAATGTTAAAGTTAAAATAATTTTTCGCAGGAATATTTTTTTTGAAGAATATTATTTAGAATATTTTTTTAATAATGACTACCTCAGAACTAAAAATTATTTTTTCAACGAGAAATTTCTATAATCAAAATTATAATTATAAAATTATAAACCGTTTTGCACCATTTTTTCAATGAAAAGATTCTTCGTATAAGAATAATAATAAAAATTTAAATAAGCGCATAAGCATTGTAATGTATAATATGTGTACATTATATACATTTCCTGCTCTTGTCTTTCAAAAATTCGCATGGTGCTAGGAACTCACCTGATCACCAACTTATACATATATATAAAGCCAAAGTAATCCCGGTAGGGATAGGAGCTATGATCCGTAAATGAAAAAAGTGGTGCCAATAGATGCAACATCAGAGATGTCCGGAAGAACACCTTGCTAAGCGTTTCTTTCGCTCATTTTACAAAAGCAATTCGTCGCATTATTATTTATTCTTTTCAAACCATCCAGCAAAAAAAAATTTTGCATGCATAGAAAATTAAAATTTCGCCAAATCAGATATCTTTGGAGCAACGCTTTTTATTAAAATTATAATTACTTTAAAATATTAAGAAATATTCAAATTTTTGAGTGAATATAGCTGACAAAATTATATCAGATAAATAAAAGCTTAAATTAAATTTAATTCAAACATTATTTAATCGAATGAAGAATAATTGTGTTAATAAACATATTTTTAAAATGCGGATAAACATAATCAACGATTTCAGTGTTAAACATTAAAATTGATTTAAAATTTATAAATTATAAAAATAGATTAATAATATAATAATAAAATAATAAAATAAAAAACAAAAATTATCTAAAAAATATTGATGGAAAAACTATAGAAAAACGACATGAGCATGGAATATTCAATAAAATTTAATATACAAGAGTTGATGAAAATTATCAGTTTATCAGTTTGGTAATTTGCTTTTTTGCGTAAATATCAATTCATTAGAACATTTAAATGACCAGTTGATTTATTGAAAAATAGGTCCAGTAGACCAAATTATATTATTTTTTTTCCATTTTCATTTTCAGCAATCACTGCTTTAATTTCGTGTTATCAGTTGCAATTCATTACCTTTTAATAAACTTTCATGTGATATCTAAATTTACAATTTTGTTAAAATCATCTCGTTTACAAGAGCTTAGATAATGAATATAAGCAAATAAGTATATTATTAAAAGAGGCAAAAGAACGACTGCAAATGATAACAAGATATTTTACCCTTTTCAATAATTCAATAATAAATGATAGCAAAACATTTCCTAGAAAGTTCTATTATCAGTTCAGCTGTTATCAATCTTTATTATCTTGAAATGTTCTCATAAGATTAAGATTACCTAACTTATCAAGAAGCTTTTAAATCACCGATTTTTTGTAGAATGAAAGAATTTGGAATTATAAAAAAAAAATTGAATTAAAATTCCAAATTTTAGTTAAATTAATCTATAAATTAGTTTAGATAATTAATATAAGCAAATAAGCACACTACTGAAAGAGGCAAAAGAGGCTTATCTATATGTATCGGCACTGCAAAGTTGCCCAAATGAATGCGAAACAGAATTTCTGCTAATAAAATTAAGAGATTACCCGGGTTAAATATTTCGTTATTTTTAATTCCCAACGAATTAAATTTTCGGCAAACACCAATTACTCGTTTATACTCGTCAATTACTGTACATCGCCATTGGGCATATTTATTTTTATTTTCAGATCTTTAGGTTAATTCAACCAATTCATTCAATTCGGTGTTCTAAAGCAACCACCAGTCAGTATGAACATTTATTTTATGAAATTGTATAATGAGTACATAAAAATTTTTTAAAAATTAATTTCGAAAATAAGGAATTATTTTTTTGAAGAGCGCCCATCTGGTTAGGCTTAATGGCTAGGCTCATTCTAATGATTTATTGTTAATCAGATGTTTTTTGCCACGAAGCCACTAAACGATATAAATAGAGGCGAGTCGTTTGCACCATTTTTTGAATAATAGACTCATCCACTTCTGCAAGAAGCAGAATCCCAGTATTGGCACTCCGCAACGAAAGCAACAACTCATAAGTACCAATATTCATCCGTTGTTCTCAATAAATTGAGCTGATGCATTCTGTTATGGAGATAATCACAGTAAAATCAAACAAAAATTGAAGTGAATTTGATTCAAAGAAGCGGCTTTTGCTGAGCTAATAAAGATTTTATAGTTAATGAAGTCCTTTTATGTTTCATCGAAACGAAAATCGTACCAGTTATTTTCATGGATATTCCTTTCTTTCTAAATCAGTAATGATCAATCCATAAACAACACTTTGAATTCATTTAGTCATCTTCAAGCTCATCATTTTTGATCTGTCCGATTCCACCGCGTTAAAACTCTTTCTATGAGATATTCCACCGAGAGAGCAATAAAATGGATCTCTAGTACCACTCCGATTCACTAGATTTTTTTTGATGAAACTAGCGTCGAAGCAGAGAGGCCGATCACTGATATAAAACATGTTTTATGCTACCATCTGTAAAACAGCATTTTTACCAAGGAAATTATAAGATTACAAGGTACACTCATAAATCAGAATTACAATTCTGGAGTTCGCGAAACTTGCAGTGGATGAGTGTTAACGGTTGCATCTTATGGAAATCTCGGTTTGTAGAACGGCTTTTTTCTTTTCGAATCAACTGAGTACCATCAATAGATGGCTCTAAATCTTTCTGATATCGAAGAGAACTGACCTCTGGTTGACCTTTACTAGCATTAATTCAAACTATTCCTTCACCTCACTACACCTTTCAACTCGCTAAAAACAAATTGCAGTATTGTAATCATATAGTCTTATGAAATGACACGAATTTTAGGAGGACGAAGCTTACCAAACGGGACGAGTTTTGTCATAACATATTTTAAAATTTGAAAATTTTTTTTCGTTATATTTTCGCGGATTGCAGATGCCTTTTTTTTTTTTGAAAATTTATTGATATTTTATGTTGTTTGAAAGAGGAATCGAGAAGAATCATCTCTTAAAATGCGTCTTAAAAATTTTCTTTGTTCATTTTCTGGCCGATGGTACCACTTTATGACCGACGGAACCACTTGGCATAGGCTGAGCTCACCTGCCCTCAGGGCATTGCTTATTTGCGTAATCTTTCATTCATAATTTCATAACCTCCTATTGTCGTAGGCAAACTCTACAATATTTTCAGATAACTTCCTAATGCTTATAAATAATAGCAATGTTTACAGATAATTTCGTTGTATTTTAAATAATTTCAATTAAAAAAATCACCCAAAACTCAGAAAATACTCTCCTATATTGCAACATGCAAACGATTCAACTAAAATTGAATTCAGCTTCTTTATTGATTTCTAAGGAAATTTTTTATCAAAAGCGCCTATGGTTGTAAAAAAAATCGTATATTCGCCAATAATCGTTAATCACACAATGTGCAACATTAACCTATTTACCAGAGCTCTTTTCGAAGAAGGTTTTGAACATTGCTAGCCTTTGCTTAATGAAGTGGTTACCTCAACTTAAGGATTCTCTCACATTAATACTTCATGTATTATAATTTATAATATAATTTAATTATTATTTGTTTATTTATTTATTATAATTTATTATTTATTTATTTATGTATATTTATTATTTATTTATTTATATGTATGTATTTATAATGTATTCGTATTTATATGTATTTATATATTCCATGAATTGCTAGTAAATATATATCTTTATCGTATATTTTTAAGAGTTCGAATCAATTTTTAAATAACGATTCGGTTATTGAAATTTGAAATTTTACATAAATTTATTCAAATTTATTTATTGTTGATATCTTAAGCTTTATTATTGGATTAAAATTTTATTAGATGTCGAAAGCGATAACAAAAAAATTTACGAATTCAGTGGAAGATTTTGTCGATGATAGTTTGCGAGGACTGCTTTCGGCAAATAGACATCTGACATTTTTAAATGTAAGTTTTTTTTCGTAAAATAAGATTTACCTACCATAGTTTTATTAGTTCTTTTGATGATTTTCCAGCTGTTGAATCCAACTTTGTTTTCTTTCGTAATTTTCTTTTCTGTGAAATATTGAAGCTAAGCTAAGCTATTTTACGAAACATCTGATTTAATACTATTTTATTTACTATTTATTTTTCTGAAAATTATCAAGCAGAGCCTAAGTTTTGAGCTTGGTATTATAACATTTGCTGCGTAATTTAATTTTGTTTAGGATTATCCGCGCGTTGTGGTGCGCCGGACAGTTGAGGATGGTAAAGTGACATTGCTTGCTGGTGGTGGTTCTGGACATGAACCTTTTCCTGCAGGTTACTTCATTTGTATTTGGATTTTTGTTCGTAAGCGCTGTGCTAATTTTTCAAAAATTTCTTTGCTTAAATCAAAGATATCAGTATATTGTGAGTTTTATCTTCCTATCGAGCTTAACTACATTCGGAAGAGAATTTTTAGTAATTTGTTTTTTTTAAATTGGCCACAATCTTGCTGCTAGGCAGGTTGTTGTTGTAATTTCATTAATGGTTATAAGATTCTTATTTATTTATTTAGATAAGATCCTTATATTAATGATCATAATCCTTATATTAATATCTGTAAAATAACCATATATTTCTCTAGTCGACTCTTATTTCATAAGTTCCTTCCTTTCGGCCTTTTCTAATTAACGTCTTTTCAGAGACCTAACATCCATCATTAATATTAAAGTTTTTTAGGTTTAGAGAGAAGGCGACTAAAATCAGCTGCTTTTAACTCATTGCGAGTCAGAATTATTGTTGCACTGTAGATTGAAATATTTTTAAAATCATCCTAATTGTTCATTTTTTTTTTATATTTTTATGTTCTTCCACATTTAATTGAGACTTCAGTGGATACATACACCACTTTAATAGAATTGGAAGCATTTATGAATCTTAAAATTCTTTTAAGAAGTATGCAGTTTCTCAAATTTAATGAATTCAGATCCTAAAATTTGGAAGCTTTTACATGTCCACTGTTTTAGGAAAAGAGGAAGATATAGTCCATTAAGTAAATTCAGGATGGATGGTATATTGGCAGTATATAGCAATTTTAGCTAGAGAGATTTATATTTATATTTAGAAATCATGTTACTTTGGTGCCAATTGAAGGAATATGTGAATTTGTGGTTTTCTCAAGAAAAAAATCGACTATTCAAGTTTTAACTTAATAACAATTGTTTCATGTCCAGTGGCCATGATTTTAGATGTGGCTTGTTTAGATTTATCAAAAGCTTTTAGTTTTCACTTTCACTTTTCACCTTTTCATTTAATAGGATGATTATTCTTGGTGATTTATTTGTTATGGTTTATTTTTATTGCAAATGTCTCAGAATGAACTTATCAGAAGCAATTATTGAAATGAATTACCCACTTAACGATGTTGTTTTCACTCTAGATTTATTTATCTCCAGCTTTCTTTTTAAGAGTCCTCACCCTTACTGGTTAAACTGGCTCCACTGTATTATCACATTGAGAAATATGCTTAGGAGTCTCTTGGAGATAGAAGTACAGGTGAGTCGCCAGCATCACCCGGATTTTTGGACAGGTTTACTCCTGCGGGGAATCGAACCTCAATATCGGCGCTCCTAGTTGAGCAACAATCCACTGAGCCATTCTATCCCCCATCCTTTATTTTATGTCTAGCTTTAAAAATTTAACAACATTGTTCACAAAATTATCAAAAGTTACTCCTCAATTCTCAAATAAAATAAACTTTTCTTCCTCATTTTAATTAGTTTTTTTTATTATTTATTTTTTTTTGTTTTTTTATTATTTTTATTAATGCTATTTCGTTTTTATTTTTTTATTTAGCCTTACAAGTTACAAGCACATGGCGTATTTCTCGTTTTTGTTTGGTTTTTTTTTCAAAAAGATATCTTTTTAAAAATAAGATATAAAAAATAATTTTAAGCATATTCATTTTTTAAATAAACTGTTGATTAGTTATTTCTTAATTTGTTTTCTGTTGAAATCCTTTGAAATTAATTGAAATTTTTAAGGATTCGTTGGGAGCAATTTACTTTCAGCTGCTGTCTGTGGTAACATCTTTGCTTCACCACCTTCATCTCATATTGTGGCAGCCTTGAATGCTATAGAAAATGAATGTGAGTACCATGATTTTTTTTTATAAGTCACTTTTACCATCGGAAATTGCTTTTGCTAAATAAATTTTGCTAAAATTGTGACTGCAAAATTTCAGGCGGAACTGTCATTTTCGTGATCAATTATACGGGTGATCGGCTGAACTTTGGACTAGCTATTGAACGAATAAATTCTGAAAGATCCAAGACTGTACTGCTTATAAAATAATACGTAAAAAATTGTACATGTTTTTGGCGTTTTGTATATCTTTATTTGAACTGCTAGGATTTTTTTAAGCTTATCCCAGTTGAAATGGTCGTTATTGGCGATGATATTGCTTTCGACGGAAATGATTCAACATTTGCAATCGGTCGTCGAGGTTTGGCTGGAGCAGTTTTTGTCCTCAAGGTGTTATTTCAGTTATATGCAGAGTTTATCGAGTTTAGTTTCAGTAAAATTTCGCTAAGAGGTTCTAATTATATTCTACACTAAAAATACGTAATATAATGGATGATTCAGATAGCTGGTGGCATGGCTGAAAAAGGATTGAATTTGAAAGAAATTGTTAAAGAATCACGATTGGTGGAGGAGAACACAGGTGTTTTTCCTAGATATTTCGCATTTTTTGTGCCAATATAATTTTGATTTCCAAAATTAAAATATCAGAATATAAAAAACAATAAATATCGTAGTATTGGAGAACTGCGTTTGATTTCAGCTGTTTCGATCATAGTACAATCCTTAAGGTAAGGACAAGTAATATTATTCACAATATTATTTAATAGTCTATATGATAATTTGGCCTATATTTTCAATTCAGTTTTTTTATACTTATTATTTGCTGTGGGTATCGTTTTTTTTTTTTATGATGTCGATTTTCCATTCTTTTATTTTTATTGTCATATGCTTTATATTCATTAGTAAAGAAGCCCATGAGTTATCCGCTCTCTTTATATAAAATAAAAATCTCACAAATTTTTTGAGCTGATTATGTCCGCATAAATTTTGTATAGAATGGCTATAAAAGTTGTGTTAGTCTATGTGTTTTTTGTCCACGCAAAGAATTGATTCGGAGGATTGGGGCGTCATTGTATCTCCGTTAATACCTTTAAAATTTGACTTACTTCGTAAAATTAACATATATTTTTGTAACAACTGCTCAAATCTCATATTTTCCCTATTTGCCATTGTTGGTCTATCATTTTTTGTTTTTAAACAGAAGTAGGAATTCCAGTTTTCGTGGTTTTCCATTCTTTCACTTTCGATTTGAAATATTGCAAATTTTCAGTTGTGAACATTAGAACATTCTAATGCATTTTTAAAATGTCTGATCTGAACATATTATTACAGCAACAATAGGCTCAAGTTTGCTGGCGTGCAGTCTTCCTGGGAAGGGTCGAATGTTTGAACTAAAAGAAGAGGAGATGGAGTTGGGATTGGGTATCCATGGCGAAATAGGATACGAGCGGATTCATTTCACTAGTGCTAGAGAATTAATCGACTTGCTAATATCAAAAATAGAAAAAAATAAAAAGTTTTCACTTGAAAAAGGTTAACTTCGTTATGTTTGCTACGTTAATTTTAGCATTGAGGAAGAGAGGACAACTTAACTAAATCGTTGTTAATTATCTTCTCAACTATCAGGTTCTTGCTTCACATAAAAGCAAATCTATCATTAAGAAATCCTTTTAATGCTGGAGATTCATCTATATTTCTGTGCACCTGTCCCACTTATTATAAGTGGCTCCCTGGCAATAATTTCTCACCATCTAGCGACGATGAGCGCCAGCCACTTGTTTACTTAAGTTATCTTTGGTGGATGATCTTGGGCTTATGTTTTCGGCATTTGCATAGAAATTATTTTAATAAAAAAATTAATCTTTTTTCATTTTCAGATTAAAGCATATTGATTAAATGTATTTTACCAACGAGTATATTATAATTTTTATTCAAATCCTTCTACGAAATTCCATTATGACATTTTTATTTGTACTAACATTTTCTTTATGCTTATTTTAGGCTGCGAAATCGTTTTATTGTTAAATAATCTGGGAAGTTGTTCGCAAATTGAAATGAATCTTTTGGCTGGAGAAGTAAATAATTCAATGAGTAATGTTTACTTGTTTAGGGAATAATTCTTTTTGATTTCCTTGGATTAATTTTGACGTTTTTTATTTAAACCATCGTCGTTTCCATTTTAGGTCCTTTTTTCATTAAATGAAGTTTTTGCTTGTTCTACAAATTCTTGTACGTAGTGTTATTGTTTATTCAATTTCAGGGTGGCGAGGATTCACAGTTGTGAGATTTTACAGTGGAGCTTTTGTAACTTCTTTAGATGGGCACGGAATAAGTATAAGTGTATTGAAATTGATTGATGATAGCTGGTTGGAATACCTTGGTACTTTACATGCTGTTTCATAAATTATAGTAATCATTGAAATTCATTTAACTTGATCTTGATTGTTTTACATTCATTAATATTTCTTGTGAAAATCTTATGTCGAAAGCCTGGAATTTTTGTTTTTTTTTACAGATGCTGAAACTAATGCCTCAGGATGGATTAAAGGATGTGTTCCAAGCGTCAACGAAGTAGTTGGTGTCAAGATGAAATATTCTACAAAAATTGATCTAGAATATGGCACTGCCCTTAGTGCAGGTTTCTCATTGTTCATTGTTTTCTATTTTCATTATGTTCTCTATCGATATTTTGTCCAAATGAATTTTGAATTATTAAGGAACAATGCCGTAAATTGCAGACAACGCTAGAAAATTCTCACTTTGTATTAGAAATGCATCTAATGCAATTCTTGATGCCGTCGAGGAGCTTAATCGTCTGGATAGTGAAGTTGGTGATGGAGATTGCGGAACTACTTTAAAACAAGGAGCAAAGAGTTACTTTTTGAAGCAAAATTTTTAGTCTGTTTTCATTCAATTATAAATTTATAAAATAATCTGAAATATATTTCGTGAGAAACAATAGCGAAAGTGGAATCAAAAGGTCGGCTGTTCTGAAAAAGCAGTGAATGGACCTAGGAGTACTGAAGCAGTGCAAATTAATGGGAAGTACCAATCTGTTAATGCAAAAATGCATTCGACGTTATGTTAAAAAGAATTGGCTGGATTATTTGGATGACAAGGAGGTATATAATAGCTTCTTGAGGAGTAGTTAAGGAAGCATTGCGATAATCATGGTAGTATTACGACATTCTATGCAGTTAGGGAATAGCTGGATTTGCGGCGTTAATAGATAACCGTTAAGGGAAAAAAAAGTAGAAATAGGTGTGATTTAGAAATCAAAAAGAAGTTTTATGAAAATCTCCTAAATAAGTCTCTCTGGTATGTAAATTTTTCGAAAAACTTCGAACCGCAGGATTAAATAAAAAATTAAAGTGTTCCTTCCAAAATTTCTAAAAGTTTCTAAAATATTCGTTTTTCATATTGGCACACTAACCACATATTTTCGTTGAATTAAGCAATAAAAAATAATAAGCAATAAAAAAGTTCTCAAACAAAATTTATTTATAATAATATAAATTAATTATCCTTATTTTGCTTTAATCCAATCCAATGAAAACAATTTTCAGGTATTATTTCTGCTCTCGATATGGATAAATTAATTTGCAATCGTCCTTGTGCAACATTTCAGCAGTTATCTCATATTTTTGAGGATGTTGTTGGAGGAACAGCTGGAGCGGTATTTTATTTATATAAGGAATAAATCACACTGTGTATTGTGTATTATCACATTGTGCTTGTGTGTTGAATAGAATTATTTTTATATTTATTTATTTTTAGCTGTACGCACTGATGTTTAATGCAGCTTCACAAAACTTTTCAAATTCTGCTTCTTCTGCAGATTGGGGAAGTGCATTGAAGAGCGGATTGGACGGAATTATGAAGTATGGACATGCTAAGCCTGGAGATAGATCTATGGTTATTCATTCATTTCTATATTTTTTCTGAAGGTATTTTTCCATTTCTCTAAGTAATATTTTATTTTACTATGATGGCGTACAACTGCAATCCAAATTTTTTCACTGAAATTTTGAAGCAAAAATATATATTCTGGCCTTTCATCTTTTATGTAATCAAAGGAAATAAGACTATTTCAAGGAGTCTGTTGAAGATAGTATTGTAGGGCCCCAGCCACTTAAATTTCATTTTTAATCATATTCTTCTTTCTGTCTAGAGGCAAATCATATTTTGCTTGGTGAATAAAAGTTTTGAAAAAAGAAACTGTTTAAGGCTTTCAGGTTGATCCTTTATATGAGGCATCGAAATCGATTATTGATGGGCCAATGGGCGAAGCTGAATGGGGAAATGTGGTAAAGGTAGAAATTTTTGTCCCTTAATTGTTCAATAACTAAGGAGAACATTTCTTAAAAAGTAAATTTTAAGAATATTTATGTGATGCATAAAAATAAGGCATAGTGTAAACATTGAGAAAAATGATCAGGCAAAGGCAAAAAAATTATCAATGTATTGTTTAGATGGCAGAAGATGCAGTGAATTCAACTCGAAATATGCGGGCTCGTTGTGGTCGAGCTTCTTACACAAATGTGATTTCGCAAATAGAACCTGACCCTGGAGCCAAAGCAGTTGCGATATGGTTACGAGCCATTTATAAAACATTTTATGGAAAAAACTGAATTGATTGCAATTGGAAGTTATATCTGGCTTGAGGCATATCTTATTAACTGTAGTTTTGGTTTCATTACGTTATTTTTGAAGATTTTCGAATTGAAATCAATCGAGTGGGTCAGTTCATAAGAACCTGCTTTAATTCACATATGTTGGTAGATCAGCTTTAATTCGCTAGGCTCGACTAACTGGTTTACTCCAAAGACCTCATAATGATTTTATTTGTATGTGCTATTGAATTTTTGTGATATATTCTTTTGCAGTACTAATTTTCAGCGATAAATATTTCAATCAAAATATGCTTATAGAGTACAGAATATTGTTAGAATCATTGTTTTTTTATTTATTATTTATTTATTTTTTTATTTATTATATTTATTTATTACCTCTTTATTTATATTTTTAAATTAAATGACATATTAATATTTCGGCTTACTAAAAATAGAATAAATGTTTCCTAAATTTGGTTTCATTGTATTGTGCTGATATTTGTTGCCGATTCGGTTAGAGAATTAATTTCATAAATTGTCGACATTTCGACTAATCCATATAAGCGTTTATGAGCGAAAATTGAGAGAGAATTAAGTGGAGGAAGCATATCTGATGCCGTTTACTGATTAATTGGTTTAATTTTAGGTCATATTTAGTTTATATTTAGTCAGTTTCGCCATCGTTTTCTTGCCACGTTTTCCCATTGTTCCTTATCACGCACATTTCCGGTTTAGCTATCTACACGGAATTGAATAATTGAATTTAATTGAATAAATAGGGCGAAATTCAATTTATTTGATTTAGTAAAAGAAGTGGATTTTTGTATTTTTGTGAAACATTCAAGTAGCATTTCTTTTAAGTATAAAATTAACTTATTAGTAATATATTGCGTTTTAAATTTAGATCGAATATTTTATTTTTATGACTCGTTCAACGAAAACGCCATTAGACGATGCTTTTCAGTTAATAATTCAGCTGAAATCCGATCCATCAGTGTTGCCACCTTTCAATGTATATTTTATTTTTTTCGATTCTGTACAATACCATCCATGTTTACTTTAAATATAAGTAATTTTTCAATATAAATATTATACAGTTTAAATATAATTTAATATAATTATAGATAAAAATATAAATAATTTAATATAATAATTTAATATAATAATTTGAATATAATTTAAATAATATAATATAAATATAATTATGTATAAAGTATAATATAAATATAAAACATATAATTATCAAATATAATTTATAATTAATTATATTTAATTAATTAATTAATTATAATTAATTTATGATTAAATATAATTAATATAATATAAAAATATAATTTCAATTAATATCAAATATAATTTCAGTTAATTGTAATATAATTTATCAAATATAAATTCAGTTAATTATTTAATTATTCATTCAAAAAAGCATTTCTAGCAATTCTTTGAGAATGTAAACTTATTATTTCACTGAATTATTTATTCCTAAATCTTAATTGTGGACGTGAAGCTTGAACAATATTATAAAAATGGTATTTCCATGCAAATTTTTTATTCATCGTTTATAGGAGATTCTTTTGAGGAGATCTTTGGTATATGTAGAAACGCTTCAAGAAGAAATACTACAGAATCTGCAAGTTCTTTTTTCAATATATTTTTGATCATTTGAAAGTTTTATTTTTGCGTTTGCACTTTTTTCATTAAAAGTTATGATAATCGGTGAAAGAAAGAGAAAAAAATAAAAAACGGTGCATAAAAATTGATTTTGGACGATAATTAAGAAAACTAAGGCTAACATAGAAATTTGTGCCTATTTCACATTCTGAAAAAGAGAAAAATTACGAATCTGTCATGTCTCTTATCTATATAATATCTAAGAATATATATATATTCTTTTTTTGCGATTTTCATAAATAGCAGAAGAAAAATTGTGGTGGTGGTTTGTTGTGATGTTAAAGGAGTATAACAGGGTTTGAGTAAGCATGGTGGGGGAGTGTAATGAGGTGATATTAAGAAGTGTAACGGGTTTCGAGAGGCTATTAAAAGAGCATATAAATATGCATAATTTTATATTCAAATTTATGCCTAAATTTAGAACATCTTTTAAAAATTTATCTTAAAATGGTTTGCAGTAGTCAAATGCAGTCTGATTCAGTCAGTCAGAGTCAATCATCGTCAGCGGTTATTCGTGCTCGACAAGCTTTAATTGATTATATAAAACGTTGTTGTTGTGCTTATGTTAATCACCGTATGGAATTGATAAAACGTTTACGATGGAAGCATGGAGGTATTTTGCCAAATTCAGTTAAGGTATTGTTTTGCTTAGAAAAGGGATTGATTTTTAAAAATTTTTTATCTTTGCTTTATCTTTCCTTTCTTCTTCTAATAGATCGTCAAATTTCTGCTTTGAATGTACTGTTGATTAGTGTATACTACTTTTCCGATCGGATACATCTTACTTGAAAATAATTGGGAATACATTTTTTCACCATTTAAGCGAAAAGTTCATCAATTCTTGCGATGAGCAACGAAGAACATGACCTAACCAGCTTTTTTCTTACAAAGCCATCGATTGTATTTGGTATCAGACTTTTAATACAACAATATGAGGTTTTACGGTGAATAAATAGAATGTACTTCAAACAAGCTTAATAAAAGGTAGATAACTTCCTTATGTTTTCCACTCTCATAATATTCATGTTTCGCAGCCTTGTATTAGGATAGTGATGTACGTAATATAGCCCGATAGAACTTTTGCTTCGAGGTTAATTTCGAGGTTCGAGATTCCACGCAGGCTTTTCCATATGGGCCTCCAGCTACAACTATCCAAGCTGACATTTCATCTTTCATCTTGCTATATGTTTGTTAGGACGAAAAAAATTTCATCCTATTTGATCAAATAAGCAAGTGGTTAATCGACCATCATTTCTGTCTAAGTTCACATAGCCGACTTTTCGTACTAGTAGAAATTTTTGCCTGGGAGTTACTTTTCAGGTATGGTTATGGTTACAGTTGGGTTGCAGATTTGTCCGAGTTTTAGTTTTTTGTAGAATCTATCCGTACATAACGTGGAAGCATAACATGCATGGTACTGTAAAGCTTACCTTTTATGAGGGCCATCCAGTCGTTAGCAGAATTGCACAGAGTTAGAACTAACCTTTCTTATAAGCGCTACTGCATTTATTCCTGAAGTTTTCCAAAACTCAACTGTGATATATCTATCACTTCCCAATATGATATAGTTATTCATTTAACAATTCTTTGCTTTATAATTGTTCCAGAATTATATAGACGATATCCGTATGATATTTGGATTAATTGTAGGCGGTTATGGGTTGACTCCTTGTCCATAATTCTAGCCTTTTACCTAGCCAGGATCTTGCGGCGTTATTTAGTTAGTTAAATGATATTTGTTTGATTTCGTTAGAGCAGTTTTTTCATTCGAAAACTTACGTCATCACTTTCCCAGGGCGGGTTCCCATATTCATTGCAAATACCATAGGGTTAGTGATACTATATGTCTCGGAATATATGAATGACATTTGAGAGTTATTCAAACATTTGCCATAGAGTCATAGATGGATACAAGGTAAGAAAAGAAATAATTTGATGATTTCAATAATTACGCAATTATTACGAAATTTTCCATGAAATTATGAAAAAAATTTTATCTTGATTTTATTTTAACTTGAATTGAAATTTTAAACTGAAGTTTGAATAAAAATTTATTTTCATTTTGGCTCCAGTTTTTTTCATTTTTTTTTTTAATTATTAATTACTTAAGCTATTTAAAAAAAGGAGAAAGGGAAAGGAACCTGAATGATTAGTAGTCTAAAGATAGTTGATAAAAATTATCTATCCTACATTCACTGCCTTTTTCTTAAGGAAAATCTTTCGACAGCCGAAGTTGAATGGTTTAATGAATACAACAAATTATTAGCTGATTATCAGGCAAGTTTGAGTGATAAAGGATTGAATTTAATGAGTAGTTTGCTTCCACCGAAGGAATTATATGTGCAGGTTCGGTTAATTTAAGTTTTAACAAAGTTCATTGATATTTCTCACGCTAAACATTTCTTACAACAAACATTTGTTATAAGTCCAACAGTTTCGCTTCATTTTTATTTTTATTATTTATTCATTTTATTATTATTTATCCTTTCTATGTTTCGTCGTATATTCTTAATTGGAAAATTTTTCTCTTAAATTCAATCTCTCATAAATAATTGCATGAGCCTCATTTGGTGAAGGGAGGTTTTTCTGTCAACATTTTTCAATGTGTCGAATGAGATTTTGGGAGAAATATTTATTGGAAAATGGCTTTATTACAGAAGAGGAAAAATTTGTTTTCTGTGATAAATTTTGTATATTGATTCGTAAAAAAGTTTTCACAGGTGCGTGCCCTTCGGGATTTTGGTGAGTTCGAAACGACTGATGGTACAGTTATTGTACTTAACGAGAATTCTTTAGTCAGTTACTTTTTAAATTTTTTATTCCGTAATCATTTTTTGTTTATTTGTTTCTTAACGAAAATTCTTTAGTCAGTTGCTTTATTCGTTTATTCTTTATTTTCTTGAATAGATTGATGGAATTCCTTATCTGCCTATGAATTTCGTTGAACTTGTAATTTTTCAGCATAATCTGCCTATACAAGATTGCGATATGCTTATTAAGCAGGGAGTGTTGGAAGTTGTTGGTGACTGATTTTATTCATAGTTATATATATTTCATATAAAATGAGCCTTCAATTTGTTTCACTTGGTTTGCTTTGCGATATATTCGTTTTCTTTTTTTGTTGATTTTTATTCTTTCTGTTGTTAGTTTTTAATAGAGTTTTTATGATCTACAAAATCTTTTATCTTTTGCTATTTGTTTTTTTCATAACGGCTGGAAGTGTACAATGTCATACTAAAGTCTTTCATACTAAAGTCTTTTCTATTTTAACTCGATGAATTTTTTACAAATTTATAAAATTCTTTCTTTTTTTTCCCAAATAGAGGATTTAATAAATGGTTGGTTGTATTTTTATCTAGATAACACCTATAATAAATTTTAAATTTAATAGTACATTTTGGCATAAGCAGTTAAATGGCATATTGCTTCAGCTTAGAAAAAGCAGCATATATTTTTTCCTAATTTTTATTTAAATTTATCTGTTATGAAAAGTGAAGTCCAAATGGCTATTGGAAGTCAACCTGTAGTCCACAGGACCGGCTGCCCAAAACAGTCATCTGCTATATGTCATATCTCATCGAAGTGGTCATTCGAGCCGGTCAAGCATTATTTGTTATCATTAATTAAATATTTGAATTATTTTTTTATTCCAATCGTAAAACATATGGTGCAATAAATAAATTAATGAATGATAGATCGACGAGATAAAGGCAAAAGGCATTAAAACGAATGTCGTTACTTTAAAAAAAAATCAAGAAAGATCAAGTTCTTGGACTAAGCGCTATAGAAGTTATTTATATGTAACAAGATCTGTTTTCAACTTCAACATTTGCATTTGCTGATGTTAAGTATTCTGAAATTTAGAATATTTCCGATTTTAGTCGAATTCGATTTCAGGAGACGATTGAAAATTTTAGCTAATAATTTTTTAAAGAAATTTTATCAAGTTGATTCGTTGCCTTACTTTGCCTTACTTCTAATGAAACTTATCGGAAGAGAACTTTGGTCCTAACAAGCTAATGCTTTTTTGAAAATAGTCATTAATTAATGTGGTTTGTCGGCCTAAAATTCCGATCATTTAACTCATCAACGAAATCGTGCGATTTACTCGAAATAATAAGAAACAAACTTGATTGACTATTTAGTGAATGATTTTTGAGAATTGAAGATGGGTGCATACTTAAGCAGTCTTTTCGCTTGTTGGTACTTTCTTGGTATTTTTGTGTTTCATACTAAAAAAGAGATTATTTACGAGATTTCAAATATATAACAATAATTTACAAATATTGAGGAATCAAACTGAAGAATTTTTTTGCTTTTTTTAAAAGAGTCCTCACCATTACTGGTTAAACTCGCTCCACTGGCTTATCGCATTGGGCAATATGCCAGGGAATCCATTGGCGATAGAAATACAAATAGAAATAGATGGGTCGCCAGCATCACTCGGATTTTTGTAGTACAGGTTTATTTCTGCGAGGAATCGAACCTCAGCATCGGCGCTCACAATTGAGCAACAACCCACTAAGCCATTCTATCAAATTGAGGAATTATTGAAAGTGAATGTTGTTTTTAATGCAACAATATTGAAGCAAATAAGCTAAATGCTTTTATAAATTTTTAGATTTTCATATTGTTATTCATTTTTATTTCGTATAAAATGGAATATTATAAATATAAAAATTATGAACGAAACGTCTTACATCGCTATAAGACGAAGAATTTTCTTCGGTTACAGTAATTGAACGTTCCATATTATTTTGAAGATTCCACTTAACATGTGGAAATTTTCCTTTTTTTGTCGCATGTTCATGTGCTTTGCCTTGATAATTCGTCAATGCCTAATAAATATAAAAATAATTTATAAGATTAAAATTAAGATTAAAATTATTTATTTAATATTTCCGCAATGTTACCTCGAAGTTTTCATCAGATTTGGTTAAATTATTCCATAAACCCATTTGTTTCGCTTTCCTTACTCTTTCACTACAGTCTTGAAAAAGTGCAAACTTGCGTAATTGCTCGTCGCGCAACATCTTAAATTTCTCAAATAATTTATTATTTAAAATCAAATTTATTTGCTTACAACAACAATACCATGAAATAGGGGAATTGTTAAAAGATGCTTTTCCACTTCGCTCATCCCTAAACGGATTATTTTGTGATTATTGTATAGTTGCTTATGTAGTTATATGAACTGATGAACTTTCAATATGGATAATGCACCTGCAAATATACGCAGCATTTGATCACTATTGTTATACAATAGAGCTGAAACGCAGCAAATATGAGAAGGAGGGTCGCTAGCCACATTCGTTCCAGCAAATCCATAAGCTGCAAATTTCCACTTTTATCATTATCATCATGATTTATTTAAATGATTATGCAAAAATTTTTCTGGTTGTTTTGTTTATCAATAATAAGACATTTCGCAATATTTGAAATCTCAGTCGTTATGATAATGTGATGGATTTCAGAGATTGTCGCATTCTTTTCATCAATTATCTCTTAAGATGGATAACTTTTGTATAGAAATGTGTATGTCGATCATTCCTACTTAAAAAATGATACCATTATATAGGGTGAAAATCATATGCGATTAAATAAACGAGATAATGAGGGTAGAATCATTGAAATTCGACAGGACGGCAGCCGATGGGCAATGGTTTAGATTGTCACATTAAGAGATAAGAATTTAGTGCTATCCGATGAGACTGTCCCTAAAAATTCCGTGGGGCCTATCTGTAAATACAGCTAATTGGCTTCATAGCAAAAATTTCTCACCGTGCTAATGGCGAGCAGTTAACTAGTCTAACCAGAAATGATAAAGGATGCTTATTTAATGTTATGGTTTGAACCATTATACATCGAACCATTATAAAATTTAATTGCCATAAATTGCCAAACTTAGGAAATTATTTTACTTACTCGTAACTCATCATGTTTGAAATATAAATCAATGTAAAAATAGCCCCAAGCATGGAAAATAAAATATAGAACGGAGAATATTAAACAAATGCCTTGAGCAATTATATGTGGCAATAATAGTATAGGCGACTTTCTAGAAATACCAATGAATAGTAGTAAAATCTGAAAAATTGCTAAATGTTAAATTTCTTTCGCTTGATTCGGATCGTTTTTTCGCAGAATAAATTATTTTTTAAAATGATTTTATTCGAAAAATTAAAATATTCTTATTTTTACAAATTTTCTAATTCTCTATATACTCCATAAATTTCCAGGATCTTTTTATAAAATAAGATTTTCTTGAAATTCTAATTTCACAACTTTTTTGTATAGAAATGTTTATGTCGATTATTCCTATTTAAAAAATGGTACCATTATATAAATTAATAATTTATTTTGTCTTATTTTCATTTAAATCAGACTTAAATAAATTAGTTTGAAAGGTTGTTATTAAGTAAATTTATTGATATTATTATTCTTATAACGAATTTTGCTAAGCTAAGAAAGAACAACCTTATCAGACTATACAAATCATCGATAAGTAAAATTTTTACTGCTTGAATATCGTTTCTAACACTGGTCATATGGACATTTAGCAGAGGCCGTTAGGCCCTTATGAAATTCATTTTTCGCTAATGAATCTATTTAAATTTCAAAAAATCAAATTGTGCTTAGTTTCTAAGTTGTTCATGACGAAGAAAGCTTACACAAAGAATGAAGACAATGAGTATAATAAGAAGAATATTATCCCAGAATTGTTTCCAATCAAACTGAGTGAGGCATTCTTTAACAAATCTGAATTAATTTTTAGAAAAAAAAAGTTGTCAAAACAAACTGAATATTTCGTTATTGAATATATATATATATATTTAAAATGATTATTGAGCATCATTATTCGATTCGGAAAAAAGAAAAAAAAAGTTGAAAATAAACTGAAGTATGTTGAAAAATTAAAAACTATGGAAGCAAACTTATAAGATATGAAGCAATGTTTTTTGCACCTATTTTTCGATTTTCGAGATAACACATTGATATAGCAACCGATAAACTCTCAGTTTTTTGGATTAAGAGAAAACGAAATATATTATAAAAAATAGGTTTGGTATTTTATATTATACTAATAATTTTAAACATTACACGAATATGACTCCCAATTTGACTCCCCATAATATATAGGTTAATCAAAATGAAAAGATAAGACTTGATTAGAATTACCGGAAAAATTTTGAATTGTTTTTGGCACATTCATTGATACTTTTCCGAATAATACGATTTGTAATGCCGGAAAGGAAAAAAATTATAACCAGAAGTTCGAGAAATCCGAGAATCGCTGTTCCATTTTTGATATGCCAACAATGGCAACAAGTTATATAACGGTTCTCGATCTTTTTTTTCATCATATAAAAGTTTTTTTCATTCCAGCATTTTTTTTCTGGAAATCATAATGTGAAGATAAATAAATATGTATACTGAAATGTTTGAGTAAAAAAGAAGAAATTCTAATTGACGAAATTTGAATATAAATATATCGTTATATACATATATATAAATATATAGCCGGAACAGTCATGGCTAAAGCTGGCGATTAATACGGAACGCAATAAAAATTCAAATTGCAGCCAACTACCTCTACTATTCCGGTGGGAGTTCTTGGGCAAGACTCTGTGTAAGTTTACTATCTTACCTCAATCTCTCAGGCCTTTGATAGAGGAACCGAGCTTACGGGTCACTCACATTACCTCGTAAGTAGTGAGAAGGGTATATATATATATATATATATATATATATATCAGGGGCCTTCCTGGTTGTTTTCTGTATCCTTTGGCATTTTGATGATGTCCATCGTATTCCGTTTATGCATAAAATACAAAGTACGGTTGAAAAATAATGTCATTTGAAAATATATATAATTTCTGTTGGTGATAAATTCAGAAGAACCATTAGTGCTACTGTGATTTACATTCATATTGAACTGCTAAATTTTAATTTGATTTGATGGAAATAAAAAATATAAAATTTTCTTCGTACAAATTGGCTGATTCATCATAACTAAAGGACTAGATAACCCGGTGGATACCGATTATTGCTGTATTATTGCAATCCTCCGCATGAAGAACTTTGAATTATAAAAAAAATCCAAGTGATGCTGGTGACTTGTGACACTTGTATTACTATCGCAAAGTGATTCGTTAGCAAAAATTCTAATCATATGATAACGAGCTTAAGCAGAAATGATGCGCTAAACTTACTTGTTTGCCAATTGCGACTTGTCAACGCTTCCATAGGCCGCAGATTAAGAACTCCTGATACATATGGGAGCCCAAAAAGGCTAACAACTCAAAAAATTTGCAATAGATTTTCTAATAGATTTTTTAATAAAACTTGAACAAATAGTATTTTATAGCGTTAAGATTTCAATCATTTTTCAAATTTCTTATCTATCATTTTTCTTCTATGCCTTTGGCAAAGAACTATTGTAATTGAATTGATATAAATATGCATCTAACTAAAGAATTCTAGTAAGAATTTCCTCGAAAATGCTTTAGTAGCTAGCAGAATCAGTTCAACAAGAAAATTATACCAGAAATGAATCAATCCCTGTCAAAATAGGATTCAAATAAAATTTATGGAATAATTATGAAGCGTAAACAAATTAATAGAAAAATTAATAAGCAAAGTATTTTTCAACAATTAAATATATTCTTTAAAAAGTTGCATGGAATATAATATTTTTAACCTTTTTTTTTATGAACTATTGATTCATTTCTCATAAAATAAAATAAGTAAAAAAAAATTAAAGTAAAAAAAAATTCAAAAAGAAACCGTAGTATTGTTAAAAAACAATGGAAGCAGAGTGTTAAACCATTACGATTAGGAGCCACCGATAAAGTCAGCTGTTAATTCTGTTAGGTCTCTCTGATTGATTCATTTCTCTCCAAATTGTCATGCTGATAATTTGGCAGAGTGACGTAATTCTCTTAGTGATAGGCGATATTTTTGTTACAAACCAATAAAATAGAATACATAGAACAGAGCGGTTAATAACATTGAACAATTTTATCTCCTGATGCGCTAAAAAAATGGCGATAAACAGCAAAAAAGAGCGAGAATGTGCAAAAATGTTTTAAAAAGTTTTTTTTCGAGGCTAACTGAAATAAGTTGAAGATAAATTTTCAAGGTTAAAACTTTTCACATCGGCTATTATCGTTAATTTATCAATCAACACCTTTTTTAACCAAAGGTGTTAATAGTGCATTTTTCTTTTGTGCACTTTGCATCAAATAAAACAGAAAGATGCATTATCCTTACGTATACACCATTCTATGTATATTGCGGGTACAAGACAATACGAAAAGTCAAAAAAGAACCATGTGGACTAAATTCGCATTTTTTTTTAATACGTAGGCGTGACACATGGCTCGATGTGGAGAGTTCATTGATGCATAAGGCTGATAGTGGATCGCTTATACAATTGAAAAGTTGTCGCAAAATTGCCTTCAAAAGCTGCCATAGTACAAGTTCCGTTCGCAATTTGCATGTTTTGCGTTTTTTCGAAGTCAGGAATAAGACAAAAAATTTTGAAAATTGCTTTAAAACGAAACTGTGATATGTTTTTCTTTTTCCAAGGTGTAAAGCTTAAACAGATATTATTTTGTGACACTTCTAAATTATGTAAGAATTCAGCATGCTTTCGTTCAATTTTTTAATCCATTTTCCATTATTGGCGTGTTTCCATGTTTTATAGTAGGGTGGTTTTTAAAAAGGTTGGTAAAATTGATATGTAGTTTTTCTGTAAATATGGGACCAACCAAATACCGTGGTAGCAAACAAAGTGCAGAAAATAGTGGTGGTGGCAAGAAATAGCATCAGAAAGAAGGAAAAAAAAGAAGAAAAGAACGGCCTGAAAGAAGTGGAAAATGAAGGTAAAATAGTCCCAGTGGCAGTTAGGAATATTCGGAGCAATAACCCCTATAAGAGATCCAGGGATCTCTGCCCAGAAAAGCGCACCATTCGAAGCAATCAAAATAGTAGAATTCTCAAAATCTCAAACCTCTGGTAGATGACTCGAAGTTGAGAAAACGAATACCACCCACAAGGATATGAGAGGGGACTTTTTAAATGCATGATCAATCAAACATATTTTTACGACTGAAAATTTTTTTTCCGTATTTTATTACACAGGTTAATAAATTTTTGTGCATTGTTTAGAACTAATGATACAAACTAGAAAAAATCAAGAACAAGAATATGAACCATTGAAAAATGAACATCAAAATTTTTGTGGCGAATGATTTCGATAAAATTCAAAAAACTCGAAAACTCGATTTTTTACTACTAAATAAAGTAATTATTAAACGACTAACGGCTGCTAGGATGGCTAAAACAAAAATGAAAAAGAATAAAAAGAATTAGCAATCTGAAATTAATATGCTGGAAAAAACATTGAATTTTTTGATAAAATATTCTAGAAAAATTAAAATTCATAAGTTTCTCCAATGAAATTTTAGATGTTCGAATTTTATTCTGATTTTGTGCTGTTTTTTATAAAACTGATTTATGTAATAAATAAGTTGCTAGGTCTATGATCTAAGTGATATTTTATCGTTCGACCAGAAAAAAAACAGCTGTGTTCCTTGTCATCATTGGTAAGACTCCTTAGCCTATGATTTTATGATTATCGTTACCTATGATTATCGTCTTTCTTCAACACCGCCTTAAGCTGAACTGTACTCATCTTAACATTTCTCCAGGTCGCGCCCTGTTGTAGTTGTTAACTTTGTCTCAAATCCTGTCATGTACTTGACCCCTTTATTAAAACCTCTTAAAGCCACATTTAAAATATTTCTCATGGATTTTTATGTTTTTTCATTTTTTCCTCAATTTTTCTGCCCGTGTTTATAGCATCTATTTTTTAAATTAAGAAATATTTTTAAATGAAAAACTCTTTAACATCGTCTTGAATGCCATAACTTTCTGTCGTAATCCATTAGTAACGTCCTCTTTTCTATCATCTCAATTCCTTCACTTTGATTTGCAGCTCACCTACCACCTATATTCTCCCTTATCAGTCCACCAAATCTCACGTACTTTCGTAATTTTCTCAGCTACAAATTATTACAAATAGTAAAGGCCAACGTGGTAGTGATCTAGCATTCTATAAGAAAGTACAACTAGAACTGTGGGAGATGAGGTGAGGGTGCTTGGGTTATTTGGGCGATAACAGTAAGAACAGTTTAAAGGTATTAGCAAGTGGTAGAACTCAAAAGAGAAGTCAAAGGAGGTTTTAAGAAATATAATTTGTTCTATGATACCAAGGATTACACTCGGATTTGAGATGATTTTGCTCATTGTTGTTAGACGGTCGTTTTGGATAGTAGCGCATTAAACCAAATATATAATCATAATCAAGAGGAATGGAAAACGATACGACTAGGAGAAAAAATAAAAATAAAAAAAGGAAAATGAAAAGAATTCATTTTCATCGGGCACGATTCAGCCAATTCAACTGTCATGCAAATGCTAATCCTCCAACATTCATGGCTACTAAGAACAAAATCGCTTTATTTGAATCAAATAGCCTGCGAAAGATTTGAAGAAAACAATCCAGAGAAACAGAAAATATTCGGCAAAGAAAAATATACGTGAAATATGAAATGGCACTTATCTGCCAGATGATAGTGCTTTATTTATATTAATGCGAATGAATCGGCCTTAAATTTCTCCTTTTTGTTTTTTCTGTTTTATTTGTATTTTCCATTAATTCAACGCAAATCACATGGCTATTTAAATAATTCAATAACTGTATAATAATGGGATGAATGGCTCAGTGAGTTGCTGTTCATATTTCAGATCGAAGATGCTATTATTCTATTCTCGTGGAGATGAGTGAATCTGTCCATGTGAAAATTTGTCTAAAGCTGGGCACTCAATTATATTTCTATCGTTAGAATCCATAGCAAAACTTCGTTTGTCCGGGAAAAAGTTCGTGATAATTTCATTCAATAGATTTATCATAAATTTTCATAAACATAATAAATCAGTGATGGACCGTTGAATTGCGGAAAGAATCATTGATAATTTATTGCCAACAATTATATTTCTACCTGCTGTTATTAATTTTTAATTGATTTTATGCAGCTTTATTCTAAAATTTTTAGGATCAAAGATATCCAAAGACGAAATAGCCGAGTGGTTATTATTCAAATTATTGCTTCGAACGTTCCAATAGGAGTAAATCTGTCAATAAGGAAAATCGTAGCGACTCGTACTTATATAGACAAATGGCTTTCTGGCAAAAATTTATGACCATATAAACAGCAAAAGAAGCAAGCTTAACTAGAGAGCTAAACTTTTACTTTTACTTTCAAATTTAAGAAAGCTTCCTAAATCTTTTTTTAAGGGGATTAATCAAAATTGTTGGAGTCTCGATAGTATTTTTAATTTTTTTGGAAATTTTTTTTGGAAATTTCCAGGAAAGCGCAAAAAAGAGACAGCGATTTTTAGTCGAGCAAATGATAATTAATGGTAGTTAACCTCAATCTTAACAAAACAGTTAAAAAGCAGATATTTGGTCCAAATGAATCAAATTACTCTTTTTCTATTATTACTATAGTTTGGTTTACAGCGCTTCATTTCTTTTAATAAATTTGGTTCAGTTTGAAATTTTTTTTTTTTCATTGTATATAAGCTAAGAACAGGGATCGTTCTGATTTTACACGGAATAGGCTGTTATTTAAGATAAATGGCGTACAATGTCGTACACATTTATAAAACAAGCATATAAAGCATTTTACGAATTAAAGCTTTTTGCTAAAAGCGTGCATTATTTCTAGCTAGGTCCGCTCACCTGGCTTGTTAAGCCAAATAAATTTTGCCTGGGAGTCACATTGCAGTAAAAGCGCCGCCAGCATCATCCAACAAAGCACTTGGTTTCATCTTTTAAATTATAAAATATTATAAAGTATTCAACATGATGATGAACCAGATCAGTAAGCTTGACAAATGTTGCTTCGATAAGGAGTCAAGCAACATTGCTTCGATTCCACCTCGAGAAGAAGTTTGATCATTAAGTGAAGTCCTGGTAGTGAAGCGTTGGAAACCCGCTTGAGCTTTACTGAGCAATAGGCTTTCTAGCGAAGATTTCTCACACTGGTATTCGATTGAACCTAGGACGATGGTTGTTGCTCATATAAGATAGGTCATACGGGTTATGCAATTTTTGCAACTTTCACACAGTTTTTAGTGGCCACATTTTTTTTTAAGAGTACTTACCATTACTGGTTAAACTTGCTCCACTGGCATGGCGCATTGGGCAATATGCAAGGGAGTGTCTTGGCGATGTAGAAATATAGATAAGTCACCAGCATCACCAGGATTTTTGTACAGGTTTACTCCTGCACATATTACATTTGACAAATTAATGCTCTTGTTATTACATCTATTTTCCAATCTAAATATTAATATTATATCTGCTTCTATCCACTTTTATTCTATTAAACCAATCTGTTACGATTTTCTTTGGCATCGTCGATTTCGATGATCCTTTCATTGAAGTGAAATATGCCGATTGAAGTAAATAACTGAATGTTATAATTTGCGAATTTGCTTCCGCGAGTAAGCTATAACCTTTATTGCAACTATACTTTCCTTATAATTTAAATGCATCAAATTTTTTTTAGCAAGAAAAGCTAAAAAAACACCTATAATAATGCTATGGTAGAAACGTTGTAAGTGGCTTTTTTGTCCAAAATTTCCTTGCATCATTCCTTCTTTATTTTGCTTCTAAGAAGAAATTAGCTTCAACAGTGAGCGAACTTTTAAATGCTTCGTGAACATCGTTCGATATCGAGCAAATGGTTATAAAATTAAGGTTCCTTTGGATCATCTATTCCCTCCAAACTGCATGAAAAAATTCTAATTCTTTTTATAAATTATGTGTAAAAAATTTTTTAAAATAATAACATGCAAATAATTATCACAAAATCAGAATAAGAGAATTTTATAATCAATTAACATAGCTACAGCATTAAGAAACAAAGAATAGAAAATCGGAATGGAAAAAGTTTAGATAATCTTTAAAATACAAAAAAAAATAAGACTTGAATTTGAGAATTTGTGGACATATTTTGCTATCGCATTCAGAGAAAAAAGTAATATTGAAAAAAAAAAATTAAGAAAGCTTCAGCTAGATGTCCTTAAGATGATGCAGTGATATATTGTTTCGATCGAGGTTAAGCAAAATAGATTCGATTTCTTCAGCGGATATAAACCTAGTTATTAAAAGTAAAGAAACCCAGGTCCGCCTATATGTCTGTCGTGGAAAGATTTTACCTACCGAAAAAGACTCATCTTCGTTATCAGCGCATGCCATACCAACCAGAAATAGTCAATGATTTTAGAATTTGTTGTCTTTAATTTATAACTATAATCTATTGCTATGTTTAATTAAGGCTTAGGCTTCATCATATATGCAAAACAGATAAGAAATTGACGAATTTAATCTAAATGCTAGAGAATTAATCAGTGGCAATAGCTTTTTTGAATTTTTATATATTTATTCTTGAAAATCCTCGAGGGAAAATGGGCACAAAACATTCAAACCTAACTGAGTTAAAAATAGGTCCTTCAAATTCGTCTTATAAGGGAAAGCATGAAAAGGCCACAATATTTGCTGATAGATTTCATCATATTCACAAAGATTTGAAAACAAACAGAGAGATTTAAAGCAAATAAAAAGGGATCATCCAGATCTGTCCGTATGAACGCAGTATACCAACCGCCAGTGCCATTCACAACCACTCTTCCATTTTTTCGAAAAAGACAGAATACTGTCAATATATGCCATTAATCGCTGTTTGAATCGTCACTGCTTGAGTTAATAGGTGGAGGTAAACCCGTATGAACCGTAATCATTGAATTACGATTAACACTAAAGGCCGGATAATATAGACCTCGAGGCATATTTCTAAACAAGATAATAGAAAATAACAAAAGCGATTTATAGTAAAATAATTAATTTAAACCAATATTAATATTAAATGCGCTTTATTTAAATGCGTTAACATGATTTTGTACCACATTACGTTCAACGGTGCAAGCTCATCATAAATTTCAATAGTTCAATAATACCGCTAATATGAAAATTAAAATACCTGAATGCAAAGCGTTGCCCATCAAATTCCCTTCGACGATCGTCAAGGTAAAAAGCTAAAGAGCCATGATCGCAATCCATTAAAATACCTATAACTGAACCAGTCCGTATACCACCAGCGATGCGGCTATGGTGTGTTTCATTATGAAGGAACCAGGATCGCTCACCATCAATATACATCGACCAACCATGTAAATCTTTACCTAAAGCAATGTTTATCAAATCAATGCATTTAAATTTGTACTCACTTTTTCAACTATATTATAAAAGATATGCGTTTAAATAGTTTAAAAACACAACCTAGCATAGTTTGAAGATTAATCGATGACTGAGCTACACCAACGACAATATCACCATTACCGTCTTGGCGATCAACGGTAACTTCCCAATAATGGACACCTCTCGAAAAAGCGATTGAGCCTAAAATGCAGCGATACTCCATCGAACTTCCACTTACTGACATGGATTCATTAGACAAATGCAACTCAACAATCGATGGTGACTTGCAAAGTTGAAACCAAGCCACTGAAAAGAAGTATCGAGAATTTTTTATAATCAGCCACCCAATAGCTAAACTAACATAGAAAATTTATAACACGAAAAATTGAACTCGGATGAACCGAAAGAGTTATATGTACGTGTAATATAACGGGCCAAGGTTAACAGAAAGAGGAAAACAGAAAGAGGAAGGCACTTTAAAAAGATCATTTCTAAACGTTTTCAATATCTGCGGTCCACTCTTATACCAAATGACCAAGCGGGAGACGAAATCAAACAGAATTTCACATAACTATGCGTTGAAGGTATCGTCAGGAAGTGCTGCAAATTTCATTATGGCGAACTTTATGATTTCGAAAGCAAAGAAGATCAATCAACACTTTGTGTCGACAGAGGATATTCAGTGATGTTGAAAAAATAGACAAGCCAATGATACGCGAACTATGATGGTGGAAAAAAGACCGGCTTCAGTCAATTTCAGGCATTAGATGAAGAGGCTTCGAAACATCATATTCTAACAGCCGACTGCAGCCGACTAAAGCAGAAATAATACGAGCTTTTTGAAGAAGATAGTGCATACCTGAAGCGGTCTGAAGACAAATAATATCACTGTACAAACTTTCGCCAGCAGCATTAAACGCCTTAACACGCGCATTATAAACGGTATTAAAATGAAGACCATCAATCGTACAGATCGTATCCGGTCCGCAATATACCTCCTAAATTCAATAAAAAAAATAATTTAAATGATTATAAGTTTGAACTCAAAATCAAAAAGAAATAAATACTGATACCTTGAAAAGCCCATCATCATTGCCTGAATCGATTTCCAGAATGTAACCATCAGTCCCACAACTTTTGTCGGCTGCTTTCCAGACTACGGTTACTGAATTGTTTTCGGCCGAACATTCAGCGGTTTGAATTATTGGTCGATTTGGAACTAAAAAAAACAGAATAACGACTACTGAAGCAAATGTTTTTAAAGTATTGAGATCCTCTCATATCCTCGTCCTAAATTCTCTCCAATTTTCCATAAGAATATCAAAAATCATTTAATGAAAATGAACAAAAATAAACATTACACATTATGGCCTTTTAAATTTGACAGAGCCTAGAATACATTACTAAATTATTACTAAATTACTAAATTAACTAAATTTATTACTAAATTTTAGCTTAGTCAAATCGATCAAATTCATAACTTTCTTACTTAATCTTACTTAAAATGTTTCAAACTTAATATTTAACTATCCAAATCATTAATTTGTTTTCAAGATTAAATTAAATATTTCAAATCTTTAAAATTGCATTTTTTTTGAATTCAAGAATATATCTGAAAGTACAAATATGAACAACAATTCAATAAACAAAAAATCTCACCTTTAAGTTGTGCAAAATCGAGGCATTCAATAGCGTATCGTAGATGTGTAGCATCAATATTAAGCACGAATTCTGTATCAACCTCAGGTTTGGTCTGCATTTCCTTATGCCAGAGGAATTCTTGAGTAGTTGCACGATTTATTAATGCATTGCTAACCTAAACTTTTCTTTAAATTAAACTAAACTATGCAACTATTGGATGTGAACTAAATTTTTTCGAAAAAATTTTTTAGAACTTTAAGGCATCTAAACATTTCTTTCAGTTAATCTGCTGCTACATACCTGAAGATAAGTCACAGGATCTGGTTCTTTTAATATTTCAATGCAAAACTGTATCAAAGCGGTAGTTCTTGAAAGTTTTCCCGTACATCTGCTTATTTGTTCCTTAAAAACTCGTCTCTGAAAATTTTTACAAGTCAAATAATGCAATTCATTAAAATATCTGTCATTTTTCCTTTTATTAAATTTATATAATGAATTTATTTTAATAAATAAAAACCTTATAATTTCTTTCATTTTCAACATGTTGTAAGAAAATTTTTTTCTTTTCTTGCAATTGTTCAATTAAGGCATCAATTTGTGCGCTCAATTTTTCTTTGAATTGCGAGCAATTTGTCTAAAACAATTTACGATACACCGCTTTTTATCGAATAAATTATACAAATGTGAAATGCAAAGAAAATTTAGTGCTCAACAGTTGGTCTAATTTGTTTGCAGCAAGCGGTGTTGATTATAACAATGCCATTAAAGAAATTCAAATATTTTTGATTGATATCGTTATTTGTTAAGATTTTTGGATGATGAGGACGCTAAAAACGAGAAGATCGGCCAGAATAAATTTTCAACACAAAGATGGCCCAGCGATATATGCGCTTAAATATGAGTTGAAAAAAGAGTGGCTTCAAGTAGCGTTAGCATTAAGAAGCTTTAGAGCCTCGAATCACCGTAGTGCAAATTGTTAATGAAAGAGAAAAATATAGGCAACCTTTAACAGTAGGACTTTCTGAAAGTTTTTTACTTTATTTTTTGTTATTTTTTATAAAAAAAACAAGAAATATCATAAAATGTACATTGATCTTTTCATGAAGCAATTTCAATTTTGCTATTTCTTCAGTTGCATGCTTCGCTTTCTCGCTTAATAGGGTCAAAGTTTGCGAAAGTTCAGCCTGCAAATAAATATAAAAATTTCGTTAATTTTTTAACAAATTCCAAGTTAAAAAAAAGGATTCCATAATAGTCCTTTACCTATATAAATTTCAGAAAACTCTCAAGGAAATTAAGACAATGCGTATATATATAGTTTTAGCAACGTAAATATTTATTTCTCTCGAAAATCCTCGCAATTTGCTTAGTTTAACCAACTTAATCTATTAAGCTTAGCTTAACTAGGTTAACCTATCAAAATTGTGCTACTATGTTAGTAAAGCATTTAATGTAAATTTTAAGCCTCTGAAAGAATGATATTTGCTGGAATAACAAATGCATTTTCTTTCGTAGAAATTAATGGGAATAACAATCGAAATCTTTTAGAAAAAAATCTCAACCCACAATTTATATTATTATTTAGAAAAAAATTTATTATAAAAATTATTCCCAGTTAAGAAATAAAATAACCATTTTCTTTAATTTTAAGCTGAAACTCAATATAATTTATTATATTGAAGAGAATTTATGTTTCATGTCACAAACCAATAATAAATGAGAATGATTAATTAAACTTTTATGAATCAGATATAAATCATGCAAGCAGGCATGTGAGTCTGTCAAATGCTTTTAAATCGGGAACGGTGATTCATTTATACTTCTATCACTAAGTGATTCTTTAGCAAAATCCCTCTAGACCAACACCACAATATATATATATATATTTTAAGAGTTGAGAATTTCTGGTTTTTGTATTGTAATACCAATTTCTAAGGTCTGATTGCACAGTTTAATTAAAAGTAAAATAAATTACGGGCACAAAAAATAAAATTATGTTACCGAAAGTTTTTGTTATCATTAATCATTAATCTTAATCATTTATCATCGAAACTATCATTTTTCTAGAAAGCTTCACCAGAATTATTCGCCAGGTAGATTCAGGAATATCATAAATAAACATTGCGAAAAAAGTTGATCTATTTCACCTTATATGTTTATAATATATACGTATGAGTCTTTAGTTTGTAATCATTTGAAATAACTTTCGCAAAATAATCCCACCAATTCTCTACTGCAGGAGGACCTCAACAGAATAGTCAACTGGCTATACGACAGGCATATTACTCTTTCTTTTCAAAAGTATAGTGTTCTTCATATTAATTCTGAGGTTTCGATTTTCCTGATCTTATTATTAATGGCAACAAAATCAGTAGAGTCTCACACAGAAATCGCGATTTTTACCATCCGATTATAGTTATTTCAAATTGTGCTATATTATATTATTCTGGAATTTCCTCTTTATTTTCTCTTTAAACTGTTAGTTTTTACCATTTTTTCTATTTTTCTTATTACCAAATTTTATTATTTCTTTTTTTTCAAACTGTTGTTATTAATGCAAGCACGTGGCGTTGTCACCTTGCTTGGTTGGTTTTAAGAAGTAAATGAATAAATTCATCAAATAGGTTCGATTTTCGATGGACAAAAAGCATATATTCTTTTTCTTCATCTTACAGCTCTCACCATCACTGGTTAGGCTGCTTCCATTGGAGTAAGAAGTTTGCAAGCTGCTCGAACCGATGCCATCACTGACAGTAATAGAATGATATACTAATTTTTAAATATTCCTTTTTCCATCGACTAAGTCCATATATCGCTAATCACCTATTCAAAATCGCTCTATATAAATCCAGGCATTGATTGGTGCACCTCACTTCAGACGCTATCCATCACAGGATTGAGTAAGTAGAGTAGCGATATGTGTATGCGTCAATTCCTGTAGTAGGCGACGAAGAACGTGTCCTAACCAGCGAGAAGGCTCTTTAAGATGGTACACTCAAACAGCATATATTATTTTCAGGCAAGGTTACTTATTCTTCGCGCCGGATTTAAGATGAGGATGCAAAATAAAAATAAACAGAATCTGCAGAATGATTCGTTATTTTCCAGACACGAACGAAAATTGTTTAATGGCATTGATTGTCACAACAAATCACAGATTATCATATCTAAATAAGCGAACCTTATCAACATAATCAGTATAAGCAGGGTGTGCATCAATTGCATTCACGAAAAAAAATTAAAATATAGCAGAGGGATTTTCCTCAGATTATTATTACCTTGAAGTGGTTCGCTACCGCCAACAGTATGAACCTATCATTACAAAAACAGTTTTAGCCTCATATAAATTAATTTTTAGACTTAACGAAATCACTAAAATAATTTTTCTCGGAAACAGAGATGGTTCTGACGATCTACATGTCCTATCGCAAAAAGACAGCAATAACAGTCAGTAGGTCGACGCTGAGAAATAGAAAGCGCCAATAACCTATTTCTAAGCTCATAGTGAGTTCTAAAAAAAAGTGGAAAACTGAAAAATTTTTATCTAAACAAAAAATACTTTTTTTTAAAAATATTAGTGGTAATTGAAAAAAATATTTTTAACAGATATAATGATAAGATTTTAATGATTTAAATATAAGATTTAATAATTAATATCAAGCCACCACGAAATTTTAGCAAAAGATATCAGTTTTCATTTTTCATACGGCTGGATAATGTTTTAGGATAGATATATGAAAAAAAAATCTCAGCATTATAGCCCCAAAATTGAACATATATTTTAACCGGCCTTTCACTTTACTTATTGGCAATAAGCTTGAGTCAATTAGAATAAATGTCATAAAAACTGTCCGACGATGATATGGAAAAGATTAATAAGCCATATGTTCTATTGGCAAAAGCTGAAGCTGAGGCAATTATAATGATCCAGAATGCCATTTTATTTTATGAAATCAATCAAAAACAAGAAAATGAATTATGATTGCAGATGAATTCGGTCAAATGCAACGAATAATTATTTCTTTTTCTTAACCTCATAAACATACTCAACATCACTTTGGTTTAGCCTTCCCGCAATAATCATTACTTTTGACATAAGAGATTTTGAAGCATCAAAGACAGTTCAAGTTGGCCAATTCGCCATACAATTGTCATAAGTCCACAATATTAATCAAAGAAATGGAAATAAGCTCATTGCCCTTCAATCACCAAAAAGAAAAATTTAAATCGACTGATGTACTTAAGCAGTTGGATTTTAAAGAATGCTCACCTCTAAACTCACGATGAGTCCTCGAAAAACTGGAAAATTTTTGATCTACACCAAAAATATTTCGTTAATATGTGTGTAAACTGGAACCACAAAACCTTGGCTCTAAATCCTCTCGTGCCTCCCAAAACCTATCGTATAAACTATTCAAATCCTATTAAATCGCTGGAAAGAAGCAGCAAACGATATTATTGTTAAGGAAGAATAATTTATAAATTGATTGCGAAAGCATTTAATAAGAATGGACTGGATTTAAGATATGCCGAACAAATACAACGAGGATGCCAAGAGGCATAGCCAAGTTTGACGACAATTTCGATCACCCGCACGAAGGGGCATTTTGACTATGAAAGACATAGGCAAACAACAAACGTTTCTGCTGAGAAGATGAAACTAAAAAAATTCTTTGGTTTGAGCCAAATTTTGAATGAATTTCATTAAAATGCTTATAAATAATTAGTGAAAGATTTGTGCATTTAATAAAGGAAAATTTTGTAAAGCTAAAGATTTCCCTTCATAAATTGGTAAGAAAATAAAATCGAATCACTCGAAAATCCATTTAGAACGTCTGATAACTAAATATTTTCAAATTTCTTCATTTAAAGAATAAAATTCGATAAATTTCGTCTAATTATGCAAAGCCACGTTCGATCTGACAGATTTAATTATTGAGCGTAGAATATGTCAAATAATACTTATGGGAAAACTGCTAGTCAGCAAACCTATTATTAAAGCATTATATCAACTACAATCACTATAAAATGTTAGCATAATTGACAAAATGACAATAAAATCACCGTAAAAACAAATAACTGGCAGTTTTACGCTAATTCAAATATATCAAATTGCAAATGTACTAGTAAAGACTGCAAAAAGCGCGAATTAAGTAAGTGGAAAAGTCAGTTCATTCATAATTAAATATAAAAAGATGTTATCATTTAAAACTTCTAAAAGTACCACGCATTCTGCAAATCACGAAAAATTGTACTTGCAAAAATTTGAGCAACTTGATGAAAAGAAAGATCCGTCTAAGAGGATTACTACTATTTAATTAATTACTCTAATGTAAATTTTTTGCAATGCAAATAATCTTTTTGCCCGTAATTACTATGCACATTTATGCGAAACTTATAAAGATATACGAGCAGGCATAATCATTCTTCGAATTCATCCACTATCTTCTCGATCTTATCAAATTACACATTAAAGGGTCAGAAGAACTTAGGTAAATAATTAATGCCATTGTTTATTAAATTCGGATTTATTTTCACCCAGTTTATAGTATAACACTGATAGATAAAACGTGTTTTCACTAAACATAAACATAACAGAAAGAATTCAAATAATTCAAATTTAAGTATACTCCAACTTATTTTTATTGACGCTAATTCTTATTAATCAACTAATCAATCGCTTATTTTAATAAATCCATGAAGCCAAAATTAATTAGTATGAATTGGAGCAATTTGAAAAGAGCAAATTTATTTAGCCAAAAGAAAGAATGAAATTTATGAAAAACTACTGGCAAAAAGAGGTATTTAATTGCGCAAAATTGGAAGAAAATTAAAGCAAAAAATATAATCTAAAAAAAATGACGACGATTTCACACCATAGAAATTCACCACACAATTATTTTTTTTTTGCAAAATTTTCACCTTCGTTTTGCAGTTTTTAATGACGAAATTCAACCAACCTTTTGACATTTGCACATTTTTTCAATACTTTGCACATCGTGATTTGAATGTCTAATTTCCTGAAGGCAAATGCAACAGATTGCAGTTCGGCAAATAACACAATACATTGTTAGCACTTCCGTTGGATGATTCGTGCATTTCGATTCCTTTACTAATACTAATGATGGAGTAGATAATTTCCTTGAAACAAAACGAAAAATTAGAAAAATGCATAATTGTTTAAGGTCAAAAGAAATATATTAAAACTAATAGTTAAAATAATAATTTTCTAGATAATTTTCTGACGTGATCCGGGTTGTAATATCGTCTTTTGCCTGGCCATTTGATATTAGATTGGACCCCGGTATTTAAAATCGGATACTTCCTCAACTGGCAATGAATTTATAAAAAGGGGCATTTTATCAGCTTCTTGCACATAAGATGAAAAGACAATAATTTTCCGCACCTTTTTAAAATTTTATGATTCTAATTATTAGCATTGCAAATATTTATAAGCATAGGAAAAAAAAAATATTTATAAGCATAACAAAACATATGAGAAAATTTTAAAACAATAAAAGATGCGACTTATGGAAAAATCCTTTTAAACGAAAGGGAATATGGAACTGAACTGCATAGCTCCACAACTCCAGTCCCATTCATTTAATATCTTATATAATTTTCAATTTAACTTGCATAATTGACTTCCACTGAATTAATCATCTGCTAAACAGATTATTTTCCCAGAAATCTTCCATTTGAAGTTTGCATTTTAAGATTGAAATGAATCTTATTACCACTATATACAATCATATATATATATATGTATATATGTATATATATATATATATATATGTATATAAATATACATTTTATTCCAATGTCTTTTTCTTAATTCTCGAATATATAATAAATAATTTAGGATAAATATTGCAAGCATCTCTAACAAAAGTGTCAGTCTAAATCCAATAGTAGTAATTATCAAATTAACTACTTACAACGATTTGATTTCTTATTAAATATCAAATTATAATTATGGCTTTTTACTGAGAATAAATGTAATATGATTTTAAATAAATATCGATCTCTTAAAGTCGATTGTTCCATGCAATTTGGTAATAATTTACGATATTACTTATAAAAAAATAATTTTTTCTAAAAATAAAATAAAAATAAATAAATTAATATTTTATAAAAAATCCTAAAAAATGAAAATAATTAAAACAAACAATAAAATTTTTTAAATTTAAAAATTTTCTTTTTTCATATTGATAACTAAACAACTTAGGCAAGTTAGCATTAGGGGGTCTTAGCCCAAGGCCATCTTCTGGAAAAGTAGGTGACGACTGAGATTCTTCATTCTCCTTTGAATCATTCGATAACATAATTTCTCATTCAAATTAAAAAGGATTTCACACAAGGTAAGATAACGATAAAACGAACCATATCAATTCAATCAACTATATGTCATTCAAAATTTCTTCACAAAAAATTTTGAAAATTTTCATAATAACTTATTAAATTTCATTTTATTATATAGAAATTCAGAAAGTTACAATTTGAAAAAGATTTCTTAATCGTACTTAGCCGATGGATGCACCAATTTGTGTGTTGCCAATGGTCCTCTAGAGGGATGCAAAGTTGATTGACATAATTGACAATAAAAAATATCACACTGCTCACAGAAAACACTTGCTACCGCCGGTTTATCGGTATCACAGAGCTAAAACTAAAAATCATAAAAAGCAGAAAACTATATAATATCCTTGGTTTTTTTTTCGGATAATCTAGTAGGAAAACCGAAGAAAATACCACTTACATAAGAAATGACTGAAAGAAAGAATAAATGAATTAGCAACAGTTTTTTATTATTTTAGACTGGAAACAACGCGTTTAATAATTATTATAAGTATTAGCAAATAATCTAATGAAATAAATACAATAAGAGATTTCACGAACGATGATGAAGAAAGCCTCAAATATTGGAAAATTTAATGAAAATCTTATATATAAATCAATAAATTATGCAATTCACTTTGTTGCCATTTAATTGTTAATTGTTATAAAATGGTTAACGGGTGGAATTTGGTTGATATGAGTCGCTAATTGACATTTTAGACAAAAAAGATAATCTATGATAATGATTATCAATTAGAGCACATACTTGGCAGTTAATAGTTTCAGATGCAGTTTTATCTTTTGCTGCACTAATTTGACTGGAACGATATCTGCAAAAAATTATTTTATTTAGAATGAGAATATTTTTTTAAAAATCTTCGGATAATTCAGGCCGAATCCTTAGAAGATTTGCATTTTTGGCTTGCACTGAAGCAGATCTGTTTTGTTGGCTATCACAGTAAGTACTCAATCGTTGCCTAAACCGCTAACAATGGATATTAATCATTTAAATGATCATTTAAAAAAATAAAAATTCATTAATGAACTAAATTTGTGAAAAAAAATACTGGGCATTCCCTCATAATTTTTCTTTATTTCACATCATCCAATTTGAATTTGATGAAATTTTTATACACTCTATTCAAAGCAAAAATTGCTACCTATTTATCAGATTGCATAAGGCAACATTTTTTTGCATATTTAAAATTGTTTGTTCATCGGGTAAGTAAGTAGGCTTTTGACATGCTTTACATGTAATTGTGCATTCTGAAGTCGATGGAGTTAATATCGATGGAAGACGATGAAGATGTGTTTGCTGTGATAGTGCTGACCCAATCAAAGACGATGGTCTTGAATCTAAAAGTTACATGGTCTTCTAAACAATGGTCTTTCTTAATCTTCACCGTAAATATAGTGATTATAGGCTTCCATACAAATAAGAAGTTATGTTCAATAAAACTCACTCCGTCCACATATTACAACACCACTGTCCGCCTCTGATACCACCGATAGCTTATCACTTTCTTGATCTTGATCGGATATACATACTGATATTGTATCACTTGCACCTGAAACAGTCAGCGAGATAAAAAAAAAAGATTATAAACTGAAAAAAATAAACATAATTTAGCAAAAAAACTTGTAAATATGAAAACATAAGAACAGTTTTTAAAATTAACATTCCATGAATATAATCGTCAAATATTTCTAAATTCAAAAAGGAGGAGAAAAAAAAGAAGCTAAAAGATAAAACTACTAATTGCTGGCAAAGGAAAGCTTTCGGAAATAAGTGTCGATCTCATATCTTGCGATACTTTAGTAAGCACCCATTCACACTAATCACCTACTATTTAAAGAAAAAGAAAAGTTTCAATACCAGAAGAACTTTGAATGGAGTTATTAAAATATTACTTATTTTCAGCCAGGTTCGATCCACTAGTTATTAGTACAATGAAAAACCACCAGGTTATTTGGAAAGAGATTTATAGATGAAACCCCAGCCGATTTTTTAAAAATATTTTTCTCTCCTGGCAGGCGAAGGCTCGAATTATTTATATTAAAAACCAGTCAATCAAGGCGAAAAAAGCCATGTGCTTCTATTAATAACAACAGTTTAAATAAAAATAATAATAATTAATGATAAATAAAAAGAAAAAGATAATATGACAAAAATTAGTAATCTAAAGAGGAAATAAAGAAGAAATTAGAAAATAATATAATACAGTACACTTCAAAGTAATAGTTTATATATATATATATAATTATATATAATAGGATGGTAAAAATCGAGATTTCACACTCCTTGCATGATGTGAACTTTTTAAATAACATCATAAACGATTTATCTAATCTTTTTTTAAAGATAGCTAGGGATGACGCACAAGCTATATCGTTCAGTAATTTATTCCAGCAGTTAATAGTACGAATAAAGAATTAAGACGCTCGAGGCGAGAGTTTCAACCACTCAATTATTCAATCCACAATTGGCAGACAACCATAATTTAATAGCTGTTGGAGAATGATAAAAACTGATTCATTATGTTGAATATTGATATATTTATCACTAATTCATACCGTGTCAGATGGAAATGATGAAAGATCTGTGATTTCTTTGGATAAATCATGAAATTTTACTCGCGAAAAAAAATTTTAATAAATTTAAAGAATTTTGCTTAAAGAAATTCTTCTAAAGTAAAATGATACATAGAAATATATCAAATTCATTTATCAAATTATCTTTTAAATGATACTCAAAAAAAGCTTCCTCTCAACTTGAAAATATATTTCAACAGCTTCGTTCATTAAGGTGGCGAATCTTTACTGCGTATCGTGTTTTCTATATTCAATGCTAATGAATCTCCAGAAATATTTAGAAATATGTTTATTTACCAAAAATTAAGAAAAAAATTTTCACCACTACTTGAACATGGAGGAGAGAGAGGAGTGACTCGTTGTAGATGCGAATATACTGTTGGAGGAAGTGTAGCAGAAGAACCAGATGGTACTCCATGGCAGGCTGGTTGTTGCGATTGCACTGCACATTGACGGCAATAGCTATGTGCACAACTTAATAGCACCGGATCTGCAATAGAAAAAAATAAATTTTTTAAACTAATTTCCAAATTCCTTTTCTATGTGGTTCAACTTTAACAAAGAATTATTCGCATATCAATTATAGCAAATAATGAACAAAGAATGCCGATATTGCACCTTGTCATATACTTTCAGCAGATGTTTGAATCAGTGGTAGTCCCCAAACTTATTTTTTCTCTTCCATTTCTAACTGCACCATTCAAATATTCTTCTTTAATCCGCCTTCAACTTCATTTCACACTGTAGGCAAACGGTTATCAATATACTAACTTTCATATTAGATTCCACAGGCTTTATTTTTCATTTTGAAGCGAATTGATAGGTTTTCTAAGTTTGCAATATTTTTCTGCTTATAGAGGAATAATAAAAGGATTAACTATTGAATAATAACGATGATCACCTGTTGCGAATTCCTTACAATGAGGGCATTTTAATTCTTCCTCCATTGAATTAACCAACGTTCTCCTCTCGTTGAACGCCAACAAGAGGCAAAACAAGAAATAACTCTCTCGAGATTTGACGAGATTTTTGATTATTCTATTTTAGGCTTTTATTTGGTTATACTAAATAAGCTATTGTTTCGTCTGATAACACTACTGCAAATAGTCAAATCATAAATTAAAAGGCAAATTATCGCAAAAATAAGTGAAAATTCGCAAAAACGACGCATTTAAACTTAAAACTGAAATAGTAAAAAAAATAAATTAAGGAATAAATGAAATAAAAGTAAACTGTTAAAAATTTTTTCTTATGTAAAATTTGTAAAAAAAACATTAAAAAATATTATTTATATACAAATCATCTGATGATAGATTTCCTCTTATCAACAAATAATACGCACAAATCGAAGCTATATTGCTTGCCTACTGAATGATTACAAAGTAGTTAATGTACGAGCTCAATTTAAGCCAAGCGTAAGCCGAAAAACAGGCAATAATCAACCCTATAATTAGTAAATTTATTTTAAATGCTGATTCAAACTATTATAAAATGTGATGCGACGATGTTCGAATGCGTTTGGTTTTTGTTACCTTTTTAGAATATATGAATTAAAATATTATTGAATGTATGAATTAAAATATGCATTCTTTGAAATGAATTAATATTAATGAATTAAACGAATTAAAACAATAAATGATAAATTGAAAAAAAAGGAATTCTAAAATTCTAAAAAATTCTAAAAAATTCTAAAATAGCCAAAAAAATAATAAAAGAAAATTATGTGACAAATATTCATAAAATTAGATATGCATTATAAATTTTCGATCTTTAAACTAAAAATTTATATGAAAAATAATTGGTTCAAATTGTAATTCAAAAATATATTTAAAAATACTCGAAAAGTATCGAATTATTTGTTGAAAAAAATAAGTAAATAAATAAAAAATAGATTAAATGCAAAATTTTTAAACAATTAACTGCAAAATTTGCAAAAAAAATAAAATTAAAATTTAATGAATAAAATTTTTGCAAGAAAATTAAATAAATTTTTAAAAATTTAGGCGAAAAAAAATATTTGTAAGCAAAAGGCATTGAGAATTATTCCTAAAAAGATATCGAATTACCACTTTTCATTTGAAGTTCTTTTCTTTCTCTTATATTTTTCGATAATATAAAATTTTTAATCGAATCGTTTCCCTTAATAAGAATAAATCGGTCATTGAATATAAAATGCAGTTGGTTGGCTTGACGACCTTTATATTTAAACCACTCTTTAGCTTCATCATGAGTGTTAGAATTATTTAAATCTGCCAAAGCAGAGAATGGTGCGTGTTGCTCGAAAGGAGAGAAATATAATATTTTAGGTATTTACAAATACAATAAATAAATTATGCAAAGGATGAAAAAAAAGCGTTTTTATTAAAATATAATAATTTTTAAAATTATTTACAAAGAGAACATTTATCGAGCAATTGAGCGTATAAAACACCATCGCTTAATAAAAAATAACTAATTTATAATATATTAAGCAATGAAGCAAAAATGGATATTCAATAAATTTTTTCCGAATCGATATGCATTATTTTATAGCTTTTTTAGCTCTAAATAAATTCATATTTAGCATAAATCGTTTAAGAATTTTTTTAGAGATTCTACTCAAATGGTATATTCAATTTTTCAGCTGCGCTATTAAACGCGGAAATAAGTCACCTGTTTCCAACTATTTGTTAATCTTTAGCAGCTGGTGTTCGTGTTATAAGCCGTGAATCGAACTTTATTATTTATTATTCTAATTATCAATTTCTTTTTAGTATTTAAAAATATCTTTTATAAATTACTATAAAATTCTTGTCCTTTTTTTTCGCTTTTGAAAGAACAATTTAAGAACAATTTAGAAATTGAAATTGCGCTTTTAATTTATACTCATAAGCGCTTATTTACATGTTACACTAAGCGACATAAAAGCGATACGAAAAATCCGCACTCTTTTCATGCGCTCATCTGCACTCATCATAACTTAAAAATAGCTAAAAAGTGAGTAAAAATTGAAAATTGGATACAAATAGATTCTATAAGATCATCGTCATCACGGCGGTGGAGTTGTATACGAGTAAGAAACTCGGATTCGAATCGTGCTTCTCGATAGCCCTTTAAAGGAAAATCCGAGCAAATACTATTGATGGCCCATTTGCATCTCCACAACTATTTTCTTTTTCATACTAAGCAACTGAAAAGAATTTTTCTAAAAAACAAAATAAATAAAATTTTTCTAAATTTAAAATTTTCAAGTCAACGACCTCTCTGAAATTTACGATTGTGCCATATCAAAATAAACCAAATTCAAAATTCTCTAATATCATGCAGAATGAATAAATTAAAATGGCAAAAATCAGTAGTAGGTGATTAATTTTTAATAATTTATGAATGCTCATTACTTATAGGGCAAAATTTTTGGATGAATTAACCAATATTTCTATTCACAAGTGATTTTGGAAAGTCTTGGAGAAAGGCTTTCACTCGAGTATATTTAGTGCAACCAACCAAAGCAAAAATAATGAGCGCTGTTGTTGAAGAAAAAGAAGATAAGCAAAAGTTGACATATGAATATATTAGAAAGTGCTATTTATCAGAACTTATCTTAATTTTATATTTTCAATACGAAAATAAATTTAAAAAAAGAAAAAAATGAGAGCAAAATATTGTAAGAATTAAATTTAAATGATGACCATTGCTTGGAACAACTAAAATATATAGTCCAATGGGTTTAGTGAATGATAGAGAGGAGATCCGCCTTCCCTTCTTATTTCTTCCTCCTCTAATTTAATATTTTAAATGAGAGCCATAGAATTACTCAAAATTTACAGATGTGAGCAGTTGAAAATGAAGAGAAAATTATGCATGAAAATTCAACCAAATAAATGAACTGATTTTTAAACAAATATCATTGATAAATGTTTAAAATATTTTTATACAAATAAAAATATACAAATTTGCTTAAAAATTTATCAAATGTCTAATTCCTTTCTTCTAATAACATTTATTGAACCCATTGATATATTTTAGTTGATAGATGATTTCTGCTTTGAAAATGAAATCCGACTCGAACACTGGGAGACCCATTTGTAATCTCAATCTACAAGTGGCTCTCAGCGAAATGATCTTAGCCTTGCCTAATGATCAGTGAAGCTAATCAATGTAAAAATCATCGATATTGTCGGAAGAAATATCAATTCGATAAAATTTCAAGCAAATTCAAACGAGAAATTATCATTGATTAAGAATAGTGATTAAACGACAATTAATGAAAAACTGCAGCCATTATTTTTTTGAAATAATGAAATAATACTTGGATTAAGCAATAAATGAATAAAGTATTGAAACACAATAATTTTCTTGATAGGTTTCTTAAGTAAAATTTCTTATTTTGCATAGCTTATCGCGTAAAAGCATCGTGGTTGGAAGCCTCCTCCTAGCACGAACAATTCTTCCATTAAAAAATCCGAATACTTCGTTTTTGGAGCAATTTGTACTTTTTTTACGAAATGACCTGTAATGAAATTATCATCATACTAATAACCAAGCCCGATCTAATCAGAAATAATAAGTGATTACCACTCCTTCTTATAAGTTGCGCAGCCTCACAACTTTCTAAAGAATTAATCGGATCAGATAGTAGTTAAGTGTACAGAGGGCCAATCTGAGATTCATTTTTTTCGAATCACACTTTTTATTTAACTACTTAAAGCGACTATGATAATGGCTACCTAAATAGTTCAACAAAATACATTCAACATTAGGCTTAGGCTTCTTCTTAGTATAATTTATCTGAATCCATTTATTACCCATTAATGCATTTGATTTTGTTCCAGGCCCTACTATGAGTTTTCCCAAAGGAATTCTTTATAGTAGTAAAATAATTATAATTAAGCATTTGCCAAAATACGTTCTTAATTAAAGAAAAGAAAAGCAATTAAAATGCAAAATAAACGAACAATAGAAACAAATAGATATGGTTGTTTGCATGAAACTAGGATTAGGGCGTTTTGGACATGAAGCCATTGTCATTTGGCTATAGAACTGGTCAATATATTTAATTTGGCATCAAGCATTCGCATGACCCCGTATTTATATAATCAGCGCTTCCCATCATAATCAGCCAATATCGTCAATGAAGTAACTTTTCCAAAATTCTGGTTCAGCTGTGCTAAAGATTTCCGTTATAATTTCATATTGTATATACCAATTTTTCTTTTTCTAGCAGGTCAATATGTTTATAACTTTTTGCTGAGGCGTCTTATCAACAGAATAGAAAAGCAAAAAAAGTTACTCTATTTTAGATGTTTAACGCCAATATTTGTTAAAAGAAATTAGTTTCAAATCGCGATTAGTTGGCTGATTTCTTTGTTTTTATTAGTTGTTTTTTTCAATAATTGTTTTTTTCTGGTGCTTAGGCTCATTCCTCTGGCTTATTAAGTTCTGGCTTATTTGGTGATAGAAATAGAACAGGTGAGTCATTAGCACCACTTGGATTTTTGAAAGATTTAATTCTGCCGAGAATAGAACCATAGTAATGGCATTTCGAAATATTAGCAAAAGGCCAAAAGGTTCACTGTGCCATTCAACTTTCTTTTCATTAATATTACTTAATATTAAGTATTACTTAATATTTTCACAAATTTTAAATTTAATTCTTCAATTTACCGTCATAACAATTCCAAATAACCAAACGTTAAAAATATCACTTAAAAGATTTTTCGTCAAGATTCTTCCAATCTAATTTCCATCCATATTCGTGCCTAAAATTCCGTTAGGATAGAATTCACACAAAATCTAAAATAAAACCTCTATATTAGGCCAATTATCCTTGACAATATTTTATGAACTCTTTTTAGGGTCTATGCTGATGCCTATCGATCGTCTATCTATCATAAATTTTTAAATAGTTAAATTAAAAATTATATTAATACTGTATATAGTGAGAAAAATTAAGATGCAATTTTGTCGC